TCCTCCTCCCCACCCAGGCCGTCTCCCTTGGCAGTTGTACCCTGCAGTCACCCAGGCCCAGAGTCTGCCACGTGACCCCTGGGGGCATCTGTGCCCTGGCCCAGAGCCGGAGGGAGAGGCCCTGGGCACGAGCACTTGGGAGGAGACAGCACCGGCGCCCGTCGGGCCCTGCCCAGGCCTTTCTGGTGCAGGGTCACATCCGGGAGCTGCAGGGTCTGGGACCGGCGAGAGCGGGGCGTGGGGACCGGGGGGAATGGTGGGCCAGCGCTTTTCTGCCGTGCGTTTGTTGAGTGGGCAGCACGGGCCCTGGCAGGCTCGCTGTGGGGCTTGAGTCAGCTTGTGGGTGGCAAGCTTTGAGGGCCGAAGGAATCTGCTGTTGTCCAGGAGGCAGTTTGGTGGGCGTCACTGCTTCTGCTTCCCACCCCCCACGCCCCGTCACCCCAGGCCAGGGAAGGGGCCGCCTTTTTGGGGCCCCAGAGCTGGGGTCTCTGAGGGGTTCCTTCACCCGGCCCCACCCTCAGAGCCCCACGGGTCCAAGCAGCTTGGACTGGTCGGGGGGCGAGCTGGCCCAGCAGATGGGGTGCCAATGCTGCTGCCGCCTTGAACTCTGAGCACAGCATGGGGGCCTATCCAGACCCCGTGGCGGGGCACGGGCTGGCATGGCCGTGACGTAGGTACTGCGGGGGGGGGGGGCCTGGGCTCTGGGAGCCCCCAGGGGCACCTTAACGTGGATGAAGAGCGCGAGGGGCCTCCCGCCCTGTCCCCGACTCCCAGACGTGCCTCCACCTGCAGTTTCCGGCGTCTCACCTGCCCGGAGCCCAGCTGGGGAAGGGGCGTGCAGGCCGGGTGCACTCGGGGCTCATGGCCCCCCCGTGAGCGGGCCCCGTGGCTTTGGGCCTCTGTCGTGGGGCGGGGGTCCTGGTGCCGTGGCAGGCTGCCCCCCAGGCCGCCCCCCGCCCCCGCCCCGGCCAACAGCTGGCGGCCGACTGTGTACACAGCGGGCGGAGCGGAGCCGCGGCCTGGGAGTGACCGCCGCTGGATGCCTCATCCTGGTCTCTGGGAGGCGAAGCCGAGGCGCTGGCCCTCGCGCGGAAGGAGGGGGCAAAGTCCGCGCGGGAGGGAACGGGCCATGCGGCCACAGGGTGGCCGGGGCCGGGCGGCAGCCATGGGGGACGGCCGTGCGGCCCGCATCTCCGTGGCGGAGATGAAGCGCTACTTCCTCTACTCGGAGTGGTGCTCCTGGCTGCTCTCTGCCGCCGAGGGTGAGTCGGCGCAGCCCCGGGAGGGCGGCCCCTGGGCTGGCCCGGGTGGCGGGCGGGGCGGGCTTCCCGGAGCAGCAGCCCTGGCCGCGGTGCCGGATCACCTGCAGGCTCCCGCCTGGTGCCTCCCTCACCCCGGAGCCGGCCGGGGCTCTCCTGGCCTGGGGCAGGCTGAGCCCCCGTGGAGAGGCTGAGGGCCTCGCAGCCTGGCCGGGCGCCGGCCGTCTCCCCAGTGGCGACCGGAGCGGTCGGCGGGTGTGGGGACGCAGGGAAGAGTGTGCTGGGCAGGGCCTGGGCCGAGCGGGGTGGAGGAGGGGAGGTGGCGGGGGCGGAGGACGGTCCCGCAGCCCCGGGCGGAACGGTCAGGGAAGTGGCGGCCTGGCCTCAGGCGCCCGCCCGGCGTCTGTCTGTCCGTCTGGCCCTCTGTCCCTCGGCTGCACACCTTCTCTCGGGCAGGAAGCACCGACCCACCGCTGCCGGGACAGCCCTCGCCCTATGGTGCTGACCACAGGAACTGTGTCAGGTCCGGCCCCTCAGCCACGAGCTGACCACTTGGGTCAGCTGCGTGCCATGGCGGCGGGGCATGGGGTGGGTGGGCCAGGAGGCCCCCGCACCTCTTCGGATGGTGGGTCAGAGGAGGAGCCGCCGTCCGCGGCCGGTGCTGTGCTGTTGGTGGCACATGAGCCGGAGCTTGGGGGCCACCGCCCTGGGCCTGGAACATCGGTGGGCGGCACGAGGTGCCCGGGGCAAGAGCTGCGGGAGCGGCCGGCCCCCAGCAGGAGGCCCCATCCCGCTGTGTACAAGTGGCCACGGCTGGGCCTCCTAGGGCGCCCCTCGGCTGCTGTGGGGGAAATCTCGGGGTGAGCGGGAGGTGCGGGGTGAGAGGAGCCGCCGGAAACAGTGGAGGGCAGAAAGGCCCCGGCTGCAGGGCGCTGTCTGGCCCCAGGCGGGTCGAGGCTGTTTTATACTGTTTTGGGGGCTTTTTAACTTGGGGCGCCATTTGCACCAGGTACCTGCTGGGAGGTCTGGTCTGGAACTGGCCCCTCAGTGTGTCCTGGCCCCACTTCTGCGTCCCAGGCTGGGCCAGCTTTTCCGGCCAGGGCAGACGGATCCCCGCCATCCCAGCAGCCCCCTCCAGCACCCACCTACTGCCCCACCCTGCCCGCTGGGCACCCTGAGGCTGTTCACAGTCAGGTGCGTCCGCCATGGCCCTGGGCTGGAGGCTGGCACCCCACAGCCGGCTCTGGGCTGCAGCCTGAGAGAGGCCTGGGGCCTCACTGCCCGAGCCCCACGCAAGTGTGTGGGGAGACGGAGTTCACGCCTGCAGCTGGGCCCAGGAGGCAGGCACACCCACCCCGGGCAGGTGGGGCATTGGCCCCCTCTTCCCCCACAGGTGTGGGGCCAGCCTGGGGGCTCCAATGCTCCCACAGCCAGAGGCGCCCGGCGTGCCAGCTCGCAGGGTGGCGTGCCTGTGGTCACTGGGCTGTGGGTCCCTGCCCTGGCTTCCGCCCTCTGCGGGCCTCAAGCAGCGCCCTAGGAGCTTGTTAGCACCTCAGCGCAGCCCCAGGTCTAAGGCTGCCTTAACAAGCTCCCCCGGGTCCCCCGCCAGCTCAGAACCCCCATCGCATGCTGTGCGGGCCCTGCAGCCCGCCGGGCACTGGCGGCTGGCACGGAGGAGCCCCTAGCCTGCTGGCCGGCAGATGGACGGGGCCACGGCCACGGGAATTGCCACGCAGCTGCCGTGTCTGGTTGTGGGTCTGGGGGCTGCCTGGGGCGGGCAGGACCCGGTGCTCAGGTGCAGGGAGGGGCCCAGGCGGAGCCAGGGACCTGTGGGCGTGTGCACGAGGAGGCTGGGCTGCCACCGGGCTGAGGCGGGCGCCGGGGCCCAGGGAGGAGTGGGCAGGGCCCTCCGAGGTCCATGTGAAGATGCTGCAGCTCGCCATGCACCCCACCACGCTCCCCCCACTCGGTCCAGCCTCTTCCTGATGCACTCGCGGCCACAGGGCTGCACGGGGCTGGGACTCCCCTGAACACCCATGGGCTTCCTGCCGGGCATGAGGCCTAGGTGAGGGCCGGGCGGGCGCTGGGCGTGGTGGTTCCCGTGGAGCCTGCGGAGGTCCTCCAGGTGGGGCCGCCAACCCGTGGTCCCGGCCCCGGCCAAAGGCCCTGATCCCTGCAGGCTCTTTGTTCTGGCTGAGGCTGGCAGCGGCGCGGTGGGGGGTGGGCAGGCAGTGGGAGGACGGCCTGACCGACTGCAGCCGGCGCTGCCCACGCCCAGGAAGGGCTCATGCGGCAGGAGGCATGGTGTGGCCGCTGTGCAGGTGGGCGCCCCTCTGGGGGCTTATTGCCGTGCCTTGGTCACCAGGTGTGTGTCCAGGTGCGACCCAGGGCAGGTCCTGGACAGGCCGTCCGCCCCAGGCTTGGTGGGGGCAACTTCCGGTGTGGAGGGTCCGGTTCTGAAGCCTTTGTCCAGATGGTGGGGGCCGCTGCCAAGGCCCACGGAGGCTGTGTCCAGTGAGCACCTTGTCAGCGGTGCGAAACCCGAGCTGTTCGGTGGCAACACCTGGACACTCCCCAGAGTGGGGAGCCCCAGGGTGGGTGACACCCCCAGAGCTGGGGAGCCCCAGGGCCAGGTGCAGCATGATCTCGGGGCTCTGTAAGTGTGGGCGGTGCTGGTGCGGGGATGGGGTTGGCTCGGCATGAGGCTCAGATCTCAGACTAACCTGGCCCCGAGGAGCCAGTCCCCGGGGAGGCTGCTGGGACACAGAGGCGTCAGCGCCCGCCCCGGGAGGCCGCCTGCCCCGCCCACTCCGAGGCCCGGCCCCCAGCAGCGGCTCTAGCTCCGGCCCCAGGCTCCCCCCAGGCCTTGCGGTCTCCTCTAGGCCATGTGTCGCGCGGGCTCTCCCTGTCCCGGGGCCAGTGGCTGCGTCTCTGTTCTCTGCTCAAGCTGGGGCAGGAGCCGGCGGGAGCGCCGGGGGCCACGCCAGAACCCGGCACATGGGCCTCCCGGGCCAGAGTCTCCCCACACCCCTCCCCCAACCCTCCCTCCTCCACCCTCCCTCCATCTCTGTCCCCTCATGCGCCGCCCGGACCCCACGGAGCAGACCAGCCCGGCTGAGGGAGGTGGATCTCTCGCAGAAACGCCCCTCTCGGACCTTCCACCCCGCCGCTCCTTTCCGTCTGCGACAACACGTCCCGGGCCAGCCGCTTGCTCCGGCCCCCTGGGACCCCGGCTGGGACGCCAGTGGGCAGGATGGGCCCCCCAGGGTCTTGTCCTGCTCCTGGCTGCTGCCCCCAGGCAGGCCCAGATCCAGTGCCCACAGCTGCACCCCCTCGCCGCATGCCCCGCGCCCGCTCAGGGGAGCCGCTGCGCTTGGTGTCAGCCAGGCTTGCAGCCCAGACGTGACCTGCCCCGCATGTATTTGGGGCGCAGACCCCCGCCTGCATGTCTAGGGATGTGGCAGGCCCCTCCCGGCAGGCATTCCCCCGGCAGTGGGGGGCGGCGGGGCAGGCGCCGGACGCCCCGGACATGGTGGGGCCTCAGGGGGTGTCCTGCAGGGCTGTGTGCGGCGCCGGCCCCCCCGGCCGTGTCCAGCTCCCAGCACCCGCAGGACCCTCGCCCTCCCCTGCAGCCGCCTGTCGTGGGTCCCTGTTGCGGCCGCTGCGCTTGGAAGCCCCCTCTGCACAGGGACGGGCTCACGCTGTGCTGTGCTGCCCGGTGACCCGTCTGCTCTCCTGCAGATGAGATCATGCACCAGGACGTGACCCCGCTGTGCGCGGCCGACATCCAGGACCAGCTGAAGAAGCGCTTCGCCTACCTGTCAGGTGAGCCGGGGCCGCGGCCGGCAGGGAGGGGGCGCCCAGGCTGGCCTGGCCTTCCTGGTCTCTGGCCAAGGCCGTCCGCCCTCGTGTGGGGGCCTGGAGCAGCCATGGACGCGGCCTGCCTTGGGCTCAGTCAGGGACCAAGGCCGTGGCTTGCTCATGCTGGAGGCCAGTCGGGGCCTGGCTAGCTCGGCCCCAGCACTCAAGGCTTCAGGCTCCCGGGGTCTAGCTGTTCCTCCCGCGGCACATCAAGGGGAGGCCTGGGCAGGCTCGTCCTGCAGCATCCAGGCTTCTGCGCCTGTCCTCTGGAGGAGGCCTGGACTGCAGCCCCCGGTGGCCATGCCTCCCCAGGTCCAGGCCTGGCCGGCCGCCTGGGCACCCGGCTGTGGCCAGCGCTGGCGCGTCTGGCATCGCCCTGCAGTGCTGTCAGGTAACTGACTCTTCCCGGGAGTCCCATCCTCAGGCTGGCGCGCAGGGTCAGCTGAGGCCGCCCACTTTGCCCGTGAGGCCTTGACTCCAGCGGAGGGGACTGGCCTGTGCCTGGGGAGCCGCCGACATGCATGGGGGCCGGGCCGCAAGGGTGAGAGCTCCAGGCGGCCAGCACTGAGGCCCATCCTGGCAGGCTCCCAGTCCAGCCTCCCTCCAGGCCCCCCACAGCCTCGCCCACCCTGGCTCGCTGCTCTGCGGGGTGAGGAGCCCCACACTGCAGCGCCTCATTCCCTGTCCCGTCCCACCATGTGGGGCTCCAGGCAGCCAGGCTGCCATGGCCACTTCCCAGGGACCCTGCCCTGTGGTGGGACCGTCTGAGGACTGGGTGGAGGGGCCCACGGGTGCCCGGACACACAGCTGTGTCCTAGCTGCCCGCATGCAGCCCCACAAGCCGCTTTGCTTGTTCACTGTCCTCGGGACTCAGGAGGCCTGGGGAGTTGGCTCCTGCCCTGGGGCTGGCTGTCTCGGGCGGCACCCCCTCAGGCTAGCTGGATTGGCAGGGGCATCCATCCCCCTCCGAATCTCAGGCCCCTGCGAGGGGCTAGTCCCCGTTCCTAGCGGCCGTGGTGGCCACAGGGCCGCTGCAGCCTGTGATGGCCAGTGTCCAGGAGACCGCTTCTGGCTCCGGGGGTCCCCTGTGGCTCCAGCGCAGCCCGGGGTCTGGCGGCGTCACTCCTGCTGCAGCTGAGGGGTCAGCACAGGCATCCAGGAGGACTCGGGCCAGGCAGGGAGGGTCAGGCTCCGGGTTGGAGAGGCGCACTGCCAGCCGCTGACCCTGCCAGCCCGGGCGCTGCCTCCATTCCTGGTGCCGCTTCCGCAGGTTGTCTGGGGTCAGCCAGCCTTGGGGCGGCGCCGCTGCTGCCTGCCTGCTGCCGGGTCTTGGCTGGTCCTCCCTGCAAGGGCCCCTCTGCCACCCGTCCCCTCCCCTCCCGCCGTGGGACTGGGGCTCGCCCTGGGCAGCTGGTCCATAAAGCAGGTGCCTGCTCAGGCCCCCGACGTGGCCTCAGGCTGCAGGGAAACGCAGAGCGGCCTGGAAGGCGCGCAGGCCCGTGGCTGCCCACCCCGGAGAGGCAGTTGAGGTGACTGCGCTCTGCCCAGACGCCCCGCACCCGTGCGCCTCTCGTCGGACTCAGGCCAGGGACTCCCTTGCAGGGAGGACTCGGCCTGTCTGGAGCCTCTCGCGCCCCGTTGGGGCGGGCCTGGGCTGGGTGGGGGCGGGGCTAGTTGGGCAGGGGCGGAGCTGCTGGGGGGCTGGCGACTGGGCTGGGGCTGGGTGGGGGTGAGGCTAGCTGGGCAGGGCAGGGTGGGGGCGGGCGGCGCCCTGGCAGGGCCGGGTGGGCCGCCCCTCAGGCCCTGAGACCTCGCTCTCCGCAGGCGGGCGCGGGCAGGACGGCAGCCCGGTCATCACCTTCCCCGACTACCCCGCCTTCAGCGAGGTCGCCGACAAGGAGTTCCAGAACGTGCTGACCTACCTGACCAGCATCCCCAGGTACGCGCTGCCGCGGCCCTGCGGGGGCCTCAATGACCCCGGCCGCTGGGGCGGACGGCAGGGCTCAGGCTGTGCCCCTGGGGCTGCCCGCCGGGGACACCGCCTGGTGACCAACGCCACCACCCTGCAGCCGCCTTGGCGCGGGTGGTTGGGACGTCGGGGCGTGCAGTTAGGACACGAGGGGAGGAGAGACCAGCCGAGACGGGGGAGCTCACCTGGCAGTGGGGGTGGGGATGCCGAGCACTGGGCGGTCCTCACAGGACACAGCTGCTTGGGCTGAGGCCCTCTCTGTCCACCCGCAGAGGACAGGGCCTCCAGCAGCTTGAGCTCCCAGACCCCCTGGGGCTGGGGCCTTGGACTCATGGCCAGCACTGAGTCACCAGCCCTGGCTTTTCCTGAGAAGCTGTCTTGCCGCCCGGGCCTTAATTGGCTGTGGGGACCCGCTGGCCTTGCGTGCCCCGGAGGACAATCCCAGCCGGCAGGGCCATCACGGAGGGGCCTCTGCACCCACCAGCTGCCAGGCAGATGCACGGCTCCTGCCCTTGGACCACGTGCACCCCACAAATGGGCATACACTGTGGAGCACAGCACTGGGGAAGCCTGTGGGTACCACAGAGGCACATGCAGTTCCCAGGGGCTCCCCCAGTGTACCCCTTCCCTGAGGTGCCCCCGCAGTGCCCCTCCCCGTGTCCTTTCCTTATGGTTTTTTTGGTAAGATTTAATCTTTTTTTTTAAATTTATTTATTTATTTATTTATTTATTTATTTATACAAGCACTGGGCACAGTCAGAAGCGCGGGAGGGTGAGAGAATTCACCAGAGCCAGAGCGGGGAGCAGAGCAGGCAGAAGGACCGAAGGACACTGCTGAGGGGAGCAGCGGGCGGCAGGAGAGGTCTGCGCGCCATGGGGGACCCTCCTCCGGTGGCCGGGGAGCAGCCGGGGATCGAACCAGCGCTGCAGAGGCTGCGGGCAGCTTCACAACCCAGCGCTCAACCGCTGCGCCACCAGGGAGGCCCTAAGATTTACTTTTATTTACGCATATAAGAGCTGGGGTGCAGGCCAGAGGTGGGGGGATGAGAGGACTCCCCACAGACAGCAGGGAGCAGACCAGGTGGATCTACTGAGATCCGCTGCTGAGGGGAGCAGCGGGGAGACAGGAGAGTCTGCTGCGCCCTGTGGGGAGCTCCCTGGCCGGGGATCGAACTCGTGCTGCAGAGGCTGCGGGTAGCTTCATGGTGCTGAGATTTAACCCCTGCGCCACCAGGGAGGCCCGCATCCTTACTAATGACTGCAAGTGTTTCCTTTTACTTACAAGGTGAGCAGGACTCAGGGGCTGCAGAATGGGGGCTGCTGTGCAGGGATCTGCTGCACCACATCACCCCCAAAGCCAGTCGAACCCCCCATTACTGCTAGTGTCGGTCTCACTTCCCCACATACCTGAGGGTCCCAGGTTACATGGGGGCTTCCTGGGGCACCCCGGGGGGGCGTTCCTGGACAGCCTTTGTACCCTGACGGCCACTTCCCAGCCCCGTGTGTAGGGGAGGTGAGAGCTGAGACGGCAGCGTCCGGTCAGCCCACATCCTTCCCACCCGGAAGCACGTCCCGCCAGCCTCGCTGCCCAGCACACCCTGTGCCCCGCCCTCCCGCCGGCCACCCACGCTGCGGCTCTGGCTTCGTCACGGCCGCCCGTCCCTGCTCTGAGACAGGGTGGGGAGGGCGGTGGCCGCGGGGCTCTAGAGAAGAGCCGCCAGCAGGCCCAAAACCAAGCGCTGCGGCGAGACGACACCCCCAGGGCGGCCCCAGAGGACAGGGTCTGCGGGGCCCCGCGCACCTGCACGAGGCCTCGGGCGGGAGCAGCCACCGCGGGTTTGCCTCCCGCGCGCAGACGGAGCTCACCGCGGCCCACGCGCCGCCCCCCGGAGTGCCCGCCGGAGCGGGGGCAGGGTGCTGGCCGCCTGTCAGCGCGCCGGGCCGCACCGGCCAGCGTGACGGTCACCGCTGGCCCCCAGAGGCCGGTCAGGGACCCCAGGGTCACAGCTCCTGGGAGCGCTGGGGCCGCCAGCAACAACAGCTCTTGGGGCGCCGGGCCGGGCTCTGGGCTCCCTCCTGGGCTGGAGGCAGGACGAGGCCCTGCCCTGCAGAGGGCTTCGGCTCCTCCCCTCCCCGAGGTCGGCAGCTGGACGCTGCTTTTCTTCTTTCCAGGTCAGCTGGTTCTTCTTTCCCCTGAGGCCTCAGCCTCACCCCCCCACCCCCACCCAACTCACCTCCTCTTTCAGGCCCCCCCTACAAGTCTGATTGGACCATTGCGCACCAATCAGCTCGCAGCTTGCCCCTGACCGGTCCACTCTGAGACCCCAGCGCCACGCATGAAAGGGAGGCTCCGAGGCACCGCAGCCAGAGCTGGCCTGCGGTGGGGCAGGTGTGAGGCCGTTGCCGCCACTGAGGCAGCTTGGTTCCGAGTCAGTAGGCGCCTGTCGCTGCTCTGTGATGCCTGGGGTGTGGCCAGGGAGTGAGCCCCACGGCGAGTCGGGCCTAAGATGCAGCTGGTGGTGCTGGGACTGGGCTGGGAGCGTCTGTAGACTGTTCTGCAGCTGTGCTGCCAGGGAGCTTGCTCCCACTGTGGCAGGGTCACCGGGTGCAGGCAGCAGGGCTGGGCGTCCAGGCCCGGGTCTGGCTGGAGAGGCAGCCGGTGGGTGAATCGCAGACGGTGCCCGGAGCGGCCTCCTCTGTGGTCACAGGGCCACACGAGAGCTGTCGCCCCACACAGTGGCAGCGGCAGTATTGCCCCAGGGTCCTGGCCCGTGTGCCCTCTCTCCTACCAGTGGGGTCATGGGCAGGAGCAGGCCCGACCTCCAGGCCCCGCCCATGCCCGTGCTGGGGTGTGGGGGTGGTGGCGGTGGCAGTGGCCCCCGCGGCGAGTGGATGCTTGGCTGTGGGTGTGGGTGTGTGGCCCCGAGGCTGCTGGGCTAGCTCCCTGGGGTGGGGGGCAGCAAGTGGCCACAGCTGCTCCCTCCGCTGTGCCTGCTGAGTTGTTCCCAAGGGGCCATAGGCGAGGCTATGGGCCCTTTCTGCATGCGGGGCTGGCCCCAGCACCTCCTGAGTGCCAGGAGAGGTGTAGGGTGCTGGCCTGGGCAAGAGGGCTGTGGACCCTGCAGCTGCCTCCCCGGGCTCCCACACGGGCACTGAGGGGTAGAACGAGGGGGGCTGTGCGGTCTTAGGGGGGCTGCGTCCCAGCCAGCCAGGGGGCCTCCCCGCAGCAGCAGGTGGGCGGCCGCGCCCTGTGAGTCATCGCCTCCTGTGTGCGCCACCTGTCCCCGCGGTGTTGACATTTCAGATGCTGGGGACGGCTCTGCTTGGGGTTTTCCCCTCCACGCCCTCTCGGCCCAGGGGCTCCCTGCTGTCCAGGGCGTTAAGGACCCGGTGCCCAGGGGAGCAGGGCTCCAAGCTCTCGGGGGGGAGTTGCCCTGGTGCCCACGTTTGCCAGGTCCACAGGGAATGTTCTGGGTTCACTCAAGTGAGGGTCCCATCTGGGTGGCAGAGCTGGGGGCCGAGCGAAGATCCTGCCTCCCGGGCACACAGCAGGCTGGATACCTGTCCACCCCAGCGCTGTCCACCCCAGCGGCCCAGGAGGCTGGGCTCAGGCTGCCGCTCTGGCAGACAAGGGAGTGGGGCGATCTGTGGCTGAGTCACCTCTGTGGGGCATCTCCAGACACCTGGAGGTGCCGCTGTGCCCCTGGGGCCCTCGCCCCTTGGCACCCACCCCGGCAAAGCTTCTTCGGAAGCCCCTTGGACTGCGGGGGTCTTGGCCCCGCCCGGCCACCAGGCCTGACTGCTGAGGCCTGGCAGCGGGCGAGGTGAGGCTCCAGCCTCCGCCCAGCTCAGAAAGCCAAGCTCCCCCCGCAGCCCTGCTCTTGCCGGCGGCTCTGGGAGACGAGGGGAGTGCGGGGCCCTCCTGGGGCCGGGCCCTGCGCCGTGAGTGGACTCAGGGCACCCGTGGCCACTCCTGGCCTGACCGTCAGCAGGCGGCCCGTGGCCAGCTCCGAGCCGGGGGCGGGTGTCCTTCACGCCAGCCCCCCGGCCGGCTCCGCCCCGCGTGCGGGACGCTCTGTCTTCCCAGCCTGGCCTCCTGCCAGCCCACGCTGCCTGCTGACGTTGCTCCAGCACCCACCCGCTCTCCTGCACCGGGCTCAGGGCTGCGGTGGCGCGGCCGGTGTAGAGGGGCAGGGACACCCCCTCCACCAGCAGCCCCGGCGTGGCTGCACCGCCGACACCACCGCCTCCTCCCGTCACACAGGAGGCGGCCGCAGCTCCGCTCCCCACAGAGGCTGGCACCTGCGGGCATCCTGGGGGCGTCCCCCTGCCTTTGTGCCTGGCCCTCCTGACTGTGCCAGCCCTGGACGCCAGGAAGGATGGGCTCTGTCCGGATACGGGGACCGGCAGGCACGGGTGCCAGGCAGGCCGTGAGCGGCACGGGCGACGTCTGTCTGTCTGCAGGGGCGCGGGGCAGGAGGAGGTTGCGGGGCGCGGACCGGCCACCGCTGGCGCCAAGTAGGGGCCCCTGCGGCCTTGGCGCCCGCCCACCCCACGCGCCCAACGCGCCGCCTCGCTCTGCTCAGCCTGCAGGACGCCGGTGTCGGATTCATCCTGGTCATAGACCGGAGGCAGGACAGATGGACCTCGGTGAAGGCGTCCATCCTGCGGATCGCGGTGAGTGCCCTGGCGGGGCGGCGTGTGTCCTCGGGCCTGCGCTGAGCAGGGCTGGGCGTGCTGTGTGGTCGGCGCCCGCTGAGCGGCTGGAGGGCGGCTGCGCGTGGGGCGTTAACTCTTTCGTCTCCTGTGTCATTTGAAACCACGTCACCAGCCAGGCTGGCCCGTTCCTTCCGGCATCGCTGGCTGAGGGCTCGGGCCTGTGTCCACCTCAGACGGGATCCTGGAGGCTGCAGTATCAGGGGTGTTCGGGCTGGAAGTCTGGGGGTGGGGGCGGCTGCCCCCCCAGGCAGGGCCGCGCCCCGTGGTTTCTGGCTACATCCCTGGCTCCCAGCAGAACCCGTGGCCCAGGACTGCTGTCAGGCCGCCCCCGTGCAGGGTCAGCCAGTCTGTGGGTGGTCCAGCTGCAGCGACCACTTTGGGGGGACGGAGAGGCTGCATGATGCCCCATGTGCTGCCCTCCAAGCGGCCTTGGCCTTCTCATGGCCAGTCTGCACAGGGCGGCTCAGAGGACCTCACCGGCCACCTCCCCACCTCTTAAAGCCAGGCCCTCGTCCTGGGCCTGGCCGGAGCCCCCTGCAGCCCCCAGAAGGCCAGGAATAGGAGATGGGGGCTCCCCAATCCAGGATGGACTTGTTAGAAATGCAGAAGTTATTTTTAAAAGCTGCAGTGACCCTGAGATCTGACCACACGCAGAACTGCCACGGGTGGTCCCGGGCTGGCCAGGGTGGGGGGCTGTGAAGGGACTTGGCTCTCCTGCAAAGCCGTCTTGTGAAATCGGAACTGGACAGCACCTTGGCACCACAGGCCCACGCAGGCTTTCCACGGCCATGAGGCTTGGAGCTCAGCACCCCCCCGAACACCCCCGAGTGTTTCCACCATGGGCGCCTGGTGGCATCTGCGCCCAGAGTTCCCTCCTCGGCCCGCGTGCCTAGTGCTGGAGCTGCACAGCCGCCTGGAGGGTTGCGGGCGTCGGGCCTCCCAGGAATGTGGGTGGGGGTCCAGGTGCAGGTGCACGGTCAGCCTATGTGTGCCCCACGGGGCGGCTCCCCAGGGCTCAGCGGGGCTGGCTGCCCAGGAAGGCCAGAAGGATCCCCTCTCAGCTCTGGGCTGGGAGGGTGCGCGTGGGCCTGGGCAGGGCCAGAGCTGATACACGGGCTTCAGGACGCAGGCGGCGTCCCTGCCTTTCCCTGGGGTGGCGGGGACCTTGGGACAGTGACCACCTGGTGTCCACAGGGGCCGGGACTGCAAGGGTCGGAAGGTGAGGATGCGCTGGTGCCCCCACAAGTGGCCTGGAGCTCCTCCCTGGCACCCAGAGGCGTCTCTGTGGGGCTCGGCGCGGGGCGCTACTGGGAGCCGGGCTATTCTTAGTGCCACGCAGGCTGTCTCGTGCGCCGGCTGCCTGGATTTGGGGTGTTCCTGTTTTCTTTTTTGGATGCTGCAGCTCGGCTTGGATAGAAAGACCAGGCTCTGGAGGCGCCAACGCCCAGTTCCTAAATTAGCCTCACAGCTGCATCGAGCCAGCCCTGGCGGGGACAGGCCCCAAGAGCGCAGAGGGGACGGGTCCACGCCGGGAGCGCCGTCCGTGGGCGTGGTCAGTGCAGGTGGCGAGGGCGGCCAGCCAGGCTCCTGGGCACCCTCCTCTGGGTCCCACCTGCCGTGCGCGCGCGTGTGTGGGTGCGTGTGTGTGCTCGCATGTGAGTGGGTATGTGTGGGCACGCGTGAGTGGGTGTAGGTGTGTGCGTGTGTGAGTGGGTGTGTTCGTGCTGGCACTTGGGCTTCAGCTGTGGCGTGTGCCTGTGTCTGGCTGCGCCTGGGCTGCGCAGGGAACAGCCGTGCGGGTCACTCTGGGCCTGCAGGGGCAGGGCAGGGGTCTGGCCTGCGGAGCTGGTGCTGCCTCTGCAGGTCTGTCTGCAGAAAAGTCATGAAACGCAGGACCCCAGGGGTCCGGGATTCTCAGTCACCTGGGAAAGATGCCCTCCGTGGCAAAGCAGCCTGCTTCAGCACCTGAGGCCCCACTGTGCACCTGTCGCTGGAGGGCGGGCATGTGGCACTGCAGATGGAGGAGCAGGGCGCTCTGCGGAGGGCTTCCTGGCAGAGGCGGCAGCATTGGGAAGGGAGGAGTTGTCCTGGGGGTGGGCGTACCCCAGAGGTGGAGGCAGGGCGGAGCACCGGCGACCACGGGAGGGGTGTCCAGTGGACGCTCACCGCGGGGAGTGGGCGGTGCGCTCAGGACAGAGACTCGCGCCCAGCAGGGGCTCGCTCATGGTGAGGGCGCCCGAGGAAGCCGCAGGGGAAGCTCCTGATCGCCTGCCTTCCTGCCCACGGGGCGCCCGCCCCACCCACCCGGCTGCCCACACCCTCCGTGTGGCCGAGAGTCCCGGCAGGAAGGGTGAGGTGTGGGCTGCAGCCTTGCCGGGGCTGGGTTTCGAGGCTGCCTGCCCGCACTCCTCCTGCGCCGGAGCCTTTAGCTAGCTCGTCCCTGAGGACGCCTCCAGGCGTCGAGACCTACGTGCCCAGAGCCCATCCTCAGCCTCCACAGACCTGCCCTGGACAGGGCGGGGAGGGGGGCACGCCGGGGGGTTCCAGGCAGGGGGGCCAGGCCGGGGATGGGGGCAGCCCAGGGAGCAGCCAGGCTGGGGGTGGTCCAGGCAGGGGGGTCAGGCCAGCAGGGGCGGGGGGAGCCAGGGTTGAGGTGGGGGAGGGGCCTCCCAGCATGCGGCCTCTTGGTGCGGACTTGGGCCTCTCCCCTGCTGACCAACACGTGCCACGTACGCTGGTGCGGGCCGGGTCACCACCAGACAGATGCCCCTGGCCAGGCGGCTGCTGCCCTGCGTGTGAATCAAACGCCATGTCGTGCTGGCGTGTCAAGGTGGCTTTGGGCAGAGCTCAGGGCGGGTCCCGGACGTGGGGCCGAGGCAGCCCATGTCCAGCGCAGGACCCCAGAGTCCAGGCCCGTGGATGCTGTGGGCCTGCCAGTCTCCCCACCAGGACCAGCGGCACCAGAGCGGCCGTCTTACCCCCCCCGCGCCGCCCCGCCGCCTGGGTCTGCCACTGCGTTCGTGTTTTTCCTCCAGGATTTTCCCGGCTTTTAACACACATGGTTGACCACCCACCCCGAGATCGAACTCACGGCGTTTACATTGAAATCGCGTTTGTTTATCGTGAAAACCTGTCATCGGGGGCAGGGCCGGCGGCCGCCACTGTCCCCGCAGCACAAGTGGGCGGCTGGCCGGGAGGAGGGGCTGGCCGGGGCGCGTGCTGCCCCTTTGCCGGCCGCCCAGAGCTGCTGCAGCGGGGCCATCGCGGAGACAGCTGAGCATGGGCCAGCTGCCCCGCGGGGGGGCATCCCCTGGGGCGGTCCTGCCAAGCCTGGCCTGGCCGGGTCTGGGGACATGAGGGCTGGCATCCAGCCGGCACCAGGCACCTGAAGGCTGCGCACCTCCGTGTCCACGGTGACCGGGCCCCGGGGTCAGCAGCAGACACGCCCTCAGGGCCTGGAGGCGGCGGGCGCCCCAGGCTGGGCGCTGTGTCCCCCTATAGGTCCTGCGGCGTCCCCATGGGTTTTCTTCACACCAGGTGACTGTGGGCCACCTGGTGACCCCTCCTGTCTCCCACGAGGTGACCGCGGAGGCCCTGGGCTCGGGGTCCCACTGGGGAGGAGCCGAGCCTGCCCTGCAGTGCCCACTGTCCCCCAGGGCCCGCACCCCGGCCGTCCTGGTGCGCAGACAGCACCTGGGCACAGGCTGCCCGGATCCCCAGACCCGCCCCCTCCCCGCAGGCCTCTTTCCCGGCGAACCTGCAGCTGGTGCTCGTCCTGCGGCCCACGGGCTTCCTCCAGAGGACGCTCTCGGAGCTCGCCTTCAAGCTCAACAGAGATGACTTCAGGATGAAGGTGCCGGTGAGTGTGCCCCGCGGAGGCCGCAGCCTGCACCCGTCAGGAGGGGCTTCCTTCCTATGGCAGGCCCAGCACAGTCCTCGGCCCCCACACTGAGCAAGCGCAGCCGCTGCGCCCCCAGCCACAGAGCGCCAGAGCTTCCTCAGGGCCAGGCTGAAGGACAGGAGGCCGCCTCCGAGTGGACTGGTTGGGCTGCCAGCTGGGCAGCAGTGGGCGTGTGCCCAGGCGTGGCAGGAGGGCCTCGCCCGCAGCTCCTGACGCAGCCCTGTCCCATAAGCACCGCTGAGTAGCCCCTCGGGCCTGCCCCACCTTCCCCAGGGAGCTCGGTGGCTGCTGGCGGCACTGGAGCCCAGCAGTGACCTCTCTGCTCAAAGAGGCTGGGCGGGTTGGGCCAGGCCCAGCCAGAGGCCCTGGAATCCTGTCTGGAGGGGGGGGCCCCGCATCCTGAGTGTGCAGGTCTCAGCTGCCCGCCCAGCCAGGGCCCCGGGAGGACACCACTGGCCTCCAGGTCCCAGGGCCTGGGCAACTGGGGCCCACAGCCCCGGGCATCCGAGAAGCTCGTTTCCAAGTGTCCGTTTCCCGAGGCAGCGGGGATAGCCCGCAGAGCGGCCCGGCTGGGCTGGAAACGGCCACCGTGTGAGGGCTGGGCCCCCAGGCCCGTGAGGCTTCCTTGTGTCCAGCCTCTCCTGGTGTTGGCAGAGGTCACGGCCACCAAAGTCTGGGTTGGTGGCCGCGGAAGCCACACTCACCAGCTGTCCCAGGGCCTGGCCCCGTGGAGATGGTGAACAGAGTGGCTGCAGAAGGGCGGGAGCCACAGACACACAAGCCAGCCCGTGTGGTCACTCACCTGGCCCCGCCTCACAGGCCACAAGGGCCATCTGCCCGCAGGACACGGCCTGTTCGCCCCCGCTGTGGGGCCAGTCCCGGGAGGCGGACGGCGAGTGGGGTGCGGCAGCCGCAGAGGGCCTGCTCAGGGGTGTCCTTGCGGCGCAGGTCATCATGCTGAGCTCAGTGGCGGAGCTGCACGGCTACATCGACAAGGCCCAGCTGACCGAGGACCTGGGCGGCACCCTGGACTACTGCCACTCCCGCTGGCTGTGCCACCGCACGGTGGGTCCCACCACCCGGCCGCCTGCTGCAGGGGCTGCTGCTGTGTCCACGTGAGCTGCTCCTACCCAAGCTTGAGGGCTGGTCTCCGCAGGCCGGTCACCCAGGGAGGCGCAAGAGTTATAGGTTCGGGAGCGGCTCCCTGGGTGTGGTGACCAGGGGCCTCGGCCAGGCCAGGAGCAGGGCGGGCCAGGCACCACGGCTCCAGGAGGGCAGCGCTGGCTGAGGGCCTGACGCAAGGCCCCTTCCGCTCGGGGCTGGCGGGGCGGCCTTGCGACGCTGGCCCCTCCCCGCAGGCCATCGAGAGCTTCGCGCTGCTGGTCAAGCAGACTGCACAGATGCTGCAGTGCTTCGGGACCGAGCTGGCCGAGACCGAGCTGCCCAACGATGTCCAGGCCACGAGCACGGTGCTGAGTGCACACACGGAGAAGAAGGTCAAGGCCAAGGTGGGCCCCACCACGGGCCCCCCAGGAAGGCAGCTGCCCTGCCACACAGTCCCCCTGTGAAAAGTGGGTGCCTGCCGTGGGCCCTCCCCCGTGAGGTGGTGAGGCAGAGGCCATGGGACTGGAGGTGCTGGCCCCAGGAGCTAGGAGACGTGGTGGCGCCTGGAAAAGCCTCAGGGCCTAGGGTCGCCTTCAGGGTCCCTGGGCCGAGAGCAGGAGGGTGCACCCGAGGCTGCCTTCCCATTCGGTCCCTCACCCCCGGACACCTGCTCTGGGGGACACACCCACACTGAGGGGAGCGGTAGGGGCCAGTGCCCGGCACCTCCATCCTGCCGTCCCCCCGGGGCTGTGACCCTCGCTGTCTGGAGGCAGGTGGGGGTGCCCGTCCCCAACCCTGGAACACAGGGCAGGCTCCGGGCGGGGTCTGTGGCTGGGGCTTGCCGCATCCTGGATCCTGCGCTGCCTGGGCCAGGGTGCCAGGTCCCTGCTGTCCCCGCAGCTGGACATGAAGCTGGCGCTGGATGAGGGCCAGAGCATCCTAGACAGCATCCAGGAGCCCCTGGCCAAGAGCACTGAGCACAGCCTGAACCAGGACCAGCTGGACAACGAGACCACCGTGCAGAGGTGAAGCGCTGTGGAAGCCGGGGCTGGGCGGGGCGGGCAGTGGACAGGGGCCTCCAGGACTGGGTCTGGCACCACGACTTCGGCGTGGGGGAGGCCAGGCTCCAGGGGTCCCGCAGGGGGCACCGAGGAGGAAGTTAAGAAGCTGCCATGCCCCAGCCTCAGTTCCTGGTCTGTGAAACGGAGCCCGCCTGAGCCCGCCTGGGCCGACCTGGCAGGAATCGGGGTGGGGGGGAGGGCTCTGCGGGCACTGCTCCGGGCAGAACACAACAGGCTGTCTCCTCCTGAGCAGCCTGAGCAGCTGCCCCCCAGGCCTGCCATGGGCCTGGTGCGGTGGGTGGGCTGGCCGGGGGTGGGGGGGCTGCGATGCCCGTCCCTGAGTGGCCGTGAGCCCCAGACGCCCTTCCCATGGGTCTGGGGGGGTCCCACCCAGACCTCCACCCGCTGCGCTCCCCCCGCAGGCTCCTGGCCCAGCTGCACGAGACGGAGGCCGCCTTTGACGAGTTCTGGGCGAAGCATCAGCAGAAGCTCGAGCAGTGCCTGCAGCTCCGGCACTTTGAGCAGGACTTCCGGGAGGTGAGCGGCCGGAGCCGTTGCCAGGGGCCATGGCACGGTGCAGACTGGCGGCCCTGGCCACACGGAGCCTGTAGAGCAGGCCCCGAAACCCTGGAGTCCATGGTTTGACCAGCCAGTCTGGGGGGGTGGGGGTCACCAGCCGTGGATGCACTGCCTGGAAGGGGCCTGCCCTCTGCCCACACCCGCCTGTCTCCTGCCGGGTCCCCTGGCTGCTGCTAGTCCTAAACCCACTGTCCTGCCCAGCGCCCACACTGCCCGATTTTGTGGGTGAATGGGCTGGGGTCCTGGCCAGGCCCCAGAGCTTGGGGCCGGTACTCCTGCCTTTGCCAGCAGGTCCGTGCCTGAGGGACCGCCCTCCTGTGCACCAGCGTCCCCGCGTGACCAGTGCGGCCCAGAGAGCCCCCCGCCCCGCACCAGCTCTCACACGGCCCTCCAGCGCTCGCAGTCAAACTGCGCCGTGTCCTTGTCTCTGCCTTCCTGGCCTGCTCCTTCCCCAGCTTGGTTCTGGGGGCAGCACCCCACGGGCCCCTCGCTGTGGCTCCTTTCCAGGGCAAGGCTGCGCTGGACGCGCTGGCGCAGAAGATCTCGACCTTCACAGACGTGGGCAACAGCCTGGCGCACGCCGAGCACCTCCTGAAGGACCTGGCGGCCTTCGAGGAGAAGTCCAGCGTAGGCGGCCGGCGGGGGCGCCTGGGCGCCAGCCGCGTGGGGGCGGGAGGCCCGGCCCGCGGGACGGGCAGGTGCGGGAGGGCCGGGGAGCCGGCCCCGCCCTCGAGCCCGCGCCTGCCCGCAGGCCGCCGTGGAGCGCGCGCTCGGGCTGGCCCGGGAGGGCGAGCGGCTCATCGACGGCAAGCACTACGCCGTGGACTCCATCCGCCCCAAGTGCCAGGAGCTCCGGCTCCTGTGTGACCGCTTCGGGGCGGACGTGGCCCGGCGGCGCGCGCTGCTGGACCAGTCCCTGGAGCTGCACACGCTGCTGGAGGCGGTAGGCCCCGCCCCTCCGGCCTGGCCCCGCCCTCGCTGAGGCCCCGCCCCGCCCCTCCCGGCCTGGGCCCCGCCCCTCCCGAGGGAGGCCCCGCCCCGCCGAGACCCTGCCCCGCCCACTCTGGCCTGGGCCCCGCCCCTCCCTAGGGAGGCCCGCCCCTGCCCGAGGCCCCGCCCCACCTGAGGCCCCACCCCTCCTGGGGCCGCGCCCCGCCCCCCCGAGGGAGGCCACGCCCCCTGGCTGAGGCCGCGCCCCGCCCGAGGCCTCGCCTCTGCTGGGGGGGCCCCTCCTGGGGGGCCCTCTGGCCGCTCGCCCGCAGCCGCTCGCGCCCGCTGCGGAGGCCGGGCCGCAGCTACGCCTGCCCGCGGGCCGGGCCCTGACTCGGCCTCCCCTGCAGTCCATGAGGTGGTGCGACGAGGGCATCTACCTGCTGGCCGCCCAGCCCGTGGACAAGTGCCAGTCCCAGGACGGGGCCGAAGCGGCCCTCCAGGAGATCGAGAGGTTTCTGGAGGCGGGGGCGGAGAGCAAGATCCGGGAGCTGGATAAGCTCTTCCAGACCTACGAGCCCATCCTCACGCCCGACCTGGCGGTAGGCCGTGGCCCGGGCGGGCAGGGCTCGCCCCCCACACTGCGCCGCCCCGCCCCGGACGGGTCCCGCGGGTCACCGCAGCACGCCCGGGGCCGGCGGTGCTCCCCAGCGGGCCGGAGACCCTCCCGGCCGGCCGGCCCCAACCACAGCCGCTCCGCAGGCCCACGTGCGGAAGGTCTTCCAGAAGCAGGAGAGCACGCAGGACATGTTCCGCCGCAGGCAGGCCAGCCTGAGGAAGCTGGCGGCCAAGCAGACGCGGCCCGTGCAGCCTGTGGCTCCCCGGCCCGAGGCGCTGGCCAAGTCGCCCTGCCCGTCCCCAGGTGCGCCTCGCGCCCTCCCCAGGCCCGCCCTCCCTGCCGCCCCTGGGCCCAGGCCAGGCCCACCCCGCCCGCCCCGCGCTGCCCCGTGCCCCGGCCCCCAGCGCACCCTCCCCAGGACCCTGGAGACAGCCCCTGCCCGGCCTCCCTTGGGTGGGGAGAGCCTGGAGGGCTGGCCGCTGCCCGGTGTCGGCCTCCCGGCTGCGAGGCCCCCGCGCCAGGAGGGGCTGCCCCAACTGAACCCCGCAGCTGCCGCCGAGCCCCCACCCAGAGGGAGACAAAGCTCTGCCTGGTGCCCGACCCCCACTTCCCTGCCGCTGCGTAGTCCTGCCCCCTTCTCTGGGTGCCGGCGCCCTCTGACAGCAGCCTCCCCAGGCGCTACACCCCCTTCCCCTCCCTCCCACCAGGCGTCCGGAGAGGCTCCGAGAACACCAGCTCGGAGGGCAGCACGCTGCGCAGGGGGCCCTACCGCAGGGCCAAGGTGAGGCCCGCACCCCGCGCCCTCCTCCCGGCCTGCTCCCTGCGCGGGAGGCTGGGGGCTCACCCTCCGCTCCTCTCTCCCCAGAGTGAGATGAGCGAGGGCCGGCCGGGCCGCGGCGGCTCCACGGGGGACGAGGAGGAAAGCCTGGCCATCCTGCGGAGGTGGGTGGGCCGGCCAGGGGCCGCACCGGCCTCGGGGAGTGCGGAGGGCAGCCGGCCCTGGGCTCGCCCCAAACAGCAGGGTGGGGTTTCCCAGGAAAGCCGCATCTGCCAGCCTTGCAGGACCGGGTGGGTACAGCAGCCCAGGCCAGGATTCGGGGTGCTTAGCTCGCCAGGCCAGCCGCCCCGACCCACAGGGTTCCAGCTCTCGGTGGATGCGTCCCTCCCACTCCGCGTGTGGGGTGTGCTCCCCCTGCCCTCCCTGCCACTGTGTTCCCCCCGCACCCTGGCTCTGCGGCGAGGGAGCAGCTGTGCTGTGGGTCTGGGCACCACCTGGCAAACACCCTCTCTCCGGCCCCCGGGCCCGGCACACACCGGCAACACCGAGGGGCACGTCCTGGAGTGAGGGATGGGGTGCAGGGTGCAGGCCCATGATGGGCTCTGCCGCGGGTGCCGCACGGCTCTCGGTCTTTGCGCGTGGATGGGCCTGGTCTCTGGGTGCAGGAGGGGGCTCTGGACACCCTGGGGCAGGGAGCGCAGCCTGCCTGCCGGTCAGCACCTTGGGGTGGCTTTGAGCAGAGAGGGAGGCGTCCGGGGGCGCCCGGAGCAGGTTTCTCCTGTGGTTGGGAAAGAAGGGGGATGTGTGTGCAGGGGCGTGTGCACATGTGCAGGTGCGGGGGTGAGCGTGTGGGTATGTTGCATGGGTGTGAGGGTGTGGGGGCCGGCTCGCCCAGGCCCCGCTCTCAGCCACCTCTGGGTGCTGTCCCTTGGGGGCCTCGCGTGGCCTCGCTGGGCTGGGTGCCCTGAGCCTCCTGCCCGGGACCGGGGTCAGGGTATGAGCAGGCAGCTTCAGACGCCACGTCTGCACCCAGAGATTCCCTGGGGCTCAGAGAAGGCTCCGGAATCAGAGCAAGTGGGGATTAGGGTGAAGCAAGCCAAGGCTCCTGTGGCCTCTGACAGCAGCTGACAGAGCAGACGGGAGGCGGCCACTGGCCTGGCTGGGGGCGGCCTGCTCGGTGTCTGGCTCATTAGACCGGGGCTGTTGTGGGGCCTGGAAACACGCCCGGGCGCTGGGCCCGCGTTCAAGGGGGAGCTCGGAGGTGGGGCCCGGGGTCCTCATCTGTAGCGTGAGATCTGCAGCCGCTGTGCTGGCCAGGCCGGGGGGTGCGATGTCACCACACTGCGGTGCCCACACCCCGCCCCGCACCGTGTACATGAGGCTGAGAGGACCGCGAGGGGCTGGGCGGAGGGGCTCCCCACGCAGGGCACGCGGCTGGCAGGCGGCTGTGGGCAGCAGGGCGCGGGCACCACAGGGTTGCGGCAGGCCGGGCCCAGCAGCTGTGCACACCCCTAGGCACGTGATGAACGAGCTGCTGGACACAGAACGCGTGTACGTGGACGAGCTGCTGTGTGTCCTGGAGGTGAGGCCCCCCTAAGAGTAGGCCTACCACAGCCCAGCCAAAAACATGGGGACCCCGGGGGGGCAGAGGATGGATACAGGGGTTTGCCCGGGGCTGGCTGTTGGGAGGATGGGGGCCAAGGGGTGGGGCAGGAGCTGCTGCTCTGGGTGCGGGGCAGGGTAGGGGGTGGAGGGTCTGGGGGATGGATGGGAGGAAGGTGGGGGAGCAGGCCGCACGCTGGGGTGCCCTGCCCTGATCTGCATTACTTTGGGTGCCGACATTTGAATGACTCTTGGGGGCCGGCGAACCCTGGCTCCGGGATCCTCCGGGGCCTGAGAGGGCCGCCCCCTGGTGTCTCCGGGCACTGGCCAGGCGCCGTGTTAGCAACGGCTGCTGAGGCCAGCCGCCCGCCCCTCCTGAGTCTGCCGCCCGCAGGGCTATGCGGCCGAGATGGACAGCCCCCTGATGGCGCACCTGCTCGCGGCTGGCCTCCAGGGCAAGAAGGACGTGCTCTTCGGGAACATGGAGGAGATCTACCACTTCCACCACCGGTGGGCTTCCCCCCCCAGCGTGGGCACGGCTTCTGGGGGGCTCATGGGGGGTCCTGCGGGGCAGCTCCCAGAGCAGGGCCCGCTGCCCCGAGGCCCACAGGGGCCCCACCCACAGCAGGGGCCCTCTGGGCAGCTGCAGCGCCACCCGGAGGGCCTGGTTGTGGCAAGTCCACTCTCGGAAAGGCCAGCGTGCCAGGTCCCTTCCCACCTGCTAAGAGCTGGTCTGGCCTCTCGTGGCCTCGGGAGGGACTGCGGGGGGCCAAGGGTACTGAGGGCATGGCCCGGGCACACTGTCTGGTCATGTGTCCTGTCAGCAGCGCCCCACCCTGGTCATAAGGGAGGCCCCGGCTCTGGCTGACCCCACGCTGCTCCCCCAGGAGTGGCAGCCCTGCTGGCGTCTCGACCTGGCCGCTGGCCCCTGGCAGCAGTAGGGCTGGGTCCCAGCACGCGCCGGGATTCACCCCATGGGCAAATCAAGTCAGAATCGCTGGGCCCAGCACTGAGCAGAGCAGAAACCCACCCTCTCGCGCTGTGGGCCTCACCCCGTCCCTGGTGCTGGGGCGCTCCCGGCGACCCCAGCCAGACCACGCAGGCCCTGGGATCGGTGCAGCCAGGCGGGGGGCATGAGGGGCAGGTCCCGAGGGCTGGTGGGAGGTGGGGGTGCCGTCCCGGTGGCGCTATGCCCTGACGCAGCCTTCTCTGTGCAGAGTATTCTTGAGGGAGCTGGAAAACTACATCGACTGTCCCGAGCTGGTGGGGAGGTGCTTTCTGGGAAGGGTAAGTGCGTCCTCCCGCGCGCATCGGGCAGCCTTTCTCCTGGAAGAGCTGCGTGGGGTGCCTGTGAGGGGCGAAACCCAGAGCGCCAGGACATGCGACTGCAGAGCTGAGACTGCCGGGGGCCGCGGCGGGTGGGGGTGCCGTGCCCCACCCAGACAGCATGTGCCCCGTCAGTGGGCAGCGAGCCTCGCGGCCCTCCGCCGCAGGCTCAGCCCCTCCGGTTCCGACGAGACGGGGCCCTTGCTGGCAGGGCTAGGAAAAGTGACTCTCTGCAGCAGTCCCGTGGCTCGCTCAGAAAGAGATGCCAACTGGCAGAGGCCACTACGAGCCGAGCCGCGCTGCGGCCAGGAGGTCAGAGGGCCTCTCTCGGGTCCTGGCGCCTCCTGGCAGCCTCGGGTGACCTCTGCGTCCCGCCTGGCTCCTCTGTCACAATGGCCGCCCGTCCCCTCAGGCTCGCCGGCCTGGGGCTGCGTCCAGAGCGGCTAGAGGCTGGCCTCCGAGTGCCGCCGGCGCGCCTGCCCTGACCCTGCTCGGCAGCTCCAGCGGGTTCTGGCGGGGCCTGCGGCAATGTCCTGCCCCGGCCAAGGTGGACGCAGGCTCCCCGGCCGCCCAGGCCTGGGTGGGGAGGCCATCTGCTCCGACCGGCCTGCCCTGGGCGCTCCCCCGAGTCTGCGGCTCCGCTACACCTTTGAGAAGCCCCCGGCCGCCCACACCTGCCCTGGGCCGCGGGAACGCCAGGGCTCGCCCTGAGCATGCAGACTTGCGCGAGGCGTGACCTCACGTCCACTCCTTCCCCACGCGACCCCCCCGGCCCCCACGCCTGCCTCTCCCCCTGCCCGCCCCCTGCACACGTGCCCCGCCCCCGCCCCGCGCGGCACCGGCCCGACCTGCAGCCCGCATCCCTGCAGATGGAGGAGTTCCAGATCTACGAGAAGTACTGCCAGAACAAGCCGCGCTCCGAGAGCCTCTGGCGCCAGTGCTCCGACTGCCCCTTCTTCCAGGTGGGTCGGCCCGGGCGGCGCCACAGGGGCCCGGGGGGTCTGGGCCCGGGCAGCGCCCACTGGGGAGTCTGGGCAGCGTCTGACAGGCGGGGCTCGCAGGAATGCCAGAGGAAGCTGGACCACAAGCTGAGCCTGGACTCCTACCTGCTGAAGCCCGTGCAGAGGATCACCAAGTACCAGCTGCTGCTCAAGGTGGGCCCCGGCGGCCGCCGGGTCTGAGGGCAGCCGGCTCGGCCTCCGCCACCCCACCCGCCCTCCCCTGGCGCCTGGGCTCCGGGCCGGGGCGCTGCCGAGGCGGGGGCACCCCACAGGGCCCCCGGGCCTGGGCTGGGCAGGGCGGGCCTCGGGCGCTGCTCCCGGGTCCAGCGAGGCTGCGCCCACGGTCCCGGCCGGCCAGGGGCGGGCACAGGGGCAGCGCCGTGTCCGCGGCCCTGACGGCGCCTCCCGCAGGAGATGCTGAAGTACAGCAAGAGCTGCGAGGGCGCCGAGGACCTGCAGGAGGCCCTGAGCTCCATCCTGGGCATCCTCAAGGCCGTCAACGACTCCATGCACCTCATCGCCATCACGGGCTACGACGTGAGCGTGGGGACCGCCCCGCCCGGCTCCCAGCCCCTGCAGCGCCCCCACCGCGCTCCGCCCGGCCGCCCTCCCTGCAGGCACCCCGGTCCCTCCCTCACCGCCACCGCCCCCCCCCCCCCCCCCCGGGCTCGCGCCCCCCGCAGGCGCCCTGCGGTCCCCATGCCCCGTGTGGCCTGTTTCAGGGCAACCTCGGCGACCTGGGCAGGCTGCTGATGCAGGGCTCCTTCAGCGTCTGGACCGACCACAAGAAGGGCCACGCCAAGGTGAAGGACCTGGCCAGGTTCAAGCCCATGCAGCGGCACCTGTTCCTGCACGAGAAGGCCGTGCTCTTCTGCAAGAGGCGGGAGGAGAACGGGGAGGGCTACGAGAAGGCCCCCTCCTACAGCTACAAGCAGTCCCTGAATGTGAGGGAACCCCTGACCCCCCCCCCACGTCCCCCCACACTGCCCTGAGGCGCGCGGCAGCCCTGTCCGCAGCCGACAGCTGCCCGGTCTCTGATTGTCAGATGACGGCCGTGGGCATCACGGAGAACGTCAAAGGCGACATGAAGAAGTTCGAGATCTGGTACAACGCCAGGGAGGAGGTGTACATCATACAGGTGGGGTGTGCATCACGCAGGTGGGGGTGTGCATCACGCAGGTGGGGGAGGTGTGCATCACACAGGTGGGGGAGGTGTGCATCACGCAGGTGGGGGTGTGCATCACACAGGTGGGGGGGTGTGCATCACACAGGTGGGGGGGTGTGCATCACGCAGGTGGGGGGGTGTGCATCACGCAGGTGGGGGAGGTGTGCATCACGCAGGTGGGGGAGGTGTGCATCACACTGGTGGGGGAGGTGTGCATCACACAGGTGGGGGTGTGCATCACACAGGTGGGGGTGTGCATCACACAGGTGGGGGGGTGTGCATCACGCAGGTGGGGGAGGTGTGCATCACGCAGGTGGGGGAGGTGTGCATCACGCAGGTGGGGGAGGTGTGCATCACACAGGTGGGGGAGGTGTGCATCACACAGGTGGGGGAGGTGTGCATCACACAGGTGGGGGAGGTGTGCATCACGCAGGTGGGGGAGGTGTGCATCACGCAGGTGGGGGAGGTGTGCATCACACAGGTGGGGGTGTGCATCACACAGGTGGGGGAGGTGTGCATCACACAGGTGGGGGAGGTGTGCATCACATAGGTGGGGGTGTGCATCACACAGGTGGGGGTGTGCATCACGCAGGTGGGGAAGGTGTGCATCACACAGGTGGGGGAGGTGTGCATCGCGCAGTTGTGGGGAGGTGTATATTACACAGGTGGCCGAGCTCTCTCGGCGGGCATTAAAGTTTCATAAGCCTCTTCAAGTGAGAGCTGTTTCTAGAGCCTTCCTGGAAGCTCCCACCAGAGGCCAGGAGCAGCCCCAGTTCTGGGCTTGGGGCCGTCCCAGGCCCTTTCACCGGAGCAGGACCCAGGGGCCCTACAGCGGGCTCTGCTCATCAGAAGGCTGGGCTGCAGCCCGCCCCACCCCACTCCACCCCACCCCTGGAGACCGTGACCCTGAGCCCACAGCCCACCCTTGAGGAGCCCCAGGCCCCGGCGGCCCCGCCCCACATGCTGCCCTTGTCCGCCACACCCTCAGGCCACTGCCCTGCTGGCCATGGGGACAGGCCCCGCTCCCTCAGCCTGGGCTCCTGTCGCGGGCCAGACTTCAGGGCCGGGCCGCGAGCCCTGACTCTGGCTTCTGGGCAGGCACCGACTCCTGAGGTCAAAGCCGCCTGGGTGAGGGAGATCCGGAAGGTGCTGACCAGCCAGCTGCAGGCCTGCAGGGGTGAGTGCCTCCGTCCTGCATCCTCCCCGGCCCGGGCCACTGCCCGGCCTGGCCTCATGTGCTGCTTCCTCCCGCAGAGGCCAGCCAGCACCGGGCCCTGGAGCAGTCCCAGAGCCTGCCCCTAACCTCGGCGCCCAGCACCAGGTGAGGCACCCATGTTGCCGGACCTCCGGGCTGGGGTCATCTGAGCCAGCCCCCCGAGCGCTGCCGCTGTCAGGAGCACCTGTGACAGATGGGTCAGCCCAGTGGGCAGCTCCGCCCCAGGCGGACACCCCGGGAGCTGGGGCGGGTGGGAGTCTGTCCCCAGGACCCGCCGCTGGACAGCAGGGTAGCCGCCCATTGGGCCCTGCTCTGCCCTTACTGCTGCCCCGTCACCGCATCCACCTCCCCCCCTCCCCCTCCTCCCTCCCCCTCCTCCCTCCCCCTCCTTCCTCTCTCCCTCCCCCTCTCCCTCCTCCCTCATCATCCTCCCTCTCCCTCCCCCTCCTCCCTCCCCCTCCTCCCTCCCCTCCTCCCTCCCCCTCCTTTCCTCTCCCTCCTCCCTCCCCCTCCTCCCTCCCCTCCCCTCCTCCCTCCCCTCCTCTCTCTCCCTCCTCCCTCCCTCCTCCCTCTCCCTCCTCCCTCATCATCCTCCCTCTCCCTCCCCCCTCCTCCCCTCCCCCTCCTCCCTCCCCCTCTCCTCCCTCATCATCCTCCCTCTCCCTCCTCCCTCTCCCTTCCCCCTCTCCCTCCCCCTCCCCTCCCTCCCCCTCCTCCCTCCCCCTCCTTCCTCTCTCTCCTCCCTCCCCCTCTCCCTCCTCCCTCATCATCCTCCCTCTCCCTCCCCCTCCTCCCTCCCCCTCCTTTCTCTCCCTCCTCCCTCCCCTCTCCCTCCTCCCTGTCCCTCCTCCCTCTCCCTCCTCCCTCATCATCCTCCCTCTCCCTCCCCTCCTCCCTCTCCCTCCTCCCTCCCCCTCCTCCCTTTCCCTCCTCCCTCCCCCTCCTCCCTCATCATCCTCCCTCCCCCTCCTCCCTCTCCCTCCTCCCTCCTCCCTCCCTCCTCCCTGTCCCTCCTCCCTCCCTTCTCATCACTCAGCCCAGGATGTGCTCTGAATAGCAACCCAGAGACCCAGAGTTCTAAAAGAAAGGCCCCCCCAGGACAGCCCCCAGCTGACTCAGGGCTGGGAAGGTGCCAGCCCCCTGGGGAGACGGCGTGGGCACCGGGCACTCAGCCCGGAGAGTGTGGAGAGCTGAACATGCACCTCTGTCTTCCCACATGTCCGACGCCATCAGTCCCTCGAAAGGAAACACAAGAAACAGCAAAAAGTTGGAAGAAAGAAAAACTGACCCTCTAAGTCTGGAAGGATATGGGGGCTCGACATCAGGGCCAAAGCCCCCCGACAAAGGCAAAGGTGGGGGTCTGCAGTGACCGAGCCTGCTGTGCTGCAGCCCTGTCTGGGTGATGTCCTTTGTGGCATCGAGTGCCAGTCTCTGCCTGCACAGGAGGCGTCTGTGGAGGTCAGGGTACCCAGCTGTCCGTGTCCAGACCCCGGAACCTCCCCCTGCCGGCATGCACCTCAGCGCAGGGCAGCTCCTGCCGCCCGGGCCTCCCACCCTGGGGTGCAGGCGCCTGGAGGCCCTCTCTCTTCCTCCGTAGAAGACGTGGTCACCAGCTCCGCCTCGGAGAGCTCAGCGCTCTCCAGGAAGCTCTCTGCGCGGCAGGGCCCGGCGCACCCCACAGGGCTCCCGGGTAAAGGCATGCCCCATGTGGATGTCGCCCTGCACGTGCCCGCCCATCGGGGGGTCTCGGGGTGACCCTGGGGGCTGCGGGCCCCAGTGCAGGGAGCCCTGCATCTGTGCGCTCCCGCGGTCGGCCTTTCCCGCAGCCGGCAGGCTCTGCCCAGGCGTGCGGGGCACTGGGCTGTGGGGGGACACTGCCGCGGCAGCAGGCGGGCCCCGCGGGTGGTCCCCAGGCCAGGAGCCGCATCCCCGGCCCTTTCCGTCAGAGCTTGGGCGTCTCGTGTTCCGCCTGCAGAGCGCCGTCCAGCGGTCCCGCGGGGGAGGGCGGCGGGCATGGCCAGGCGCTCCCACGACCCGCGCGGGCGCCAGGCGCGGCCGCAGGCTGCACTGCTGTCCAGAGCCGGCACCCGCCTCCTCCCGCCTCCCCTGCCTGCTGGGCAGCGAGCGCGACCCCCGGAGGGCGGCGTCCAGGGTGCGCCGCCTCACTCTGCGTCTTCCGCTGTCTGTGTGTCCCTCTTCCTCCGCAGCGCCGCCCGCCAGCCCCGACAAAAAGGCCAAGCGCCACGAAGTAAAGAGTGACCCAACCCCCCTGGGCCTGCGAGGTAGGGTGGCCGGCCCAGCCCTGCAGGCGGCGTCTGTCACCCCGCCCCCGAGCAGCCTGGTCAGCCTCCCCCGCCCGGCTGGCTCGGGCGCCCTGTCCGCCTGCCGCCCGCCGCGCCCCCGGCGCCACCTTCCCCAGCCTCCTGGGGACAGAACCGAGCCGCAGGACCCCACCTCCAGCTCAGGGGGCGCGGCCAGTGTGTGTGGCGGGGTCAGGCTCCGTGTCGGGGCTGGGCCGTCTCCACGCGTGTCCGGGGGCTGAGGCCCTGGAGCCGGGCCAGGGCCAGGGCCGCGCTCCCAGCGTCTCACCCGCCTTCTTCGGGGTTTTCCGAACCGGTGACGATTCGCTGGGGCGTGGCGCCCCCGTCGCACCCAGTGCCGCCTCTGTCCTCGGGACCCGCCCTGCCCCAGGCGCCAGGGCAGAGCCCCGCTCGGGAGAAAGGAGCCGCCTCCCGTGCAGGCTCCGGAGCGGCCGTCCCGTGCCCGTGCGCCTCCCGCCGGCCGGGGGTGCCCTGCCGTGGGAGCCGGCGGGCGGTGGCCGCTGCGTGTGAGCGGCCCCAGGCCGCTCCGGCCACCTGCCAGCCGGGGCCTCGGCCGGCTGCGTCCTCTGCCTGAAGACGCGGCGGCTGTGCCGGTGCAGCGGGCCGGCGTCTCCGCTCAGGGGTCCTCGCAGGCGGGCTCCGGGGCGCCGTGCTTGGGCCCCAGCTGCTCACCCCCAAGCCGAGGCTCACCTGTGGCCGGCAGCTGCCCAGCCCCTCTTCCCTCGCGTCCTTGGCGTTCTCTGCCCCCGGGTGCTGGGCGCGCTGGTGGGCTGGGGGGCCAACCACCCGCCAGGCCCCACTGACACCCCCCCACGCACCCGGGCAGGCGGCATCTGCTAGTCTGAGCTGGATGCCAGGCTCCCCAACTCTCCATCAGGCTCAAGTCAGGGGGACCCTGGGCCCGACAGCCTGGCCTGGCCTGGCCGAGCGGGGCTCACGGGGTCTGCTGGCCCTCACACTTCCTGGGGAACAGGGACATTTCCTGGGCTACAGACTCCTTGGGGTGCAGGCACACCTCCTGGGGTGCGGGCACTTGACTGGTTAATCCAGAGCTCGGGTCCCCCCGTCGGGAACCAGGGCAGCTTGCTGAAGCCCGTGGCCGCCGCGCCTGCCCTGCGGCCTGACCCGGGTGAGGCGGGGTCGCGGCCCCTCACCCCAGCGCCGGCCTCCCGGAGCGCAGCGCCCCCCCACGCGGGAGGGGCTGGGGCGCCCCCCGCTGCACCCGGCATTCGCCCAGAGCCAGCACCCCCCACGCCCCCCGCGTGCGCCCCAAAACAGAAAGCAGGGGAGGCCGCGCGGCTCGCGTCTGGTGCAGCGACCGCGAAGGGCGCCTCCCGGGCGGCGCCCCCAGGGCGGGTGGTGCGGGCCCCGCGGTGCTCACGGCGCTCCCCGCGCAGGCTGGGGCCGGAGCCCGCACCCCGCCGAGGCCGAGGCGCCCGAGGACGGCGGCGGCTGGTCCAGCGCGGAGGAGCCCGGCAACTCCTCGGACGCGGAGGAGGACTGCGGCGCGGGCCCCGCAAGCTGGTACCGGGGCTCGGGCGGGCGGGGGCCGGGGCGCCCGGCCCCCGCAAGCTGGTACCGGGGCTCGGGCGGGCGGACGGGGGGGGCCGGGGCCCCCGCAAGCTGGTACCGGGGCTGGGGGGGCCGGGGGGCCCGCGGCCGCGTGACCTGGCGCCCCTCGAGAGCGCGGAGCCCCTGCTCGCCCCGCCCGGGGCGTCCTGCGAGAGCGGCCAGCGGGGGCCCGGGCTCGGGGGGCGCTCTGGGGGCGCTCTGGGGGGCGCGGGGCCTGACCCGCCGGCCGCCAGGTCCCCGGCAGGTACACGGTGCTGAGCCCCGAGGGCCGCGGCGGCCCCGACGCGCTGGCCGTGCGGAGCGGGGACGTGGTGGAGCTGCTGCAGGAGGGCGGCCGGGGCCTCTGGTGAGCCGCGGGCCGGGGGGCGGGGGGCGGGGGCCGGGGGCCGGGGGCGGGCGGCTCCTGACGGCCGCGCCCCCCAGGCATGTCCGGAACCTGCGGTCCAGCCGCGAGGCCTGGCTGCCCGCCCGCAGCCTGTGCGCGCTGCTCGGCCGCTCCAGCTCCGCGCAGTGCCTGAGCAGCCCAGGTGAGCGCGCCCCGAGCCCCGAGCCCCCCGCGGCCCCCGAGCCCCCCGCGGCCCCCAAGCCCCCCCGCGGCCCCCAAGCCCCCCGCGCGCCCGCCTGCTGCCCCCACCGCGGCCTCCCGCGGCGGCCGGCGCGGCCCCCAGCAGCTCCTGCAGCGCAGCCGGGCTGCGGGCGCCGCCCTGGGCCCGGGGGTAGCGCCGGGGCGGCCCCGCCCGCGCCCCTGACCGCCTCCCTTGGCCGCCAGTGCGGTGAGGCCGCGGGGCCGCAGGACGCCGCGAGGCCCGGCCGGAGCCAGGGGCGCGCGCGGGGCAGGACCGTCCACCCGCGTCCGCGCAGCGGGGGCCGCGGCCCCTTGGAACGCCCGGCCGGACGCGGCCCGGGACGCCGGGAGCCGCCGGAGCCGCCGGGACGCCGGAGCCCCGCGCAGGCCAAGGGCAGCCGGGCGCCCCGTCGCCAGAGCGGTCTGCGCGGGACACTCTGCCGCGGCCGCGCTGCGCATCACTGTTTACAGGGGTGACGGCTTATACTGGATTTGATATGAAGCTATTTTTTGTTACTGGGGTTCACACCAGGCCCGTCGCTTCCACCACTGGACCCGGCCGGCCGCCCCCCCCACCGGCGCCTCCCCACGGAGGCGCTGGCCCCAGAGGGGCCGTGACCAGGGCAGCTTCACCTCCAACAGAAAACTCAGACTTTAATTTAAAATATTGACCTTGTTTTCTACAAAAAACTGGGGAACTCTTGACTTTTTTAAGCATTTCACCGAGTTAGGATGTTTCTATCGTTTTTAAGAACATTGGAGGATGCGGTTCTCGCGGGCCTGCTCGGAGCCAGCACCCCCTGCGGCCTGGACCCTGCGCTCCGCGGCCGCGCCGGCCGTGGCTGGGCCAAGAGTCAGGGCCGGGCCGGGCACTGCCCTCCGCACGGCCGCAGCAGAGCTCGGGCCTCTTGTGTCCAGAGACAAAGTGTTCGCTGGGACTCTGGGTCCTGGCTGGGCGGGTTCATCCCGCGCGTGTCCGCGTGGCTGCCGCGAGGACGCGTGTGTCGCCCCGGCTGCCGGCAGCCGCCCGCCCGGCCGGGCCTCCCCATGCAGGCTGGTGGCCGGGCCTCTGCTCGGCGATGGAACACCTGCAGAGGCTCGGGACTTTTCTCCGGGGTGTAAGTTACTAGAATGACGCGTCGGGTAATTTATTTGCTGGACCGTGGGGACGCCTGGCGCCACCTCGGCCGGGCCGGCCCACGGTGTTGTGATCTCATGAAGCACTTTAAGACCATGTTTAGTCACTGTTCACTTTTTAACCTGCTCATGTAAATAAAATTTGAATCTCGGAGCTCTTTCGTGGGTGGATGGCATTTGATTCTCCCAGGGAGGGCCCGGCCGCCTTTGCTCCTGGGCACGGGAGGGCAGGGGAGCAGGCGCCTGCACCCCGGGCAACGGTCCCCTTTACTTTGTCAAGAGCAATTAAGATACAACAATAACAGCCTTCTGGCACCATCAGTGTAAAGCTCACAAAATAAATGTGACATTAATATCAGAATAAGAATCCAGTTGGTAACTTCTGCCCCAAAAGGGGAGAAGAAAGGTCGGCCCCGGCAGGCGGACAGCGAGCAAAGAGCAAGCACAGAACAGGCTCCCTGGGGACGGCGTGTCCCCCCAGGCAGCGTCCGTGGCCGGATGAACCAGACGCCGCCACCGCGGGCAGAGACCTGGGAAGGAAACTACGAAGGTTGGAAGCAAAAGAAAGACGAAAACAAAGCGTTTGGACGGGGAGCGGGCCGGGCCGGGCCGGCGCGTCGGGGTGTCATCATCTCCCTCTGGTCCTGACAAGGAGAGACACGCACATAATTTCCCAGCACGCTCGGAACGTGCACGACATACCCGCAAAACAACCGAAGAAGGTAGCCGGAAATTTCAAAGTGTGTTTCTAACCCACTTTGAGTCAGAAGGGAAATTTCGTGGGGCGTTCCGGGGGCCCCACTGGGCAGACCCGGGGCGCTGGCGGTGGCCCCGCGCCGTCCGCTTCCGGCCTCTCCGGCTTCTGTGGGACAAAATAAATGTGTCACCGTTGAAGGAAACATTTAGGCAGGCGATTCACAAAAGAAGAAACTACAGCTATGGAGAGGAGAAAATACTGAGTCTTTTCTTTGAAAAATGTGCTCTGGTGATGTAGGGAGACGCGGAAACTTCACAAGAGAAGATTTAAATGAAAGCTCCGTTATGAACAACAAAGTACAACTTTTCCTTAAAAAATAGCTGTTCTTGGGCCTCCCCGGGGGCGCAGCGGTTGAGCGCTGGGTTGCGGAGCTGCCCGCGGCCTCTGCGGCGCCGGTTCGATCCCCGGCTGCTCCCCGGCCACCGGCGGAGGGTCCCACATGGCGCGCAGACCTCTCCTGCCGCCCGCTGCTCCCCTCAGCAGTGTCCTTCGGTCCTTCTGCCTGCTCTGCTCCCCGCTCTGGCTCTGGTGGATTCTCTCACCCTCCCGCGCTTCTGACTGTACCCAGTGCTTGTATAAACAAATAAACAAAATAAATTAATAAATAAATAAAATACGTGCCTCTTTAAAAAAAAAAAATAGCTGTTCTTGGTCCTCCCTCGTGGCATAAAGTGTTAAGCACAGCACTATGAAGGGATCCGCAGCCTCTGCAGCACAACTTCGATCCCAGGCCCACCAGGGAGCAACCCGCAGGGTGCAGCAGACCTCTCCTGACTCCGCTGCTCCCCTCAGCAGGGGATTTCGTCAGTCTGCCTGTTCTGCTCCCCAATCTGTCTCTGGTGACTCCTCTCACCCCTGCATCTCTGGCCTGTACCCCAGATCTTGTATGTATAAATGGATAAAATCTTTTAAAAAAAAATAGCTGTTCAAATGAATCAAGAAGAAATAAAATACCTGGTTGATGGATAAAAATTAAACAAATTGAAATGCACTTAAAAAAAATCATCCCCAAGCAGGTACCAGGCTCAGTTGTTTAAGGTAAATGTCTTATATTAAAATATTTCTATATTTCAAAGACGGTGAAAGGAGGGACGGACTCAGCATTTCATGAAGCCAGTTTAATCTTGGTGCATAAACCCAACAAAGATGACATTACAGGAAATAAATTTATGACAACAAATGCAAAATTTTCAGAACAGGTATAAGAAAACAAAACCCAACTGTATGTTATAAACAAAAGTAATATCTTCTAACCAATTAAGTTTATTGCAAAAATACAAGGGTGGGGCCTCCCTGGTGGCACAGGGGTTAAGACACAACCGATGAGGCTGTCCGCAGCCTCTGCAGCACAAGTTCCATCCCTGGCCAGGGAGGGTCCCACAGGGCGCAGCAGACTCTCCTGTCTCCCCGCTGCTCCCCTCAGCAGTGTGTTTCGGTCAGTCTGCCTGTTCTGCTCCCCGCTCTGTCTCTGGTGAGTCCTCTTACCCCCCACCTCTGGCCTGTACCCCAGATCCTGTGTGCATAAATAAATAAATCTTTAAAAAAATGCAAGGGTGGTTTGATATCACGAAATTATTGCTGTGATTTGCCGTAAAGAACCAGGGCAGGGGGATGACTAGCTCAATAGATGCAAGAAAAAAATCCCTTTTTATTCACATTCATTTTTAATATTTAGCCCACTGGTGAAAGAATTGGTGCGGTAAAGAGGAAAGGGAGGCGAAGTTTCTCACGGGCAAGAAATTTATTGCGCTCATGGACGAGGTTCGCCGACCCCCGCGGGGGTCAGAGAAGTCGCGCAGAGAGAAGTCGCACCCGTTGGGGGATGAGCGCAAGCTTTTATAGGGCAGGGTCTGGCCTTGGGGGAAGGTGGAGAATGTGGAGTCGAAGTTGCTTTTCAAAGAAGTTTTTCTCTCAGGACTGGTTGTTCTTTCGACGCTGCTTATCAGGGCCCCTGCAAACCGGGTAGAGCGGCTCCCCGGAGGCAGGTGGCAGCAGTTTCACGTTCCCCCCGCTACCCCATCTCCGCCCCGGCCTCCACCCGTGCAACTGGGAACAGAAGAAAAAAATTTGTTTGACCTAATAAAATGTGTCGAACAAAATCTTAGTAAGAGGCCCCGAGATCAGCGACCCACGAAAGCCATTCACATTCTTGGCAAAAGTAAACCACGAAACACCTTTCAACAGCCACCAAGTGGTTGAGCCCGTGAAATAACATGTCGGAGTTTGTGGACGCAGGGATGGTGGAGCCGCAGGGCAGGAGGCCGGGCCGCAGGGCAGGAGGCCGGGCCGCAGGCCCTCCCCGCTCTCGGCGTCTTCACCTAAAGCTGAGCATGTGCTCTGCGGGGCCAGAGCTTGGCTGCCGTGTTTGCAGGAGGAGCCGCGGGCACCGCCACGTGGAGGGGGGCGGGGGGGCAGGCGGGGGCCCGCCGAGGGGACAGCAGCGGACTCCCCGTGCCCAGACGTCAGAGCACACGCCTCCTGTCACCTGCGGGCAGGCGTCCATTTCTGACAAAAGACAGCAAGCGACGCCTGAGGAGAGGCGCTGGCCTGAGCGTGGGCCGCGGCCGCAGGAAAGCGTGGGTGGCAGAGCGGAGGCGGACGCGGAGCCCAGGTGTGCGCGGGGGGGCGGCGGGCCGTGTGCACGCACACGCGTGGGGACAGGCGAGCATGTGCGTGATGGTGTGCACCGATGCCCGTGCGTGCATGGGTGTGCGCGTGTGTACACGAGCGTTTGCGTGGGGGCCGCGTGTCTTGCACGGGAGTGTGTGTGGTTGTGCGGGTCCGGCACCGCCCCTGGCACGCTCGCACCCACAGCGGCCATGGGCAGCCACGTGGGGGGACCACGCAACTGGCCGGGGGCGGGCCTTTCCCGCAGCCAGACTGATGTCCGAGCCCGGGGCAGCCAGAGCCAGAGCTGCGGCCTCGGCCTGGGGCGCAGAAGCGGCATTTCCTGCTTGCGCCTCCCAGGGACTCTGTCCCCAAACACAGGTCGGCAAACAAGGCCGAGGGCAAGGCCTGGCGGGAGGACCCGCGGTGGGGAGGGGCCTGGGCGGCCGGGGCCGGCGGGCCGTGGGCTCAAGCGGAGAGGGGCGGCTCCAGGCCAAGGTGCACACGGCAGCCCCACGCCCAGAGCGTGCCGAGTGCAGGGAGCCCCGCAGGCCCGGAATGGGAGGCCTGGTTTCACGGGGAAAGTGCCACATGGAGTCCCCAGCCCAGGTGGGTCCAGAGCAGCTGGTCGAGGCCCAGAGGAACCCGAGAGACAGACTGCGTTGCCCCAACATTAGGAGCCGCTGCAGCCGAAACAGGGCCCCTGCTTGGGACGCCCCCTTCCTGGGCAGACCCCCTTCCTGGGTGGACTCCACCCCAGAAGCAGGCCCCCAGGGCAAGCCTCCCTCTCTGTGACTTTCCTGGGGCCTGGCCTGGGGGCTGCGCCCTTCCTTCCTCCACTCTGCCAGCCAACGCGTCCCAGGGCTCAGAGTCTGAGCTGCAGTGGGCGGAGGCCCAAGCCCTGGTGCTGGGCGGGCCTGGCTGGGGTCCTCCCCCTGAGCCCGGCCTCCGCCTGCCCCCTCCCGCCCCTCGCAGGCTGAGAACTTTATTCGAGGCCTCCTGGACTGTGCCCACAGCGGCCCTCACCATGGCCCCCCTGGTCCTGCTCTGCGTCCTGCTGGGCCTGCGCGGGCCTCTGGCGGCAGGTATGTTTCCGCATCCCAGAAAGTCGGGGTGCGTCCCTGGCCCCCACAGCCGCAGGCCGCTGTCCCAAGGGCTGCGCTGAGGCTTCAGCTTGAGCTGCCTCCCTGGCCCTGCAGAGGCCAGCTGCTGCAGCAGTGCAGGCCCCTGGGGCTCCGCTGGGTGTCCGGCCCAGGACTGGGGGCGCCGCCCCCTTGCTCTGCGCTCTGTGGCTCTGGCCTGGGGACCCTGGGGGACCGGATCCGGCTGCGCTGTCCCCTCCGCAGGCTCCAGCGCCGAGCGGCCCACGAGGAGAGTGCGAGGGGCGGGGGCACCTGCAGAACTCAAGGAAGAGCCCTGGCCTTGGGGCTGCTCCAGGGGTCTCTGCAGGCCCCGCCCAGGCCCCGTGGGCCTCCTCCCTGCTTTCCCCCACGCGCGCTCCCTGCCCCCTGCCGGCCAGGCCAGCCGTCCCCTCCGCAGCGCCTCCCCCTCTCTCTGACCTAAAGCAGAGAGGCCTCGGCCTCGGCCGCTCGCCCTCACTGCGCCCCACTCCCGCCTCCTGCCTGCCCAAGGCCCTGGCCACACGCATGTCCCGCTGCCGGGCCTGTCCTTCCCCGAAGCCGCCTCCCCTGGCCTCCCCGGGACTCAGTTACCCCGCCGTGCTTTCCCTGGGCCCTGGTTAGCTCAGCTTCCCCATCATCCCACACCCTGCCGACAGGCAGGGGTGCCCCCCCAGCGCCAGCACCCCAATGCCATCTCCCAGCGGGGCCGACACCCTCCAAGGGCTCCTACCCCCGGGGGTGGGCGGGGCCAGAAGGGCGGGGGCTGCGGGCAGCCGTGCACGCCCACGTGCCCCAGTCTTCGTCACGCAGGAGGACGCCCACCGCGTGCTGGGCCGCCGCAGGCGCGCCAACTCCTTCCTGGAGGAGCTGCGGGCCGGCTCCCTGGAGCGCGAGTGCCGGGAGGAGCACTGCTCCTTCGAGGAGGCCCGGGAGATCTTCAGGGACACCGAGCGCACGGTGAGCGGCCGGGCCACCATGGCCTCCCTGGGGAGCTGGCCCGGGCCAGGTGCGCGGCCCGGCCACGGCGCTCCCCGGGTCCGGCTCGGCCTCCGCCCGGCACCCACCGTTCTGCGTCAGGAGACAGGTGCGGGCGCCAGCTCGAGGCGGGGCGTCCTGAGCCCCCGGGGTCCGGCCACTGAGCGGCCACGGCGCGGGAAGGGCGGCCAGAGCCGGACAGCAGACGCCTGGGCGCCGGCCCACGCGGCAGGGACGCAGGCTCCCGAGCGCCTCCCTGTCTCCGCAGAAGCAGTTCTGGGTCTCGTACAACGGTGAGTGAGCACTCGGCCCCCGCGCCCTGCCCTCCGCCGCGCCTCACACCGCCTCGCCCGCAGATGGGGACCAGTGCGCCTCCAACCCCTGCCAGAACGGGGGCTCCTGCGAGGACCAGCTGCAGTCCTACCTCTGCTTCTGCCCCGAGGACTTCGAGGGCCGCAACTGCGAGACAAGTGAGGGCCCCGAGGGGGTGGGCGGCCCAGGCGGTGGGCGGGGCCTCCGGCTGCTGACCCTCAGGCCCAGAGGCCCCTGTCATCCCCCGCACCTTGAGCCCAGTGCGGGGTGCCTGGCACCCCCCGGGAGCTGGTGGGCACCCCGTCACAGCTGGCCACATGTCCACCTGCCAGGCCCTGGGCTAGCCAACCGCCGCACTAGCTGAGCAGAGCCGGCCACTGCCCCCTCCACACAGGAGAGCGCCACAAAGTCCAGGCCCCGCCACCGGGAGGCCCATGGAGGCGCCGGGGGACTCGCAGAGCTGGCAGGCTCGTGTCCCTGCCCTGTCCAGGGGGACCTGGCGTGCGATGCCCGAGCCCCAGCCTCTCCCACCCTCTCCTGCGAGGCTTTGCAGTGGCCTGTCCTCCTCTGAAGGCTACTGTGGGCGCCCCCGAGCCTTGGGCTGGCCACCCAGAGCTCACCCGCCTCAGCCCCAGAGTGCAGCCAAGAGCCGAGGCCCCGGGAGCTGCACCTGCTGGGCGGGATAGGTGCAGGGCCCCCAAGTCGGGGTGCCGAGGCTGCTCTTCCCTGAGCACCCCAGCCCCACCGCTGCGGCGGGGTCTGAGCGGCGCCCCAGCGGGGTTCCCACCGAGCCTCTGTCCCCAGACAAGGACGAGCAGCTGATCTGTGCCTACGAGAACGGCGGCTGCGAGCAGTACTGCAGTGACCACGCGGGCGCCCGGCGCACCTGCCGCTGCCACAAGGGCTACACACTGCAGCCTGACGGGGTGTCCTGTGCGCCCTCAGGTAGTGCCCCAGCCAGGCGGGGTGTTGCGGCACCCGGGGTTCCACACCCAGCCCCCCAGAGCCCACCATGCCCAGAGTGCCAAGGGGCGCTCTGTGCCCCCCCAAGGCACTCTGCCCTCTCAGGGTGCTCTGCCCCCGCAAGCCCTCCTGCAGCTTTGGGGTCCACCTGCCATGTCTGGTGTCAGGGTGACTGGGGCAGTTCTGGACCCCAGTCTTCTGTAAAGGTGAGTGCATTTAGGAAGATGGGGGTGTTCTCCAAAGACACCTCAAAATAATGGGGTACAGTTGCAAAGTTGGGGTGCCCTGAGTATGTCTTCAGAGACAGACGTCCCCACCCCACCCCAGCATGGAAGCCTGCAGTTCAGCCCCGGGCCCTCGAGCCCAGGCACTCCGCGGCCAGCACCTCCTCCCAGAAAGGGCAGGACGTCGCAGCAAGGAGGCCCTTGGCTCCTGCACAGTGGCCCTGCCCCTGGCTCCCCGCAGCACCCCCCGCCCCCCGCCCCCCGCAGCCCCAAGCCTCTGACTTTGTTGTATGCAGTTAAATATCCATGTGGGAAAATCCCGGTTCTGGAGAAGAGAAACGGCAGCACCTCTCGAGGGCGAATTGTGGGTGGCACCGTGTGCCCCAAAGGGGAGTGTCCCTGGCAGGTAAGAGGGGCCAGGAGGGCCAGCCTGGGATCCCAGCCCCGCTCACCCTGACGGGGCCCTGGCCCCACACGACCCGTCCCCGGCAGCGGCCCAGCCACGCCCACAGCGCAGGCGGCCATGGTGAGGGACCCCAGGCCCAGCAGCGGCGGTCAGCACACGTTCTCTGCTCCAGCCGCCGAGCCAGAGGCCCACGCGGGCAAGTCAGGCCCCAGCGCCACTTTCCGCGGGCCAGGCTGCCCACGCCCCCTGTCCTGAGGGGACGCAGGCCCCAGGCTGCCGACCCCGCCCCTGCACCTGCGTCCCCGAGACTCCTCGCCTCCTCCGGGGAGCCCTGAGCCAGCCGGTCCTGGCGCCCCTCGCCCAGTACAGCCGAGCAGGCTCGCCTCCTCCTGCTGTTCCGGGGTGACTGAGCAGGGGCCCCAGAAGTCCTGCCTCGAGAGCCCCTGGAGCCGCCCGCTGCCGTGAGGCCAGGTCAGCGGCGGCGGCCACCCTGCACAGGTTGCTGTGCCCACAGGCTGTGCTGATGCTGAACGGGCAGCTGCTGTGCGGGGGGACGCTGGTCGACGCCCGCTGGGTGGTCTCCGCCGCCCACTGTTTCGACAGGATCAGGAACTGGGAGAACTTGACGGTGGTGCTGGGTAGGTCTGGGCCTCTGGAGAGGGGCCCCAGGGCTGCCGGGGGTCAGCTGAGGTCCCGGCACCCGCTGCCCACTGCCCGCAGGTCAGCCTTCCAGAGGAGGGGGCCCCACAGACCCCGGGCGGAGGGGGAGCCCCATGGACCCCGGGGCTGCAGGGGGCGAGGCCAGGCCCATCTGGGGAGAGCCGGGCGGGGCTCCCTCCCCGGGGCCGCGGCGCCCAGGCGCATCTGTGCCCCCAGGCGAGCACGACCTCAGCCAGGAGGACGGCGACGAGCAGGTGCGGCGGGTGGCGCAGGTCGTCGTCCCCGACAAGTACGTCCCGGGCAGGACCGACCACGATCTGGCGCTGCTGCGCCTGCGCCGGCCGGTGGCGCTGACCCCGCTCGTGGTGCCCCTCTGCCTGCCCGAGCGCGCCTTCTCCGAGCGCACGCTGGCCTTGGTGCGCTTCTCTGCGGTCAGCGGCTGGGGCCAGCTGCTGGACCGGGGCGCCACGGCGCACGTGCTCATGGCCATCCACGTGCCCCGCCTGATGACGCAGGACTGCCTGGAGCAGTCCCGCAGCCGCGCCGCGCTCACCGGGAACATGTTCTGCGCCGGCTACCTGGACGGCAGCAAGGATGCCTGCAAGGGCGACAGCGGCGGCCCGCACGCCACCCCCTACCGCGGCACCTGGTACCTGACAGGTGTGGTCAGCTGGGGCGAGGGCTGCGCGGCCGCCGGCCACCTCGGGGTCTACACCAGGGTGTCCCGCTACACCGCCTGGCTCGCCGCGGTCATGGGCTCCGAGGCCCGGCCCCTCCCCGGAGGCCCCCTCCTGCGGGCGCCCCTGGCCCCGCGCCCGCCTCCCACACACGCTGGGCCCCCACCCGGGCCCACCGGGCAGCTCGAGCCTGCCCGCCTGCCGGAGGTTGCCCCCCACCCGGCTGGCGCCCCCAGCACACACCTGGCCCCCCCGACCCGGCCAGCGCCCACCCCCAAGCCCAGCCCACCTTGAAATAAAGCCACAACCGCTCAGCGTCCACCGGAGCCCTGAGTTCCCTGAGTTCCTGCCGGTCCTCAGCGTGGGGAGGAGGAGGGAGGGGCAGCACCGAGGGCATGAAGGGAGTGGGCGGCTCGGGCAGAGCGGGACAGCGCTGGACGGCGGGTGGCCTCTGCAGGGCCACAGCAGCTGCTTCTGCACCGAGGTCCGCGGGACACATCGCACCGCCCGAGGCCTGGGACGGGCATGGTGGCCGCTGGCAGAGTGAGCTGAGCTGTCACGGAGGGCTGCCGCCGGCCGGGCCGTGGGCCATGGGCATGCCGGGTCTGCCTGGCTCTGGGCCAAGGCGCCTCCCCGCGCCTCAGTTTCCTCATCTGTAATGGGGCACGGACTCTTCTGCCGGCTCCCCACCTCCCCCGTCCCGTCTGCCCGGCTGCCGCTGTCCCTCTGCACACAGCACTTGCCTCCCGGCGCTTCTCTTTCCCCCGACCTGGCACCAGCTCAGAGCACTGGCCCCCCAGAAGCTCGGGGGCTGTGCCCGCGCCTGACTCGGGAGTCTCCGGGCCCAGAGGACGGCCAGCAGGGTGGCACACCCGCCCCGGCGGTCTGGCTGCCAGAGATGGCCAGCGGGGGCCAGGTGCTGTCCCAGGTGAAGGCGCGAGGAGACGAGAGCCGCAGGGGACAGCTCGGGTGGGCAGCGCTGGGCCCTGACCCCACGGCCTGCAAGAGGGTGCGCTGGCCTGGTAGATGCCCCCTGAGCTGGCCCGCAGCCCGCAGGCCCTTCCAGGGCTGGACCCGGTTTCCGTCATGGATGCTGCCTGGCCGTCTGTCCTGGGCCCGGCTCCGTGGCCACACCAGGCCGCCGGTGCCGCTGCCCCCCTGGACGAGGGCAGGAGCGGGGCACGAGGAGACACCCCGCAGCCTGGGGACAGTGGTTCTGTCAGGGCATGCAGGCGCTGGGCCCTCTGGACAAAGACCCCTTCTGGGATCACCCCAGTCGGGCCCCACCGAGCAGGCCATGGGCGGAGGGCGGCTGCTGGCGGGCAACAGCCACATCTACCGCGACCGCCTTGGTCCCACCGTGCCCTCCGGGCCACCAGCCCCGTCCCCGTGTCCCCGCGGTCACCTGCCCCGCCCCCGCCCCGCGGGCCCCAGCTCCAATCCAGAGGCTGAGATAAGCTGGCCGGCCGGCCACCCCGCAGCCGAGCAGTGACCCTTGCCCCGAGGCTGTCACAGGGACACAGGCTGTCTTCGGCCGTCATGGCAGGCCGGCTGCTCCTCATGGTGCTGGGCGCCTCCCTGGCTGGCCTCCTGCTGCCCGGGGGAGCGGTAAGGACCTTTGGCCTGCAGGCCGTGGCGATGGCCCTGGCCGGCGGCGGTGGCCGGGCGGGGGGGGGGTCGGTGATGCCCTCCACCTGCGAGTGGGCGACTGGCCCTGTCCCTCCAAGGTGGGGTCTCAGCCCCAGCCAGGTGTGCCTTGCCGTGGGCCAGCGGGGGCCAGAGGCCCGGGGAGATGCAGGAGAGGGCGAGAGGCGAGGAGGGGTGTGACCAGCCAGGCAAGGGGCCTCAGGGGAACGAAAGGAGACCAGCTGCGCCGAGGCCGGCCCTGCCAGGGAGGGGCCGGGACCCAGGGGCTGCCCAGCCAGCGGTGGAGCCCAGCCAGCAGCGGGCAGGGGAGGGGGCCTCTGGGGCGGGGGAGTGGAAGGGACGCGCGCAGGTGGAGGCGGGGAGCATGGGGGTGGGGAGAGAGGCCGGAGGGGTCGGCGCCAGGCGCCCACGAGGACCAGGGCTGACCCCGATGGGGCTAAGAGACCAGGGCCTGGGGTTGACCCCAGAGACGCAGCCTCCACGGCGGAGCCACGCCGAGCCGCCCGGGCGGCCCTCAGGTGGCGGCGGTGGCAGGCCGGGTCCCAGCTGCCGGTGTGAGGAGCAGGCGGCCGGGACCTCCGGAGCTCAGGGCTGGGCTTGGGGCGAGGGGGGTGGCGCTCAAGACGGGGAGCCAGGGACTCCCGGTGAGAGCCACGCCAGCCGCAGTCAGCAGGGAGGAGGGAGACCGGCCCGGGCGCCTCCCTCACGGCAGGGCCCTGTGTCCGGTGGACAGAGGAGGGGGCACCGGCCCAGGGCTCCCCATGGCAGCAGAGGGGAAAGGAGTGGGCGCCCGGGAAGCCTGGGCTGGGGGTCCCTGGTGGAGGCCTTTAATGAGGCTCCTCTGCGAGAGAGGCGCAGCGGGCTCCCCGCCGCAGGGCGCCCAGCCAGGCGGAAGCTGCGCAGGAAGCTGCTTTGCAGGGACAGCAGCTGCTTTTTTTTTTTAAAGATTTATTTATTTACACAAGAAGCGGGGTGCAGGCCGGAGGGCGGGAGGGTGACAGGGCTCCCCAGAGACAGAGTGGGGCGCACAACGGGCGGATCCGCTGAGATCCACTGCGGGGGCGCGGGGGGCGCCGCTGCGCCTGTGGTCACCCCGGCGCGACTGTGTGAGCGGCGAGGGCGCCCTGGCGACGGCGCCCCGCGCACCCCGCAGACGGCGGGGCCAGAAGCCCGGCCGGGGAGGGGGTCGGGGGGCTCCTTCTCGGGGGGCGGTCGCCCCCGCCGCCCGGGCGCCCCTCCGCGGGCCCACGGCTGGCGTCCACGCAGTGTTCGTCGGCCGGGACGGGGCGCACGCGGTGCTGGCGCGCGCGCGCAGGGCCAACTCCTTCCTGGAGGAGGTGCGGAAGGGCAACCTGGAGCGCGAGTGCCTGGAGGAGGCCTGCTCCTACGAGGAGGCGCGCGAGGTGTTCGAGGACGCGGCCAAGACGGTAGGCTGCGGGGCGCGGGGGGCCGGGGCGCGGGGGCCGGGGCGGGCGCGGGGTGGGGGTTGGGGCCGGGGCGCGGGCGCGGGGAGCCGGGGCGGGCGCGGGGCGGGCAGCGGGGCGCGGGGCGCGGGGCGCGGGGCGGGCAGCGGGGCGCGGGGTGCGGGGCGGGCAGCGGGGCGCGGGGCGGGCAGGGGGGCGCGGGCCAGGGCGCGGGGCTGGGCCAGGGCGTCGGGGCGGGCGCGGGGCGGGGCGCGGGGAGCCGGGGCGGGCGCGGGGCGGGCAGCGGGGCGCGGGGCGCGGGGCGCGGGGCGCGGGGCGGGGCGCGGGGCGCGGGGCGGGGCGCGGGCGCGGGGCGGGCAGGGGGGCGCGGGCCAGGGCGCGGGGCTGGGCCAGGGCGTCGGGGCGGGCGCGGGGCGGGGCGCGGGGAGCCGGGGCGGGCGCGGGGCGGGCAGCGGGGCGCGGGGCGCGGGGCGGGCAGCGGGGCGCGGGGCGCGGGGCGGGCAGCGGGGCGCGGGGCGCGGGGCGGGCAGCGGGGCGCGGGGCGCGGGGCGGGCAGCGGGGCGCGGGGCGCGGGGCGGGCAGCGGGGCGCGGGGCGCGGGGCGGGCAGCGGGGCGCGGGGCGCGGGGCGGGCAGCGGGGCGCGGGGCGCGGGGCGGGCAGCGGGGCGCGCGGGCGGGCAGCGGGCGCGGGGTGCGGGGCGGGCAGGGGGGCGGGGCGGGCAGGGGGGCGCGGGGTGCGGGGCGGGCAGGGGGGCGCGGGGTGCGGGGCGGGCAGGGGGGCGCGGGGCGGGCAGGGGGGCGCGGGGTGCGGGGCGGGCAGGGGGGCGCGGGGCGGGCAGGGGGGCGCGGGCCAGGGCGCGGGGCTGGGCCAGGGCGTCGGGGCGGGCGCGGGGCGGGGCGCGGGGAGCCGGGGCGGGCGCGGGGCGGGCAGCGGGGCGCGGGGCGGGCAGGGGGGCGCGGGGCGGGCAGGGGGGCGCGGGGCGGGCGCGGGCCAGGGCGTGGGGCCGCCGCGCCTGAAGCGGGCCTGCGAGCCCGAGGCCCCGGCCTGCCCCCGCCCGGCGGACCCCTGCGCCCAGCCTCGCCCGACCGCCCTGTTCGGCCCCGCGCCCGCAGCACGCGCGGGGGGCGCCGCGTCTCCGCCCAGGCCGTGGCCGCCGCCGAGTGGACGTCGCGCCCTGGGCGGCCCCGGCGAGCAGCAGGTGCGCGGCCTCCACGGAGCAGCCCCGCCCCGCCCCCCGCCCCGCCCCCACGCCCCGCCCCCACGCCCCGTGCCTACGCCTGCGCAGAGGCCGCGCCTTCAGTCTGCCCCGCGCGTGCGCAGAGCTGGCCGCGGCGGCAGGCCCGCACCGCGCGTGCGCAGAGGCGCCAGCCCCGACGGGAGGGCCGCCCCGGGCGCCCGCGCTCTGCGGCGGGACGGGCCCTCAGAGGCGAGCGAGCGCGCGCGCACGTCAGGGCGGCCGGGGGCGCCGAGGCAGTTGTGAGGGGTGCGCTTGGCGGAGCCGCGCGCCCTGCTCGAGGCCGGGGCCCGGCGGCGGCAGCGGGGGCGGGCGTGAGGGGCCGTGCGGGGGCCCCGTGGCGCGCCGCCCGCCGCGCGCCTGAGGGACCCGCGCCCCTGAGGGACCCGCGCCCCGAGGGACGCCGCCCGGGGCGGGGCGTGGCCGGGCCCCGAGGCCAGACCCGGGTGGGCCTCGCCTGAGGCCGGGGAGCGGGGGGCGCCGCGGCCGGGTCTGCGGGAGGCCAGCCAAGGGCCGCCGCCCCCTGCCTGGGCTCCTCCTCCGCGCGCCGTCCGGGCCTCGGCCGCTGGCCACGCGGGCGGTGGACGCGCGGCGGGGCTGTCGGAGCCGAGGCCGGTGGCCGCTGTGTGTGAGCGACGGGCCGGCCCCAGGCCGCTCGGCCTCCGCCGAGCGCCGGACAGACGCCCGTGCTGGACACCGCGTCGCGGGCGGCCCGGGCGCCAAAGGGCGGCCATCCCCCGCGGGCTCCGCGTCCAGGCCCGGCGCGGGGCGATGCCCACAGCCCGCAGGCGGGGCGCGGGCCGCCCTCCCGGGACCCCGTCCGGGCCTGCGTCCCCTCGGGAGGGAGCTGCCGGGCCTGGGCGCCGGTGTCGGCGTGTCTCCCAGCGTGGTCTGCCTCTGCCCTCAGGATGAATTCTGGAGCAAATACACAGGTGAGGCGCCGCCTGCCTTGACGGCGCCAGAGGAGTCGCGCCGGCTGTGTTTGCACCCGGACCCTTCTCGGCGCTGACGCGGCTTCCCGGGCCCCTGACGCCTGCTGTGGCGTAGCTCTCCCCGGCAAGCCGCGCGCTCTGGCTTTGCCGCCTGCAGCCGAGACACCTCACCCCGTGAGGACGCCAGGGCCACGGCCGCTCTCGGTCCAGGTGTGTCAGGACCAGCACGCGCGGGCCTATGGGGCGGGCCTGGCCCCGGGGCCCTCACCCGGCTCCTGGCCGGTGGCCGCCCGGTGCCCCTTCCTGTCCGCGCGGGGCGTGCGTGCCTGGCCGCGCGCCCGCCGGCCAGATGCCGGCAAACAGGAGCCTGGGCCATGCCCGGCCCAGAGGCGAGTGCCAGGCTCGGCTCCGCCCCGCCGGCCGCACCCCCACAGGCCCGGGTACCAGCGTGGCTGACGCGTGGGCAGAGGCAAAGGTCAGGCCGGGGGCCCGGGGGCCGGGCTCCTGCAGGCGGCCAAGAAGGTGGGGGGGCGCCAGGAGGAGGACCCGGCTACGGAAACGGGTCTTTCAGGGACGCTGGGCCACGGGGCGGAGTCCGGCTGCCCCAGACCCTCTCTCCCGCCCCCTGGCAGATGGCGACCAGTGCGAGAGCAACCCTTGCCAGAACCAGGGCCGCTGCCAGGATGGGGTCGGGGCGTACACCTGCACCTGCCCCGAGGGCTTCGAGGGCAGGAACTGCGAGTTCTGTGAGTGGCTTGGTGGGGGCTGGGGGCGGGGAAGCCGTGTCGGGCGTGCAGCGTCAGTGGTTCCGGCCCAGCCCAGAGCCCGTGGCTGGGGGGTCCCCGCTCTGCCGGTGAGGACACCAAGGCCGTGGTTCCCGTGACCCAAAACTCCAGCGGCGGCAGGCAGCTGGGCACTCGGGCTGCTGAGTCCAAGGGGCCCCCTCTCCCACCACTCTGGAGCCCGGACCCCAGAATCCAGGCTGTTCCCAGGCCCTGCACAGAGAGCCCTCCGCCAGGTGCCCGCCCCTGCCCGCTGTCCCCAGTGGTCAGCCCTCCCGGAAGAGATGCCTGCCTGGGCTGCGAGCCAGCTGCCAGGGCCGCTCCTGGGCGTCTGTGGGTTGACACCGGGCCGCCCCCATGAGTCGGGGGGACCTGCCGTTGTGGGGGGTGAGCCCCATGCCCGGTGCGCCTGCGGCAGGCCGCCATCCTGAGGCCCGCCTCCCCGCAGCCACGAGGCAGTCCTGCAGCCTGGACAACGGGGACTGCGAGCAGTTCTGCCGGGAGGAGCGCAGCGCCGTGGTGTGCTCCTGTGCCCGTGGCTACGTGCTGGGGGACGACGGCCACTCCTGCATCTCCACAGGTAGGGCCCCCCGGGCTGAGCAGGGTGTATCCTGCATCTGTCTGGGAGATGGGACGGAGGGCACAGCCGGCCCCCTAGAGGCCTGTGCCGGCTGTCTGGCCAGCCCCGAGCGCCTGCACAGCCTGACCACCCTGGACGCACATGGGCAGCCGCCACAGAGGCCGCCACACGCCCCTGATGAGTGCCTGGGCCCGGATGGTGATGGGCAGGCCCTCAGGAGCGGGGGCTGGTGGGGGAACCGGGGAGCCTCAGAGCTGACTTAGGGCGAAGGGACCCCATGGCGTCGAATTTACGTTCCTTACCCCGAGGAAAGCTGATGCTGGGGCCTGCCCAAAGGCGCCTGGCTCCCTGGCCAGAACTCTGCCCACACTCCTGGGCTCCTGAGTCCGCATCTCACGATGAGACGTCCTCTCCCCCGCCCATCCAAGGGCTTCAGAGCAGCCGGCAGAGTCTCCCAGGCCGCAGCCCCTTGGTGCGGACCCTCAAGCAGAATGACCCCCAGTGGGGCCAGACCGTCCCTCGGTGGGTCCACAGCAGGAAGCGGACCCACCTCGTGGGCAGCGAGCGTGACCCGGGGGTGTCCCTCCAGAGCCCTTCCCCTGCGGGAAGCGCACCCGGGGCCGCGAGAGGAGGGCGGCCCCCCAGCCCGAGTCCGCCGCGCCGCAGCAGGGCCAGGCCGACCCCGGGGACCTGAGTCCCACCGAGAACCCCGTCGACCTGCGGGGCCTGAACGAGACGGGCAGCCCCAAGGAGGACCAGAGCAACCTGATCCGCATCGTGGGCGGCCAGGAGTGCGAGAGCGGGGACTGCCCCTGGCAGGTAACCGCTGCCCCAGCCGCCGCTGGCGAGCCTGACTTGGGCTCTGTTCTGTGAACAAAGGCAAACCTGCACCTGGAGCAGCAGCCCCGGCCGAGAAGCCCCGCCCCGGCTCCACGCAGGCCCCCGCGGGGGTGATGGGAGGCCCTGGGGCGTCCACACGCCACCCAGCTCTCCAGGGCGGGGCGCGAGAGGCTGGAAGCCTCAGAGCCACTGACACGCTCGTCCCCCAGCAGGGGCTGAGACCCCCAGGTTGCAGCCCCTGCAGGCGAGTGACGGCCATGGGGCCCAGGACGAGGGGCAGCCTCCAGGGAGGGCGTCCCCCGCTGGCCCGAAGCCCCGGGAGGCAGAGGCCAGCGGGGCCACCTTGCCTGCCCCCGCCCTCGCTGTCATCTGCACCAGCCCCACCCGACACACGTTGGGGGGGGGCCTGGGGGGCCTTGGGCCTGGCCCCCCACCTCTGGGGTCTCCGGCGCAGGCCCTGCTGGTGAATGAGGAGAAGGAGGGCTTCTGCGGGGGCACCATCCTGAGCGAGCTCTACGTGCTCACGGCCGCGCACTGTGTCCACCAGGCCAAGAGGTTCAAGGTGAGGGTCGGTAAGTGGCCGGCGCCCCCTGCCGCGGAGACCCAAGGCGCCCACGTTTGCTGATGAACCGGTTAGAATACCGAAGGGGGTTCGCAGAGGCAGATGGAGCAGGGGAGGGAGGGAGGGCAGGAGCAGGGGGAGGGGAGCAGCAGCCTCCCAGAGCCAGCCCGGCCTCCCCCGGGCTCCGTGAGCAGTTCCTGGGTCTGAGCCGAGCCGTGGGGCGCGGAGGGCCCTTCCGCCCAGGGCTGAGCGCCGGCCCTGCCTGCCTGCAGGCGACCGGGACACGGAGCAGGAGGAGGGCCAGGAGACGGAGCACGAGGTGGAGGGCATCGTGAAGCACAGCAGGTTCGTGCGGGAGACCTACGACTTCGACATCGCGGTCCTCAGGCTGAAGACGCCCATCACCTTCCGCATGAACGTGGCGCCCGCCTGCCTGCCCGAGAAGGACTGGGCCGAGTCCACCCTCATGACACAGAAGACGGGCATCGTGAGCGGCTTCGGCCGCACCCACGAGAAGGGCCGCCTGTCCACCAAGCTCAAGATGCTGGAGGTGCCCTACGTGGACAGGAACACCTGCAAGCTGTCCAGCAGCTTCGTCATCACGCAGCACATGTTCTGCGCCGGCTACGACAACAGCCCCGAGGACGCCTGCCAGGGGGACAGCGGGGGCCCGCACGTCACCCGCTTCCACGACACCTACTTCGTCACCGGCATCGTCAGCTGGGGCGAGGGCTGCGCGCGCAAGGGCAAGTACGGCGTGTACACCAAGGTCACCAACTTCCTGCGCTGGATCGACAGGTCCATGCGGGTCCTGGAGGGCCTGGAGCCCCAGGGGGCAGGGCTGGGCACCCTGCCCCCGCCCCATTAAAGCGCCTGGGCCTCCCCCAGGCTTCCTGGCCAGCGGGTCCGTGCTGTTCTGGGCCGGGGTGGCCGATGGGGCGGCGGGGTCTCCACCCTTCAGGCGTCGCTCTGGGCTTCTGCTCAGCCCCAGGGACCCTCCTGTCCTCGCCTCGTCCCGTCCGGCCCCCCGCAGCCCAGCCCAGCCCCCGAGGACTGTCCCCACTCTCTGGGGCGCGGAGAGCGCGGCCTGAGCGCCCGGACTTGTGGCTTGAGCAGGGTCCCCAGGGCACTGTCGCCTGGGGCGCACCCACCTCCCCTCCCGGCCCAGACGGGCAGGCCCCGCGCTGTCCAGGCCCCAGCGAAGCCTCTTCCGCCTCTTCAGCCGCCACCAGAGCCCTCGCGGCAGCTCAGAGGCTCAGTGGGTCTCAGAGGGCTCGGCAGGGGCCCCGGAGCTCCCCCGCACGGGGTGCCACGGGGCGGGGCCGTCCTGGGTCGGGCGGGGCGGATGTGGGCTCCTCTGGGGGACGAGGAGCTGGGATGGGCCCCCTCCGGCCACCGAGCTGGTGGGCACGGCCCGCGTGTGGGAGCGGAGGCGGCCGGGGTCCCTGGGTCACCCGGGGGGAGCGTCCCAGAGCGCCCCTCTGGCTCCGGTGAGTCTCCCACGAGACAGCGATGTCTGCTGCGTCCAGCGCGCAGGTTTGTTACAAGAGGGAGGCGAGTGGGGGACGCTCGAGGACACAGCAGGCAGAGGGCTGCCCCGAGTGGGGCGGCCCTGCTGAGAGGCCTGCCTGGTCCCAGGCGGGCGGCCTGGGGGAGCTGCCGCTGCTGCGGGGCCCCAGGAGAAGCCCACAAGGCCGCGGGAGGCGGCCCGCGGGGAGAGCCGCTGCCGGGCCTGTTCCCCGGGAGGCCCCGCGTGGGAGGCGGCGGGTGGTCTCCGGCGAGCCTGGAAAGGACCAGCGATTCCACGGCGGGCTCCTCTCGTGGGGCCTAGGAGGGCGTCCATCACGCCGCCCGCCTCCCCAGCACCCCCGCTCCCGGCTCTTCCTCCATCGCGGCGCAGCCCTGCCTGCGGGGCCACAGTGAGGAGCCCTTGGAGCCGGCCGGGCCTGCAGGCTGCTGACGCTGTGGCCTGGGCTGTGGGGCCTCTGGGCGCAGGCCTGGGGGACCTGGGGGGACCATGTGTGCTGACCGGCTTCCACAGCGCGCGGGGCAGACGCTGCTCCCAGGGATCCAGCCGGCAGGCCCAGCACCAGCTGCGTCTGGGCAGCCGCCTCCTTCCACGCGGCCCCGGTGGGGACAGCCAGGCGGCTGATCTCGAGTCCACCGGGACGCGGCTGAGGCAGGCCAGACGCCCAAAACGTCAGAATCGCACGCGAAGGACCCCCCAGGGCCCAGGGAGAGCAGACGGCGGGCGGGGAGTCCTCACCAAGCCGCGCACCAGGGCGGGCCCCGGCTGGCTGGTGAGCCAGGAGGGGAGGGACAGGCAGGCGGACACAGGCCCCCGCGGCCCCTCCGTCTGTGCTGCCGGCGCAGCAGGGAGCCGCGGGCTGGGCTGGGCTGGGCTGGGCCAGGGACGGCGGGGACAAGCTGTGTTCCGAGACCTGCCGGGGTGTTGGGCCAAAGCAGCCTCCCTGACAGCAGGCGCCGCTGCCGGGCCGCGGTGTCCACGCCAGGGCACGGCCACACGGGTCTGGCCGCTCCGGCCCATTCACAAGCCGGTGGCGTGTGCACGGGAGGCGGCGCTGGGAGGGCTGCCCAGAGCCGCCCCTGGGCCCCGGGCAGACGACCAGCAGGTCCCTCGCGGCCCGTGGCCTGAGAGGGCGGTGACCGCCCCTCCCCCGCTGAGGGCAGGCGCAAGGGCCGAGGGCCCGTGGGCAGAGCCCGCGATTCTCAGAAACGGCGCTGGCCCCGGCCGGCCCCTCTGGCCATGCTCTCTGGCCTTGGCGTTGGCCCCTGTGGGCGCCCCGCACTCCCACTCTCAGGTCCTGTGCCCGGCCTCGCCAAGGCCGCCTCTGTCCAGGCCACTCCGTGCTCGCTGTCTGGGCCCATCCGGCCGCCTGCCTTGACGCGGGCTGGGGAGGCGCGCCCGGGGCCGCTGCAGGGGGGTGCGACCCCTGGGGCGGCTGCTGCCCGAGGAAGTGCGCCCCAGCAGCTGCCGGCCGGCCAGAGTGGACTTTGGCCACCACGCCTCTGGCCGGCCCTCAGCATGGCGGGCTGCCTCCTGCTGCGCCTCCTCCTGGCCCTGGCCCTCGCCGCCCCCCAGGCAGGGGCCTCGGGTAGGCTGGGGTCCGGGGCCACCGCGGCTCAGGGGGCAGGGGCTCTCCAAGCGGCGGGAGCGCACGGCCAGCTCCAGCCCCACTCGCCTCCCGCCTGGGGCGAACGCGCGCGGTGACCGTCCGCCGGGCCCTCCCTGGCCGGGGAAGCAGCAGGGGTGCCCGGGTCAGCGAGGGCGGCCAGGGCGGCCAGGGAGCAGCCGCCAGCGCGGCGGGGGAGGGGCTGCCCGGGCGGGCGGGCGGGCGGGGGGTCCAGGCTCGGGCGCCGGGTCCCTTCTCCGGAGCCGCAGCCGCCCGAGGTCCGGCCCGGGCAGGCGTGGACGGCACCGCTGGACACGGCCCGGTCCGCAGCCTTCCTTCCCGCCGCCGAGGCCGCGCGCGTCCTGGGGCGCGGCCGGCGCGCCGGCGCCTACCTGCTGGAGGAGCTCCTGCAGGGGCACCTGGAGAGGGAGTGCCTCGAGGAGGTCTGCGCCTACGAGGAGGCGCGGGAGGTGTTCGAGGACGACGCCCGCACGGTAGGTGCCGCCCCGCGAGGCCCGGGGGCTGCGGGCGCAGCCGGAGCGCCCCGGTGGGGCTCGGCGCCCCTAAGGGCGCCCGGCGGGGGTTGTCCGAGCCCGCGCGCCCCTCCCTTCGCCTCGCGCGGGCAGTGGCCTTTATGGCCGGACTCGCGTGGACGGCCCCTCGCGGCCTCCTGCGCCCCGCCTGCTCCTCGGGGTGCCGCCCGCGGCAGGGGAGGGCGGGGAGGGCGCGGCGGGCGCGTGTCCCCGGCCTCGGCGCGAGCGCGGGCCCTGTGCTTCCCCGCAGGACGCGTTCTGGCAGCAGTACCGGGGTACGCCGGGCGCCCGAAGGACCAGGGCGGGGTCCCGACCAGGGGGCGCGGGCTGGAGGCCGGCTGAGACAGGCGCCGCGGGGACGGCCGGGCCCTGCGGGCGCCCTGGGGTGGGCGGCGGGGGGCAGGGCGGGGGCCCGCGGAAGAGCGGCGGGCGGGGGCCCGGGAGCCGCGCGCCACCGGCCCGTCCCCCGCAGGCGGCGCCCCGTGCGCCTCCCAGCCCTGCCGCAACAACGGGTCCTGCCGGGACCACATCCGCGGCTACAGCTGCGCCTGCCCGGCCGGCTTCGAGGGCCCGGACTGCGCCTTCGGTGAGTGGCCCCGGCCCCCGCCCGGCCCCGCCGCCGGCCCGCGCTCCTCCCCAGACCCCCACCCTGGGCGGGGCTCGGGCTGGCAGACACCCCGCAGCCGGCCCGGCGGGCGCCGCTCCTCGTCCGCCTCCCGGAGAGTCACCCGGAGCGGCCCTGGCGGCCCAGCCGTCCGCGCCGCCAGCTCCCGAGACGCCCCGCTTGTTGGCCGACACCCCAAGTCCCGTCCGCACGCCGGCCGCGCCGGGCCGGGCCGGGGGCGGAGCGGCGGGAGGGGCGGGCCCTGCGCGCGGGCAGCGCCCCCCGCCCCGCCGGCCCGGGCGCCCCCGGGCCCCCGCCCCCTCAGCCTCCGCCAGCCCTGGCCCCCCCGCCCCCCAGACCCCCCAAACCCTGTGCTCCCCGCAGCCACGGGCGCCTGCCACCCCCGGAGGCCGGACGGCTGCGCCCACTTCTGCCGCCCGGGGCCGCGCGCCCCCGTGTGCAGCTGCGCGCCCGGCCACCGGCTGGGCCCCGACCGCAGGTCCTGCGAGCCGCGCGGTGCGTCCCGGGGCGGGCCGGGGCCGGGCGGGGCCGGGCGGGGCGGGGCGGGGCCGGGCGGGGCGGGGCGGGCCGGGCGGGGCGGGCCTGGGCGGGGCCTGGGCGGGGCCGGGCGGGGCGGGGCGGGGCGGGCCGGGGGCGGCGGCGGCTGACTCGCGCCCCGCCCTGCAGACCGCTGCGCCTGCGGAGCCCCGGGCCCCCCGAGCGGCGGGCGCGGCCGGCGCGCCTTCCCGTGGCAGGTGAGGGCCGCGCCGGGCTGGGCTGCCGCTCGCGTCGCTGCTTCGCCGCCCGGGCCCGGCGGGGCGGGGCGGTGGGCGGGGCGCCTCGGGGGCGGGGCGAGGGGCGAGGGGCGGGGCGAGGGCCGGGCCGAGGCTGCCCGCCCAGCGCCGCCCGCCCCGCGAGTCCGTCGCGGCTTCTGTGCGGGTCCGGCTGCCCGGCCCGGGCTCGGCGCTCACCGGGAGGTGGTTCTTCCCGCGCTGGCCCCCCAGGCCTGGCTGCGGGTGACCCCGGGAGAGGCGTCCGCTTCCCGTGCCCCGCGCGGGGCCTCGGGCCTGGACGCGGACGGGCCCCGCCCGCCGCGGAGCCCCTGCTGCCCGGCGCTCGGCCTCGGCCCGGTGGCCCCGGTGGCCCCGTGGCCGCGCCCGCCCGCCCGCCCGCCCGCCGGGCGCCGGGGCGACGCTCCCCGCGCGCACACACCTGAGCGGTGCCCGGACGTGGGGTCCCGCGCGCCCCTCTGACGGGACCCGGCGCCCGCCGCCCGCGCCCGGCGCCCCGCGTGGGCTGCGCAGGGCCCGGCCGCGCCCCAGCTCCCGCGCGTCTGCTTCTCGGAGGTCAAGCTCGCCAGCGCCGCGGGGGAGGACTTCTGCAGCGGCGTCTTGCTGCGGGCGGACTTCGTCCTGACCACCGCGGGCTGCGCGCTGCGGCACCCGAGCGTCCGCGTGAAGACCGGTGGGTGCCGGGCCCGCTCGGCTCCCACTCCCGTTGCTGCTGGCCGAGGAGGGGCCACAGCGAGCCCGACCCTGGTGGGGCAGCCTGGGCCAGGCCCTGTGCCCGGCTGGGGCGGGGTCGATGGGGAGGGAGGTCGGCGCCCCCAAGGCCACTCTCAGAGCTCCCGGCCCCGCCTCTGCCCTTGGCAAACGCTGCCTCCAGGCTCTCAGCCAGGGGGGCGCGGGGGCCTCCAGCCGGGCTGAGCCGGCGCGTCCACCCCCAGGGCTGCACCGGCCGGGCAGGGAGCCGCCAGCCACGGCCGTGCGGAGCGTGCACGTGCACCTGCGGCACCACCCGGACTCGGGGGACAACGACTTGGCGCTGCTGCGGCTGGCCCAGCCCGTGCGCTGCCCGGATGCCGGGCTGCCCATCTGCTTGCCCGAGCGGGACTTCGCCGAGCGCGTCCTGATTCCCGGGACCGGCGGCCTCCTCAGCGGCTGGACGCTCAATGGCTCCCAGCTGGGCCCCGCGCCCACACAGCTGCCCGTCACCCGCCTGGACGACGAGGCCTGCGGCAGGGCCCTCAACGCCACGGTCACCACCCGCAGCTACTGCGAGGGGGGTGCAGGGGCCGGCACACGGCACTGGGCAGGGGGTGGCCTGGTGGCCAGGGAGCACCGGGGCACCTGGTTCCTGACCGGGCTCCTGAGCGCGGCACCCCCACGGGAGTCTGCGCCGGCCACCGTGCTGCTCACCAGGGTGCCCAGGTTCTCCCTGTGGGTCAGGCAGGTCACACAGCAGGCCAGGGAGGGCGGAGTGGCCACCGTGGGGCAGGACGGACGGCCACCTGGGCAGCCGTGAGGGTCCCCAGGGCACTGGCCACCATACCCTGGCCCCTCCAGTCCCTGCTGAGTAGGGCCACCTCCTCCCAGGACTTCTTGCCCCAGGGAGACCTGAAAGAGAGACGCAGAATAATAAAAGCCCCCTTGGGCAGTCATGAAAAGCCTGGTTTCCTGGCCTTGTCTCTGGAGTCCAGGGCTGCCTGGCCTGATCACCGGGGGCGGGGGCAGGGGCGCAGGTGTGGCTGCAGGGAAAGCTGGGTGGAGGGGGCGGCAGGCCAGGTGCAGGCGGCTCAGCTCGGGAAGGCAGGGCCCGGCCCCACCCCCTCATCCAAGACAGGGGGCCGGGCCGTGCTGAAAGGGCGCAAAGGCCAGGAAGCTGGAGGCGCCTCCTCTCCGGGTGCACCGTGGGGAGCAGGGGGTTTTAAGAAGGGGTTAAGAGTGCAACTTGGTCTGAACATTCCTTTGCGTGAAGAGCTGGGACTTGAAGCCCGAGGTTTCTAGGCTTCATGGTTCCTTAGAAACGCCGAGTGTCCGTCACCGATTCCAGAGTCACGCGTCGGGGCCTTGACCGCCTGCAGGTGGCTGCCCGGCTCCGACAGGCCTGGCCGGCTGAGCGGACGCGGCGCAGAGCGCGGCAGGCAGGTGCGCGTGGTGGGCGCACACGTGAGCCGCCACGGCTGCGGGGCCTCCTGGTGCGGGCGGGGCTCACGGAGACGCCGCGCAGAGGCCTCCGTTCCTGGGCAGGGGTTTGTGCCACAAGCCGGGAGCCGCCACCAGAGCCGGCCTGGAAGCAGCGCAGCGCCGCAGAGGTGAGGCGCGCCCTCGTCATGGCTGTGGGGACAGGGAGCAGCGCAGAGCCGGGCCTCGGCCGCCTGCAGGGGCCCCGGTGCACCAGTTGGGCGGACCCGGCCTTGAGGTCAGGCCAGGGGCAGCCCCGGGGAAGGGGCCCTGCGAGCGAGGGAGGCGGAGTAAGTCGAGGGCAGCGACACAGCCACGCCCAGCCGCCCAGTGGACACCCGGCCTGGTCCTGCCGCTGCAGGCGCCCCCATCTGCCCAGGGCGTCCTGTTGGGCCTGACTTTAGGCGCCGCCATTTCTGCCTCGAGAAATCTGTGATGCTGACGACCGGCATCCCTCGGCGGGCTCCCAGAAACCTGGGGTCCGAGTGCCCGCACAGCACTTGAGGCGCCTCCTTGCCACCCCCCAGCGGAGCAGGGCATGTGGGGAGGACCAGCCCAGCAGTGAGCGGCTCTGTGCTGCCCGAGGGGCAAGGCGCGCCAGCCTGCTGGGAGCCAGCTCCCAGGAGGGCCCCACTCACCTGGGCCGAGGGACGCCCTTGGGGGCCCGCCTCCATGGGCCCGGGGAGGGGGCCGATGCCCCAGAAACCCTCCCCGCCAGGTGTGCCCCAGCTGCCCGAGCAGCCGCGGGCTGGCGGGAGGCTCCTGCGGCCAGGGGGGCTGGGTCTGCGCAGCCGCGGGGCAGGCTGGGGACGCGGGCCAGGGTGGCTTGGAAGCCGCGGGCCTGGGTCAGGTTCGCCTTCGGCCACGTGGGGTGTAAAAATAGACCCGCCGGGACAGCAGGCTGTGCACAGAGCCTTTTATAGAAAGTGACGGGCGGGGACAAAGGTGGCTTCGGGAACAGGCGCGGCTGCGGCGGCCACGGCTCCCCTGGCAGCGGGAGTCCACACCTGCTGCAGGGGGCGGGGGAGGGGGGCCACCAGGGCCGGGCCAGCCCGCAGCCAGACAGGCTCCGGCGCGGACACTCAGCACACGGTGGACAGCGGAGGGAAGGGGTTCTGCTTGCTGACGACCAGCTTCTGGTGCTGATGGGAGATGTAGCCTTTGATGTGGCCCTGCGGGGAGGCGGCTGTGAGCCGGACCCCGGGGACCTGTGCCCCTGCGGGCCCGGGGACCGCCACGTACATCCTGGGGTGAGACGTGTTCTCTCAGCCCACGGAGACCTGAGTGCCCACAGCAGCTCCACCTCCCGCACCCAGGCCCTCGGAGGGCGCTGCTGGGCCCAGCTCTGCCCCTCCCCCTCCCCCCCACGCCCCGCCCACCATGTAGATCAGGTTGGCCAAGATGCACTGGACTTCGTCGATGTCCACGTCCTCCACCTGCATGAACTTCAAGGCCACGAGAAACGCGTCCAGAGACAGCTGGTGTGTTCTGAGCAGCAAGTACCTGGAAGAGGGCAGGAGCCGCCCGACTGACCACAGGAGGCCAGTCCTCTGCCGAGGCCAGGAAGGGCAGGTGGGGGTCGGCAGGGCCCGCTCCCGCGCGAGAACAGAACCAGGAGCTCAGCTTTGCAGTCTAAGCGGCCCCAGTACAAATGCGCATTGCACTGTCTCCCCGAGGCGTTGGTGAACGCGGGCGCCTTCACGCTGACGCTGGAGGCGGGCACAGCCGTGGGGCGGCCCCTGCCGAGGGGTTGGCTGCAGGGTCCCGCTCGGCGTCCCACGGGGTCCCGGTCACCCGCCCCGGCCCCTCCCGCAGCGGGCCCGGCCCGGGCGCGAGGCAGCTTACACCCTCTTGAAGAGGTTCCTGTAGGTGATGATCTTCAGCTTCTCCAGGATGAGGAAGATGCCGCAGCGGATGAAGAAGGCCTCGTGCCGTGCCAGCGCCTCGTTAAGCAGCAGCAGGTTGCCCTCGCTGCGGGGAGCGCAGTCAGAGCCTGCACCCCACGGCCCCCCGCAGTCCCCCGTGCGGACAGCCCAGCGCCTACCTGACGGCCCGGGTCACCTCGGCGAACTGCATGAGGTGGTACTTCCTGAGGAGCTCCACGGTGGGCATGTGACCCTAAGGGGGCCCAGAGTCAGGACCCCGGTGGGCCACTCCAGTCACATCTCCCCGAGGCCCCGTGCGCCTGTTTCCCAGACCCCCGTAGGTGACCAAAAAGGACCCAAAACACTTGGTCACTAGAAAACACGAAGGCCGGGCTAAGGTCGTGAGCCCAGGCTGCCGCTGCTGCTCGAGCAGGCGTGGAAAAGCCGGAGCCGCCCGCTGCCTCGATGGGACGCAGGGGTGGGGTGGGGGGCACAAGGCGCCTCCCATCAGCCCCGTGACGCATTCCCACCACGTTCTGGTGTCAGGTGGGGGGCTCGGCGCCTTCATCTGCTCACTGGCCAGCTCACTGGCCAGCTCACCGCTGCTGCTTTGTGGAGAAGCTGCAAAGACAGGCCCGACGGGCCTGTGCCGCCCTCCGGCTCTAGCAACAGCTTTGCGGGGGGAGGGGCGCGAGAACTGGCGTCCGGCCCGCAGCCACCAGAGCGCTGCTGGGTGTTTTCGTTTTTTGGTTTTTCTTTGTTTTAAAGATTTACTGATTGATTTATACAAGCACTGGGCACAGTCAGAAGCGCGGGAGGGTGAGAGAATCCACCAGAGCCAGAGCGGGGAGCAGAGCAGGCAGAAGGACCGAAGGACACTGCTGAGGGGAGCAGCGGGCGGCAGGAGAGGTCTGCGCGCCGTGTGGGACCCTCGCCGGCTGGGATCGAACCCGCGCTGCAGAGGCTGCGGGCAGCTCCACAGCGCGGCGCTCAACCAGCTGCGCCACCGGGGAGGCCCATTCTGTCGGGTGTTTTTAAGACACGGGAAGACAGGTCCTCTGGGAGGCCGTGTGGAGCTGGCCTCGCTCTACCAGGGCATGGCCGTGCCGGGGGCCGGCAACCCTGCCCCCGACCCCACCCGCTGGCCCCCAGCACACGCACCAGCAGCATCTTCACGGGGAGCAGGTAGATCAGAATCATCCTCTTGTTCTTCTGGCTGGACCGGTGGCAGTGCTCGAAGGCGAAGGACAGGTACTCCTCGGCTGTGGACACGGGCGTCAGGCCACCCGCCCTGCGGCAGGCCCCCCAAGTACCCGCCCAGCCTGTGCCCCGAGGGCGGGCATCCCCACCCGCCAGCGCGGCCAGAGCAGGAGCTGCCCGCTGTGGGTAGCAGCACAGGAAGCTGTACTCAAGAGGTGGTGGCGGCCACGGGAAGCCTCCCGCAGGGCTCCAGGCCGGCAACCGCCCACAGACACACAAGCCTGGGAGTACAGGGGCAGCGGGGGGCTCCACTCCACACGCGTGGGCCCAGGGCCCGCAGCGCAGCTGCACAGACACTGCCCAGGAAGGGCAGCCTGGACGTGGGAACAGAGCACGGGCACTGGCCTGGCGCCGGCTTGTCCGAAAGGAAACCAGGGGTGCAGAGACCCAGGGGGCGCGGCATCTCACGAGGCCTGAGGTCTGCAGGGGTAGCCCCTGGGCGCAATCCCCCAGCACCGCCAGGCGCCCCGACCCTCACCCCGCGGGCCAGGCACGCACCTTGCTTGAAGTCGCTGTCGAACATGGCCTTGCGGCCCACGTAGTACCTGTAGGTCACCCGCTGCGCCCGGCTGTAGTCCTCCTTCAGGTTGGAGCTGTCGATGGCGCGGATGAGCGGCTTGCACAGGTGCAGCTTGTTGATCTGGAACCAACGTCCGCTTACGGGGTGGGCCGAGGCACGACGGAGCCCCACACCCGCCGGCACCGCGCCCAGCGGGGACTGGGGCACGGGGCAGCGCCCAGGGCAAGGGCGCGCGGACATGGCCGGCGCGGTGAGGGGAAGGAGGGGCGCTCGGCGCGGGCACCTTGAAGTAGATCTTGAAGAGCTGGTTCACCAGGAAGAGCATGCCCCACTTCTTGGAGTCCTCGATGCCGGCCCGGCTGCTCAAGGCAAGGCCTCCCATGAGCACGCCAGGCCCCGCGCCTGCCCGGTCCGCCCCCGCCCACCCCGCGCCCCGGCCTGCCCCGGCCTCACGTGTCGCTGGCGCAGACGCGGAAGCAGCTCATCAGCAGCTCTGCCGCCTTCTCCAGCATGTCCCCGGCCTTGCTCTTGCCCTTCTTCACCAGCTGCTGGTCTGCCTGGAGGAGAAGCGCTTGTTCCGGACACAGGCAGCAGCGCGGGGAGGCCGCACAGCAGGCCCCGCAGCGCCCCCCAGTGCAGTCTCAGCCCCCAGGGTGTCGGGTGCCCGGCCTGGCCCAGGGGGCTCTCTGCGGGTGGGGGCCGTCGGCAGTTCCGCCCGGCCAGGCCACTGCCCGGTCCTGCTTCCCGGTGGTCTTCATCTGCCTGTTGGGGCCCCGGCAGGCATCTCCGGGGCCCGACAGGAGGCTGAGGGCGCCCTTCTGCCCCGCAGAGCCACGTGGCTCTGGGCTCCCCGCAGCAGCACCGCCAGCCCGGGAGCGCGCTGTGTCTGAGCCGGCCGGGTCCTGGCTAGGAGCTGCTGCGCTCACTCCCGGCACCCAAGCCCAGGAGCCCTGCCCTCAGGCCGGAGGGCCCTCGGCTGCCTCGGCCACACAGGGGGCTGATCGTGGGGCGGAACCGGAGTTGCTGCCTTGGCCCGGGCCTCACGCAGCGAGGGGGCCGCGCGGGGCAAGGACCTGCCCCTCAGCCCAGGAAGAACAACTGGGCCCCGGGCCCCAGCTACCCTCCTAGCCACTCCCCAGCCCCTCGGCCGCGAAACTTCTGGGAAGAATGACCGAAATCAGCAGCAGAACCCGCGTCCGGCTCGGGGGCGCCCGATGGAAACACTCACGTTGTTGGCGAAGACGCGCAGGTCGAGCGCCACGGCGTACATGACGGGCAGGGCCCTGCGGGCACGGGCGTGAGGGTCAGCGGCCCAGCCACCCGCTGTCCACCTGCTGCCGCTGGGGAGCCTCACGCAGCTCCCAGCTGCGCTAAAGCCCAGGCAGCTCAGCCAGGGCGCCCTCGACAGCCCCCGCGGCCCCGGCCCCGCTCACCAGTTCTCCTCTTTGTGGGCCTGGAACGCCCGCAGGAAGGACGTGCTCAGTCAAGGAGGCGAAGCGTGCATGAGCCCCGTGGCCCGGGAACCCCCAGCGGCCGGCCGCCCCCAGCGCTGCAGCAGCGAGTGGTCAGGGAGGGAACCGCGACCTGCGCCGGAACCTGTTGCCAGGCTGAGGGCACCGCGCGCGCGCCGCACGCTCCCCTCCGAGCCAAGAAGATGGCAAACACCTTGCTTGGTTTCTCGGGACCCAGATAGCCTCAAGCGTGTGGGATTCCTCTCCTCGACGGCGGCCCCTGAACCCCGTGGGGACCCGTCCTTCACCCGCGGGCAGAAGACCACAGCCCAGAGGCAGAGGCCTCGGGCACACGGGTCTCGGGGGCTGGGCCAGGCTGCTCACCCAGGCTCTCAGCTCGAAGGGCGGCCTGGGGGGGCCGCGTGCCGGGTCCAGCCGTCCACCTCTTCCCGGATTCTGGGCTCTGAGCGCCCACTAAGGGGACTGGCTGTCCCTTCACGGGCTATGCTTCTCGTGAGCAGAGCCCCAGCCGGCCGCGCACGCTCAGGCCCCAGGGGCTGGGCAGAAGCCCCTCTCCGGAAGGCCGTGTCCTTCTCCGGCCGGAGGACCTCGGTTGACTGGCCGGGGTCGCAGGTCTCTGCCCTCCAACACCCACGCGTCTCTGAACCGACGGCTCTCACAGCGGCAAAGGATATTGGACGATGACTGTTTGGCACTTGTAGGCCTCGACGAAGTCGTGGTTGCCCACAGCGTAGGTGCACCTGTGGGGAGAGCCGGGGGCATGGCCTCGCTCACCCGCCCCTTCCGGACGCCCGTGGGGGACTCCTGGCCTTGGGCACCCCGCTCGCCCGCTCCCCAGAGGCCTCTCGCAGCCTCGCTGGCGGGCTGTGGGGAGACCAGTCGCCGAGCGTGGGGTAAGAGCCCCCTCGTAGGTGAGGGCCAAGGTGGCGCCAGCCTGAAAAGGCCCAGAGGGCGCCCCCGCGGGGCAGACACGGCTCGGCTCAGCCGTCCAAAAGCGCGGCTGGAGCCCTGGGGTGCCGTAAGTGGCGCAGACGCCCCCAGCCCTGCCGCAGGCCCTGCCGCCCGCTCTGACATCTGCTCAGAGCCCCTCTGGGAGGGGGGGCCGCGGCCACCCCGCCCGCCCCCGCCCCGGCACCTCAGGTGGGCGGCGAACATCTCGTCGTAAGGCGGCTCCAGGACCTGCTGGCACTTCTCTTCCGGAGAGGCCATCTAGGAGCAGGCGGGTCAGGTCAGTGGGGAGAGGCGCGGGCGCCACCCCAGCCGCGAGGGGCAGCCCTGCATGGCGAGGGGATGCACCCCAGGGAAGCCGCCCCGCGGCGCACAGCTCGGGCGAGGGAAGCGCCAGGCGGTCACCGACAGCTGGGTTTCTGGAGTCTGAGTCCATGGGCCCCGTGGCTGGGGGTGAGGGGGCCCCGGTGGGGACAAGAGGAGCGGGGCAGCCGGCAGGGCCCTGTGGCAGGCCCGGGCGCTCGAGGCCTGTGCGCGCACGCCCACGGGGGCTGCTCCTCCAGGGCCCGGGGCTGGACGGCGCCGCTCCCAGCCCAGACCAGGTTTTGGGGCCAGGCGCGGCCTCACCCACCTGAAGCCGGGGGTTCGCCACATGTGGGTGCTTGAAGGACACCAGCTCGGCACAGGACGCCCCATCGCGGGTGTCGATCGCCTCATAGACCTGAGTGTTTGAGGAGAGGAAGCTGAGTAGAAGATAAACGCCCTGTCCAGCAGGCCCCCGGGGTTACCCCTAAATGCGCGTCCCACTCTGGAGGAACCGGTGACCCACAGGGCACACTCTGACCGCAAACCAGAGTGACTCTCTGGAAGCTAGGCAGAGAGGACACGCTGTGGACACACAGGGAGGCCGGGGCCGGTCACATGGTCACCACCAAAGGGGCCATCCTGTCTCTGCTTAGTCAGGGCAGGTGCCCCAGCTGCAAGGAACGAGCGCAGCCCCTGCAGCCGCAGCCTGAGCCTGACCTGAGAGGAGGGGGGCTGGCCACGGAGGGCACCAGCCCACACCAGGATGGCCGGGACTCCCGGCGCCGCCCACAATGGGCTTCCTGTTGGGGCAACAGAGGAACCTGGTCACAGCGAGCCAGGCCTGACCCCGGGAGGTGTGCTCAGGGTGGGCGAGGGCCCGGGCATGCCAGCTGCTCCCTGGGCGCTGGGCGGGGGCCTTAGCTCACCCACGACTGCTCCACAGGGTGTTAGAAACGTCTTGTAGTCAGAAAACCCAGCATTTTAAAATTATGTTGACACCAAAGTGACACAAACTCCCAACAGCAGAGGAGCAGCCAAGCTGTGCCCGCAGGGGCAGCGTCACACAGCCAACAAGTCAGCAAGCTGCGGCCGAAGGCTCTGCATGATGGGCACCCGCAGCACTCCCAGGGAGCCAGCAGACCCCAAGCTGGTCCCAGGAAGGCATCCGCACTGGACTTGCAAGGGACTCAGCGGCTGGCACTTCTGGGGGTGCTGGGGCTCTGCCAGGGCCCCACCTTCCAGGAAAATGTGCACCACCCCAGCCAGACGACTTGGACGCTACAGAATCCCACCAAGCAGCACAGGCACTGACAGCCGGGCCAGTGCCCCACACCAGGGCGTCCCGCATGGAAGACAGGAGCGTCTTCGCAGGGCACCTCCCGGTGCACAGCATGGACACTGTGGCGTGCCAGCCGTGGAGCGGGGCGGACTCCAGAGCCAAACACCTTCTCAAAGGCACCACGGGCGATCATTTAACAGCAAGGAAGATGTTTATAGACCCACGTGGACTAATTACGATCCACTGAAAAAGGCACATGCCACAGACAGGCCTGTCCTCGCCCCCCACACCACATCCCACACGAGACCTGCAGGAGGCTGGAGCCGGGCGGCGCTAGCTGTTCTGTGCCCCTTTGTGTGAGTGACAGACAGGATGAAAAATACATCTTTTTTACGTTGTCTGGTAACTCAAAGATGTTGGTTTTTCGCATGGAATCGGCTACCTTGAAGTCCCAATACTGCTTTGGCCAGGCCCAAAATCTCAATCAGGAACACCATGGACTAGGAGTGGGAAGCAGATGGAGAAGGCTCTCTGCTTGTAATGCCTCCCTTGACCATGGAGTCCAGTCAAGCCTCTGCCTCTTTCCTTCCAGCTGGTAGAGTCCAGCTCCCAGGGGACAGGCTGAAATGGCCCACAGTTGCTTTCCCAGCTTCCCCTGCAGCTACAGGTGATGCAGATCCAGGATATTTGGGGTAGGAGAAGAATTTCTGGAAGCATCTTCTTGTGAAAAAGAGGGGAGTGTGAAGACCACACTCCATTCCCTGGCCTTGCAACAGCCGCACCCTAACCATGAAGAGAAACAGCGCAACGCACTGAGGGCAGAGCCGCGACACACAGGCGCAGCCACGAGAGCGGACCCGGGATAAAGGCTGAGGGAAGTGGCCCGCTGACGAGAGAGAGGGCAGCGGCCTCCCCAGAAGCTGGCCGTCGGGCTGTGGCCGGCACCAGGGCATCCACCCGGCACGCACGCACCAAGCTGGCCCCGCAGGTGTGGGCGCGGCCCTGGGCCCTGGCAACGGGCGCCCCAGCGGTTCCAGCGCAGGCCCCAGATGGCGCCCAGAGCAAGCGGGGCCGCGCCGGGGGGCTGCGGAGCTCGGCGGCGCCTCAGGGGGCGGCCTGCCCGAGAAAGGCGGCACGAGGCCGACGGCTCCCTCCCGGGCGAAAGCGGCGGCCCCGGGCCCCGAGCCCAGGCGGACGCCGGCAGCGGCCTCTGAAGACCCTCGAGTCGCCTCCCCCGGAGTCCCGGCAGCGCGCGGCTCCCGCCGGGGCAGACGACGCAGGCGCCGCAGTGCTGCCGGCCGGCGAGCGGCGGCCCCGGCCCCGGCCCCGGCCCCGCCCCCGCCGCGCCCCCGGCGGGCCAGCCCGGCCGCCGCCCCCCGAGCGTCGGGCCCGCGCCTCCGCCCGCCGGCGCCCGGCGCCGCCTCACCTGCTGCAGGTACTGGTTGATGGTGATGTGCGCCATGGCGGCGCGTCACTTCCGGCCGCGGTCCGTCGCGGCCCGGGCCCGGCGCGCGTCACTTCCGGCGCGGTCCGGCGCGCGGCCCTCCCGCGGCGCGCCCGGCGCGCGGGTTCCGGCGAGCGTGTCGGCGCGCGGGCCGGCGGCATGGCGGCGCGCCCGGGCTGAGGAAGCCGGTCCCTGCGCGCCCGCCGCTGCCCGGGCGAGAGCCGCGTCGCGCCCGCCGCCGCCGACCTTGCGACTGCCGGAGCCCACGGACGCGGCCCAGGGCCGGCCGCGCTCGCGAGCGCCGGGCCGGGCCGGGCGCCGGGCGGCGGTTGGCCGGAGCGGGCCGGGCGGCGCCATGGCCGACGAGGCCCCCAGGAAGGGCGGCTTCCCGGCGCTGGTCGGGCACACCAACGGGCTGTCCAAGCCCGCGGCGCTCGCCGCCGCCGCCGTGTCCTCCAAGCCGGGCGCCGGCGGCTCCAAGAAGCTGGTCATCAAGAACTTCCGAGGTGGGCGTCCGGGCCGGGCGCGGGGGGCGGGGGGCGCCCGGGGCGGGGGGCCGGGGGTCCCGGCCGGGGGGGGGGGCGAGGGGGATTGGGGGGATACGTCCCAGGTGAGAAGGTGGGGGAAGGCCCAGGAGCGGGGGCCCCTCCCGGCCGGGGCCAGAATCGGGGTTCCCGGCCGGCGCCCGGCGGCGGCTTCGGCGCGGCGAGCTCGCCCTCAGGTGTCCGGTGGAGTAAATTGGGCCTAAGGGCTGAGCTGCCCCGGCGGCGCCCGCAGGAGCCGGCCCGGGAGCGCGGCCCCTCTTGACGCCGGCCCTGGCCCGCGGGGCTCCGAGGTTAGCTGCCGGCCCCCCCCCCCCCCCCCCCGGCTTGGACAGTGTTAAGTCCGCTTTCAGCGCTGCGGGCCTCACTCCTCCCGCCTGCCCACGCGGCCGCGGCGGCTCCCGGAGGGCGGGCAGCGCGGGGAGAGCAGGCGGCGGCAGGCGGCTTCCCGCCCGGGGGCTGTTTTCTGCCCTCTCACCTGCGTGCCCTTGGCGTGACACCCTCTCCCCGACTCTGGACTTGCAGACAGACCGAAGCTGCCTGACAACTACACTCAGGACACCTGGCAGAAGCTGCGCGACGCCGTGCGAGCCATCCAGGGCAGCACCTCCATCAGACACAATCTGGAGGAGCTCTACCAGGTCAGCGGCCGGCAGCCCTCGTTTCCTGTGCAAGTCGAGCGGCCTGGGTCATCAGGCTTGGGGGCCTGACCCCACATTTGGCTTCCCAGACCTTTACTGGCAGCCAGTTGCCGGCCAGGGCCCCACTGAGGACGTAAGCCGTCTGCACTGCTGGACCGCCATCCACTCGCTGCAGCGGCTGGTGGTCAGGCTGCTGGCCACAGCCGCCTGCAGGGGGGCAGGCTGGTCTTGCCACCTTGGATAGTGGAGCCCTCTGCCCAGCTGTCCAGCGTGGAATGTGTTCCTGCAGCTGGTGCGGGGTGCAACGTGCTCGGTCTGCCTCCTCTCTGTCCCTCAGGGGCATCGGCCAGAGAGCCCCCGCTTCTCAGGCCGCCTGCACCTGCAGGATTTTCCCAGACACGGTTAGGACATGTCCGGTCTCCTGGTGCTCTCCTAGTTTTCGTAGTTGCTATCTGAGCCTGATCATCCAGCACTGGGGGGGGGCGGGGGGGTGCTTCCCGACAGCGCTGAAGGGAGCGGCAGAGCCGGGTGGCAGGAGCCCGAGGCTGTGTGTGCCGGGGCCAGGAGCTGTTTATGTTGGTTGGTTGCTGTGGTGTCTGTCTGTGACTTGAGCTGCTCAGAAAAATGTCAGAGGCGCCCTTACAGGCCCCCGGGCTGGGAGCGTTTCCAGACATGCAGCCGGCCGGTGTTGCGACTACGCCCGTGCCGGCACCGTCCGGCTCTCGCAGGCCGGCCAGGTGTTCCCTCCCTTCACGCGTGCGGTGAACTCGCTGCAGCTGACGCACGTGCTGGCGCCCTCGGACGAGGTGCCATCTGCAATGGCACCTCGTGTCCAAGAGCAGCGTCCACGCAAGGTGACCAGCGTCTGTTTCAGGAAGTAGCAACCGTTTCTGCTAAGAGATTTTGATGTATTTTTTAAAATTCTATATGTAAGTAATTACAGCATCAGGGCCTCCCTGGTGGCTCAGGGGGTAAGTGCCAGCACTGTGAAGCTGTCTGCCACTTCTGCAGCACGCGTTCGATCCCCGGCCAGGGAGTGACCCACAGGGCGCAGCAGACCTCTCCTGTCTCCCCGCTGCTTTCAGTCAGCCCATCTGTTCTGCTCCCCACTCTGTCTCTGGCGAATCCTGTCACCCCTTGCTCCTCTCATCTGCACCCCAGTTCTCATATGCACAAATAGGTAGAATAAATTTATTTGGAAAAATAACGATTACAGCATCAAAGTCCCAGGAGCTGCAGGAGAGCAGGAAGAAGGCGGAGGCCGCCCCGTCAGCTGCCAGCAGCCCGCCCCATCTTTAGCTCACCCGAGTGTGTTTTTGGTTTGATGGTCCAGGATGTGACTTACACATGATGCCCGGTTGTGTAGCCACCGCCCCAAAGCACCCCCGAGCCTGAGCACCCTGCTTCCCCCTCATACCCCGCCCCTATCTCAGCCCGGAGCCTTCTCCCCCTGGAGCATTTTGGGCAGCCCCACCCTCCGGGGCTGGCGGCCTCCTGGGTGCTGGCCCAGTCTGTGCTCTCGCCAGGGCGTCAGGGGCCTTCCCCCGCTCCAGGGGACGTCAGGGCATCCAGGTCGGGCCTATCAGGAGGGAATATCCGTGTGCGTTGAGCTCCTTCTGCGGAGGTGCATGTCTCGAGGCGGTTCTCGGGTCAGGTGGGCAGCGTGTCCCCCCGCATGGCTGGGAGGCTGGTGCCTGTGGCCACGCCATTTTGCATCTCGCCCAGCAGCGTGGAGAGCTGGGCCCAGACCTTACTGGCACCTGACCCCGTTGGCCTTGTTGCCTGTCCCAGCAGCCGTACTGGCGCTTCGTCGTGGTTTCATCGTGTTTCCTAAGGACACGGAGTCCCCCCACCCCATACCTGCTGTGATGCGGCTCCAGAGCTGGTGCTGGGGTTTCTTCTGCTCTGATCTCTGTCCTGTCACTTCTCAGTGGGGTGACAGGCGGCCCCTCCTGCTCCATGTGTGTCTTGGGGCATCATGGACACGGCGCTGTGGTCCCCAAGGCTGAGGCGTGCTGGCCCCAAGGGCACCCCCGTCAGCGCCTGCTCCCCACGGGCATGTGTGCTGAGGCTGCAGTGCGGCGCCAGCTGCCCCTGTGATGCTCTGCTCGGGGGTGGTCACTCTCTCTTCGTCTCCAGACAGTCACGCGAGTTTTCACTCTGATGGGGCTCCCCGCTCTTTCTGATCTCAAGTGTTAGTTGTGGGGGACTCCATGTGAGAATCAGGGCAGTCTGATGTCCTGAGTGTCCCCCAGGTGTTTGACCTGGCTGCTGGCCACTGTCCCGTCTGGCCTTCCGGCCTGAGGGCCTCGCTAGCCCTGAGGCCTCAGCCCCCTAGAGCCAGCCTGCTTTGTGCCGACCCATACCTCGCCCCCAGCTGCAGGAGGCCCGGCCGCCCTAGCCCCCGCCCCCACCCCAGCTCAAAAGTCTGCCCGGCTCCTCTGAGGGGCGCCCCCGTGACCCGTGACTGTGCAGAAAGGCGGCTGGCCCGGCCCCGTGGGCCAGGAGCGCTGTCCCCGAGGGCATCACAGTGACTCAGCACAAGCCAAGGACACTGCTTGCCCGGGCCCTGCCAGGTGCTTTGAGAAGTCCCCCAGATTCTCAGCTTTCAGAACAACGGAAGCCCAGTGCCCCCCGACCCCGGCAGCCGCGTGCCGAGAGGGGTCCTGGCCAGAGCCGGGACTGAGTCCTCGGTGGGAAGGGCGAGCTCAACTGTCCGGAGCCCACGGGAGAGGCTCCGTTCAGATGCTGTTTTGTGAGGAACTGCCCCCCACGCTTCTCTTGGTTTTCACCAAAGAAAATGTCTTTTTGCGCATGTTACAGTAGAAACGTGCTTGGCCGCAGCCGTGTTTGCGGAGTTCTCCAATGATTAACCAGCGGAGCGCCCGCTTTGGCGGGAGGTCGTCTTGGGCCTGGGAGGAGGGAGGGGCAGGCCGGGGCGGGCTGGGGCAGCCGCGCAGACGCGGCGCGAGGGCGGCGCGAGGCCAGGCGCGGCCGTTTCTGGGTTCTGGGGGAGACGGGCTGTTCCTGTTGTGCGACGATCTCGCTGCAGATAGAAACGGGTTGTGACTTTTTAGTTGTTTTCATCACCCCCCTTGCTCTCTTGCACTTGGTGCAAATAAACGTGTTTCACGTGGCGGTGGTGTGACTCGTGTGCGTGATACACGCGGCCGTTCCCCTGGCGCGGGTGCTGGCGTTGTTGGTATCAGCTTTGCCTGAGTGAGCAGTGTAGGGGGTTAAGGGGCATCTTGCCCTTGGGGAGGAAATGAGTTTCATTCGCATCCGAGGGCCTCCCTGGTGGCGCAGGGGGTTAAGACGCAGCCTGTGAGGCTGTGCGCAGCCTCTGCAGCACGAGTTCGAGCCCCAGCCAGGGAGCGACCCACAGGGCACAGCAGACTCTCCTGTCTCCCCGCCGCTCCCCTCAGCAGTGGATCTCAGTGGATCCGCCTGTTCTGCTCCCCGCTCTGTCTCTGGGGAGTCCTCTTGACCCTGCATCTCAGGCCTGTGCCCGGCTCTTGTAGGTGGAGATAAATAAACCTTTTTAAGAAATTGACTGAAGTGTTTCTGTCACGCGTGCCCCCGGCTTTCAGGTGGTTCGTTTTCTTCCGCTGCTGCTCGCGTTGGCACAGCGCTTGAGTTCTCCCCTCCGGCCTGGTCCCCGGAGTTCTGCGTCGTTTCGGAGCCACCAAAGCCCAGCGCCCCCGGCCCTGGCAGCCGTGTCCCCGGAGGCGCCCTGGCCGCAGCCAGGACTGCATCCTCCTGCAGGAAGGGCGAGCTCGGCTGTCCGGAGCCCCGCGGGAGAGGCTGCGGCCACGGCACCCGTGAGCCGCCGCTGTGGTTCCGGGAGCTCTTCCCTCCCGTTTGACCCCCTCCCGCCGCCGGGCGCCTCAGGTCTGTGGTCTCCTGCACGTTTCATTTTTTCTTTTTCTTTTTTTTTTTGCGGGGGGGCACTTTGTTCAGCTTCCCTGTGCTCCTCCCGCCGGCGAGGCCGTCCGCGCTTCTCTCTCTGGCTCCTTCCACGGAGCGTCCTCGCGCCGGCTCGTCCCTGCTGCTGCGGGCGGCGCGTCTCTGTGGAGGGCCGAGGAGGGTTCCGGGGGCGCAGAGCGCGGTCTTCTGAGCCAGCCCCCGGCCGGGGCATTTCGGGGTGTCGCCAGGTCCCGGCGGTTGTCAGCAGCGCTGCGGTGAGCGCAGGCGCGCGGGCTTCCTCCCCAACGAGCGGTGTGTGTCTGGGGGAGACTCCGGGAGTGGAGCCGCGGGGTCGGGGTAGCTCCATGTCCAGTGGCCTGAGGGGCGTCCCCGCGGCCCTCCGAGGAGGCCGGGCCGGTCTGCGCCCCCGGCGGCGTCGGGCTCCCTCCGCCACGTCCTCGCCGGCAGTCGCCCTGGTGTTTCCGGGCCGCGCCGTGCTCCCGGCCGTGGGGGTGGGGTGGGGTCTCGCGTGGTTTTGATTTGCACGTCCCTGGTTATCCGCGACGAGCGCGTTTCGTCCACCCGTGGGCCGTTTGCGTTTCCTCTTTGCACGAGCGTCTCTGCGGCTCTCCCGCCCGTGTCTTGACTGGGTCGTTGGCTGTGTTTTTGTTGCGTCGGGTGAGATCCTTGTGGGTTTGTGCTTTTTTTTAACGGTTCTGACTAGTGCAACTGAAAGATCACACTTCTGGTTGTGGGGTTTAGTGTCCGGGTCGGGTGAGATGCTGGTTTTGTCCATCGCACTTGCAAGGCCAGACGGGACTGGAAATGGGGAGCGTGTGCGGACGCAGGAGAACACCTGAGAAGGTGTTTGTCTCACGAGCTGTTCCTCCACTGGGACAAAGCGTCGTGACGCGCAGGGCCTGAGGGAGTCTGGAGGAAGCTGCTCCTGGCCGCAAGTTGTGGCCTCCTGCCACCCCCACCCGAGGGCCCGACCTTGACCCCCACCCATTGCAGTCAGGTCTGCGGCGACTCTAGCGCTCCCCGGGGCCTGCCCAGCCCCTGCAGAGCGTCGGGGTCCAGCCGTGCTGAGCCCCAGTGACAGTAGCGGGCGCCCCAACTCTGCTCCGTGTTCCCTGCTGTCACGGCCCCACTCACCACCTCGTGCTGGATTCTGGGGTGCCAGCAAGAAGCACCCCAAACTTGGAAAGAAGAGTTCGCTGTAGGTTGCATTTGTGCCGCGGCCTTCCTGTCACGAACACGGGCACGTCGAGTTTTGTTTCTTTTCCCCAAGAAGAGCAGGTTTGCTGTGCTAAGGCTCTGTGCTTGCTCTTTCCAGGCCGTGGAGAATCTCTGTTCTCACAAAGTCTCCTCCACCCTCTACAAGCAGCTCCGCCAGGTCTGCGAGGACCACGTCCAGGCGCAAACCCTGCAGTTCAGGGAATATCCTTTTTGGCTCGTGACGCTTCTGCTCGTTAGTCTAAGTCTTGAAATCGGTCTCTGGTAGGAAAAGGAGTTGGGTCCCCCGAACGTTGAAAGAATTGCTGTTGAAGTTCCCTTCTGCTGCAGGACGGAAGCCTTAGGTTTCATCTTACTGGACTTTGGCAGCTTTTTTTTTTAAAGAAAAATCTCGTGTGAGCTTCCTTTCCCCGGTGTCTTGGCGTCTCCCGATGGTGTCAGAACGACCCTTGAATATTTAAGGTGCCCATCGGATCGATGCAAACCGCTCTCTGCCTGGGTCTGGTTGGTGTCTTTAAAACAAGTTCTGAAAAACGTCTTAAAGTCGGGAGTTTTCTAGGACTCGTGACAAAGGGCTGTGAACCCTATCCCTGGCCGGACCCCAGCCTTACAGGGCCCCCTCTGGGTGTCCTGGGCCTGTGGTCCCGCCGAGGCCAGCTTGTCCTCTGGGCCCGTCGGCGTTGGCAGAGCCCGCTCCCTGTGTACCCTGGTGGCTGCCCGAGGCTGCCCTGTGGTCCTGCCCTGGGCCCCTGCCCACCGCACCTCAAGGCCGCCCATGCCTCACGCCCGCGGCCATTGTGATTGGCGGGAGCACGAGGAGGAGGGTCAGTGAGGCTAGGGGAGCGGGCAGGGCACCCGACATGGGGTGGGGCTCCTGAGCTGCCCCGGGTGTGTCCTCTGCGGCCGAGTCTGCGCTTTCCTTAGCAGGCGTGCACAGGATCCCTGGACAGCGTGCTGTTCCTCAAGAGGGTGGACACCTGCTGGCAGGACCACTGCAGGCAGATGGTGAGCCTGGCCCGCCCCCGAGCCGCTGCCCCGCACAGAAGCCACTGCTACCCGCAGGGCTCCCGTGGCCGCCTCCTGCCCCTCCTGGGGTTCTCCTGGTGTGCCCCGGTCATCAGACCTGGGTCCAGGCTTCCTGCAGCCAGACAGCCAGAGCAGGAGAGGCCCTTGGCCTGCCTGGGCGGCAGGGTGGCCCGGCTGTTAACTAGGGAGGGAGGGGCAGGTCAGTGTCTTCACAGCCTGAGCACTGCTCGCCATGGGGCGGGGTGCTGTCCTGGGGCCAGCCCAGCCCTGTCAGCCACCAGGGCCCATGTGGAGGAGGCCGAGGCCACACCTGCATGAGTGAGCTGGGACTACATTGGCGGTGGGGGGCAGGCCGGCCTGGCGCCACTGCTTTGACAGTGCAGACCCTCCCCGTGAGACGGGATTGGCCCCAGCACCACGACCGGCCGGCGGTGGGGTGTCCTCCCGGTGAGTTGGCGAGAGCTGGCCGTGGGCCCGACCCTGGACCTCGCGTTAATCAGACACGTGATGTTCTTCCTGGTTCCAGATCATGATCAGAAGCATCTTCCTGTTTCTGGACCGCACCTACATACTCCAGAACTCCATGCTGCCTTCCATCTGGTGAGAGCCCTGCCGGGACCCGGCCTCCCTCTGGGCAGCTCGCCTGAGGGCCTACGCCTTGGCTGGAACCACTAGGGGGTCCGGTCCTGGGACACGGCAGCAGGTGTGAGAGCTGGAGGAGTGCCGGGCAGCTTCCAGCATGTTCTCCGTGACCAGGAGCCCCCAGCTGAGGAATGCGATGGGCTCTGAAAGCTGGTTCCCTTCCGTGGAAGGGCCCAGAGGGGGCCAGGAGGAGCCACTGCTCTGGAGGGCAGGGTGGGGACCTCACAGCCCCTGAGTCTCACCCCAGGGCTGCGCTCCCCACAGTGACTGGGGCCCTGCCTCCAGGACGACCAGTCCCCACGCGGGTGGAGCCAGTGGATTTGGGGCCGTGGCTGGGCCCACCCCCGAGACCTGGGCTTGTTTCTCACCGCTGACCAGGGACATGGGGCTGGAGCTGTTCCGGACCCACATCATCAGCGACAAGGCGGTGCAGAGCAAGACCATCGATGGCATCCTCCTGCTGATCGGGCGCGAGCGCAGTGGCGAGGCGGTGGACCGGAGCCTGCTGCGCAGCCTGCTGGGCATGCTCTCCGACCTGCAGGTGCGTGGCAGGGCGGGCGTGGCAAGCGGGCCCGTACTGCTGGCCCTGATTGTTGAAACACTGCCTGTCTCTTAGGTGTACAAAGACTCGTTTGAACTGAGGTTTCTGGAGGAAACTAACTGTCTGTATGCGGCAGAAGGCCAGAGGCTGATGCAGGAGCGAGAGGTGAGCCGGGGGCCGCTGCCAGGCACCATGTCTTGTCGCAGGCTCCCTGGAGCTGCTGCTCATTGTGCAGAATAAGGCGCCGCACAGCTTTTGCTTAGAGACTCGTTTGCTGTCCCTCCAGTTAAAATGCCAATAAGGTAGTTGAGACCAGAGGATGAGAGACAAACCTCTGTGAAAGAGAAACGTGACCCGTCTAAGTTTTCATCTGTGTGAGGCCTTGAAAAATTTGCCCAAAAATCCTTGTGAAAACAGGTATCATGTGACCCCTAGAACATCAGCCCCGGCTCCGGCTCAGCAGATCACAAGGGAAGCCCCTTGGGACTGGGCCCCAGAGGCCGCCTGTGCCCGCACTGACGGGACCGCACGAGCTGGGACTCGGGGCTGGGCCCCCTGCTGTGGGCCCAGATGGGGCTCCCTGCACCCCTGGCAGCGCAAAGCTCACACATGTTGCCGCCACCACCACACCTTGGGGTCTGGGAGGCTGGTACTCCCCCCCCCCCCCCCGCCAACACACACATAGTGTGGCTGCTTACCCACCGGAGATGTGGCAGCCCGGAGGTGTGTCTGTGAAAGGCCGGATCCTGGGTCAGGCTGGACACTGTGGCCCTGGCCCTGGCACCCACATGCCAGTCGTGTCTGGCTGCGCGGGCAGCCCTGCCTCTGGTTTGCACGGTGCCTGGCGCGGTGTGAGTCACTGTAGCCTGCGGGTATTTTGTTGGAAGGTCCCGGAGTACCTTAACCATGTCAGCAAGCGCCTGGAAGAAGAAGGAGACCGGGTGATCACCTACCTGGACCACAGCACACAGTGAGTGCCCGCTGGCTTGCCATGCTGCGTGGGGTCCCCTGGTGCCCCTGTGCTGCCATGTCGGCGAGATATGGTACCCGCAGCTCCCGCCAGACCTGTGTCTGTGCCACCATGTGCGGCCTCTGGCCCTGAGCTGCAGTCAGGGCCGTGGGATGGGCAGTCCCAGCCCCTGGATGTGGTGGAGGCACTTCTGTGCTGCCTGACTGGGGCGTCTTGGGGACCCGCTGGTCTGGACAGTTGCTTCCCACGGACGCTCCTGCTGGGTTCTGCGGACGTGGAGGCAGGGGTGGGGCTCTGCCTTGTCAAGCCACGTCCTGGCCCTGAGCGGGGCTCCGAACCGTTGCCCGACTGCCTGGGTCGGTGGTTGGGAAGGGCGGCCATCGGGGCCACGAGTGCGCTGCCAGGGTCGTGCGTGGGAGCTGCTTCATGAGACTCCATGGCTCCCTCTGGCCAGAGGGCACGGTGTCCACGGCACGTGGTCCCTCATGGCCCAGAGCGGGTGGCGACCCGGTGCCCATCAGCGGGCGGCCAGACCCCATGCCCGGCCGGGCCTGGGTCTGTTCTAGGGGTCACGTCTGGGTGCCCGTGGGCATCGCTGCCAGGGAGGGTCGAGCAGGGGTGATGAGCGTGTTCCCCGGCTAGGACCTGGCAGCGGCCACCCCACTGGGACGCACCAGGACAGACAGGAGGGTCCCGGCAAGCCAAGTCAGGGCCAGGCCAGCGCGGGGCCTACTGGCTCGTGTGCCCAGGCGCCCGCCCCTCCCCAGTGCCGGGCAGACGGTGGCCTGTCCTCCATTGCGACGGGGGGCAGGTGTCCCGTCCCTCAACAAATGGGGTCCAGGACGGCCCCTGGGCTGGATGGGACGGGATGGGGGCCGAGCATCCGTGGGGAGAGGACCTGGCGGGGGGGTGGCGGTGCTGGCTGGGGCCCAGGGTGCTCCAGCGGGGCCACCTTCTCCCCCACCCTCCGTGGCCTCTGCGCACCTGGTTCCTGGCTCTCAAGGGTGTCAGAGCTGCCAGCCGCATGGCTGTGGGGGCCCTTCCCTGCTCACGGGCTCTTCTCTCGTCCAGGAAGCCGCTGATTGCCTGCGTGGAGAAGCAGCTCCTCGGCGAGCACCTGGCAGCCATCCTACAGAAAGGTGGCCGTGCCGGGCGCCCGTGGGGGCAGGGGTTGGGTGCTGTGGGGAGGGTGCGGAGAGGGCATCTCGCCCTGGAACACTCGAGCTGATGCTGTGAAAGTGGCCCTGACTCGGCCCTGGGAGGGTGGGGGTGCTTCTCGGCCGCCGCTGCACTGCCAAGGCCGGCTCTGACGGGACGTGGCCGCACACGTTCTCGCTCAAACCTGTGAGGTCCCAGGATGGGCTGAGCCAGGGACGGTGGGTGCAGGGGCCAGGTGGGCGGGACTGCAGCATGCCCTGCCCTGCCCACGCGCCCCGGCCTCTGTGTCTGCCATGCAACTCTGACGCGCCACCTCTGTCGCCTCAGGGCTGGACCACTTGCTGGACGAGAACCGCGTGCCGGACCTCACCCAGATGTACCAGCTGTTCAGCCGCGTGAAGGGCGGGCAGCAGACGCTGCTGCAGCACTGGAGTGACTACATCAAGGTCTGTCTGCCGGCAGCACTGGCCCTGGGGGCTGCAAGGCTGGGCGGGCGGTCGTCTCATGTCCTGGTGTCCGTTCGTGCGCATGGTGCCCACGAGCGGGTGGGGCCACTCTGGCCGGCACCCATGACCCACGCGGGTGCGTCTGCAGGCCGTGGGCTGCGTCTGGTGCATTGGGTATGCGCGCGAAGGGGGTGCAAGGGCGTAGAGGCAGCAGCACCCGGCTGACGTGGACACATGCGGGCAGCTGCCTCGTCTGCCCCTTCATGGCACCCTGCTCCATGTGCATGTTGCATGCAGCTGTGCTGCTGCGAGGACCATCCCTGGGGCACGTGGCACGCCTGGCAGGCACCACGCAGCCCCGGGGCATCGGGGGCTGATGGCTGAGGGAGACAGGGCAGGACGCGGGGTCAGCCTCACGGGCGCGACAGCAGGGTCTCTGAGGCATGGGCCGCCTGCCACGCGTGGAAGTTGAGACAACTCAGTTTGCAGTCAACGGTGATTAACGTCTGCGTCGTGGCGGGTGGTGGGCGAGCGTGGTGACGGGGTCTCCGTGGTGACGGGGGTATCCCGTAGACTTTCGGCACGACGATCGTCATCAATCCTGAGAAGGACAAGGACATGGTGCAGGACCTGCTGGACTTCAAGGACCGGGTGGACCATGTGGTGGACGTGTGCTTCCAGCGGAGTGAGAAGTTCGTCAACCTGATGAAGGAGTCCTTTGAGGCCTTCATCAACAAGAGGCCCAACAAGCCTGCGGAGCTCATCGGTGGGAGAGCGCGTTTCTGGGTGCCTTGCATTTGGGAGATTCAGGCAGAACTCAAGCAGGTTTTCCCCACGATGTCCTGACTCCTTGTTGGGGGGACGGGGGTACCTCATCAGGACTCATGTCCCTGCAGATGGGCGTGAGCTGTGTGCATCATGCTGACAGCCCAGGGACCTCCAGCTGAGGCTGTCCATGGCGGGGGGCCGGGGATGTGCTTGTGCTGCACAACCCTGCTTGTCTCGTGGGCAACAGACCGTTGCCGCGAGCTCCAGTCCTGTCCCAGTCCGCTGGTCAGTGTGAGAGGGCGAGATTGGGTGCGATCTTGAAGGACAGCGTGATTTAAGGTGAAGCCATTTTGAATTGATAGCTTCGTGTGGCGTTAGCGTCAGGTGTGTCCCAGGAGCCTTCGGCTTTCATCAGCCAGAAAGGGCTTTGCAAGGCTGGGCGCTGAGGGGTGGGGGCGACACTGCCCAGGCGCACTGTGGACGGGGCTCCTCGCACGTCCCTGCTTCTGTGTGCTCACGAGTTTCTGTTATGAGAAATTGCAAAGGAAAAGCCCATAAGCAGAGTCAGAGGTACTGACAGGGGCTGATTGGGCTTTGGGCCACTGTGTGGCTTGTGGTTTCTCGAAGGTGAGGCTCCGCTCTCCTCTGGGGAGTCACCGTGTGTCTCTGAGGCAGGAGCCTGGTCGGGCTGCCCTTCCCCGGCAGGGAGCAGGCGTGTCCCCCGGGCCCCACCCAGCTCTTTCTGTCTAAGGAAGGCGCGTGGTCCTGTGCCTGGGGCAGTGAGGCACTGCCAAGTCCAGTGATTGCGCGGCCTGGGGGAAGCCGGGGCCTGTCCTCCCAGAGCGCCGAGGATGTGTGGCCGCCACAGAGGCGCTTCAGGGGTCGCTCTCTTCATCTCACAGCCAAGCACGTCGACTCGAAGCTGAGGGCGGGCAATAAAGAAGCCACGGACGAAGAGCTGGAGCGGATCCTGGACAAGATCATGATAATATTCAGGTTCATCCACGGTGAGCAGCTCTCCGCACTGTCGTCAATAGCTTCAGACAAACAGAAAACAGCGTCGCCGAGACCGCGCCCTTGGGCCTCTTTCCTGGAGGAAGCTGGCCCGGGCGTCCCCCGTGGGCGGGCGGGGACCCCTCCAGGCGGGCACGGGCTCCCAGCCTGCGCGCAGCTCCCCGACGCCCCGCGTCCTTCTCGTTGGGCTGCAAACAGGTAAAGATGTCTTTGAAGCATTTTATAAAAAAGACCTGGCAAAACGACTCCTTGTTGGAAAAAGTGCCTCTGTCGACGCTGAGAAGTCGATGTTGTCAAAACTTAAGCATGGTGAGTTCGGGCCGGCGGGGGCGGGGTGGGGGGGCGGGCAGCCGGTCCTGGGCCCTCACGTCGTTTTCGCCCTGTCCGCAGAGTGTGGCGCCGCCTTCACCAGCAAGCTGGAGGGCATGTTCAAGGACATGGAGCTCTCCAAGGACATCATGGTGCACTTCAAGCAGGCAAGTGGCCTTGGCCCGCGCCCGCTCGCCTGGGGCAGCAGAAGCGCCAGTTATCCCTCGGGCCTTTCACGCAGACCTGGCTCACGTGCATGTAAGGGCCCTCGTGCTGGCCAGGAGGGGCCGCGCGGCCATGCGTGCCTGGGGCTGAGGTGGAGGCAGACATGACCCGACTCTGCTGGGAATCGCAGCTCTTGTGTCGTAAGTCAGGGCGGGGGCGGTTTCCTGGAGTCACGTCTCGTCTGCGCCTCCTCTGTCCCCAGTACATGCAGAACCAGAGCGACCCGGGCTCCATCGACCTGACGGTGAACGTCCTCACCATGGGCTACTGGCCGACCTACACGCCTGTGGAGGTGCACCTGCCGCCCGAGGTGGGTGGCCCGGCTGGCTGGGGCGACCTCGCCGCCGTCCCATGGTCTCTCCCAAGGCTCCTGTCAGGCCTACCCGCTACTCTCCCTCCCGCCCGCTGCGGACAGCCCCGAGCCGGCGCCCCTGGGGGGCGGGCCTGACCCAGGGGCAGGTCCAGGAGGCAGCTGTAAAACAGGGCGGGCCTGTTCTTCGTGCTGTGAATGTTGATTAAGACTTGTGAGTTGCATGGCGCGTGCTGCTGAGAAGGACCGCGTCGCAGTCAGGCTTGCCTCCTTGTGCTCGGCAGATGATCAAGCTTCAGGAAGTCTTCAAGACCTTCTACCTTGGGAAGCACAGTGGTCGGAAGCTGCAGTGGCAGACGACGCTGGGCCACGCCGTGTTGAAGGCGGAGTTCAAGGAAGTGAGTTCTCTGTCCTGCTGCATGGACTTTCAGCTTTTGTAAGTCATTTTGACTGAGCTTTGGTGGCAAAGAGTAAACCATCGCTGTCGTCCGCTCGGCTTGTTTAGGTCAGTAAAGCTACCGGCAGCCGGGGGTTCACGTTCTAGGCGGTGGCAGTGAGAGCGCGATCGCCAGAGGGAAGGGCAGTGGTGGTGGTGCCTCTGGGGCCCTGGGAGCTGCAGACCGGGCGCCTCGGCGGGGCAGCATGCCCTCCCGCGGGCCCTGTCCCGCCCCTGTGTTCTGTCCCCTCACGCCAGGGCACCCAGCACCGGGGGACGCGCCGGGCTAGAAAGGGCAGGTGGGGGCACGGCAGCCCCAGCAGCCCCAGCATGAGTTGCGGAAGGACCTCCTGACAGCCCTCGGGGCTCCGGCGGAGGAGGTTTAGGCCGCGGGCCCGACGGCGTGGCCCTCGCTCAGTGGGCAGCCCCGTTCCGAACGCCACGCCTGTCCCCGCAGGGAAAGAAGGAGTTCCAGGTGTCCCTCTTCCAGACGCTCGTGCTGCTCATGTTCAACGAGGGCGACGGCTTCAGCTTTGAGGACATAAAGATGGCCACTGGCATAGGTGTGGCCGCGAGGGCCGGGGCGCCCGCTTAGGTCATCATGGCCGGGGGGCTGGGGGGGCGAGCCGGCTCCTGCGCGTGTTGGGGGTCCTGTCCGCCCCGCCTGACCACCCTGCGCCCTCCCCGCCCAGAGGACAGTGAGTTGCGGAGGACGCTGCAGTCCCTGGCCTGCGGGAAGGCCCGTGTCCTGACCAAGAGCCCCAGGGGGAAGGAGGTTGAAGACGGGGACAAGTTCATCTTCAACGGCGAGTTCAAGCACAAGCTGTTCCGAATCAAAATTAACCAAGTCCAGATGAAGGAGACTGTACGTATGCGCCCCCGCTGCTCCCGCTGCTCGGCTGCTCCCGGCCGTCCCGGCCTTTGGCTGGTGGCCGCGCGGCTCTCCGGGGCCTGCAGCGAACATCTGAGCCGCCTCACCTGATGCCCAGGCGCCTGGGCTGCTCCGCACACGCTCGCTGTGGCTGGGGGCAGCCACCACCTGGGGAGTGGGTCGGATGGAGAGGCAGGCCGTCGGGAGGCGGAGGCTGCTCAACTCAAGTCACTCACTTTGGTCTGTCAGCATGGGTGGGGTCCAGGCCATGGGTGCGGAGGTCGGCACCCCGAGTTCCGGGGCTGGCACGGTGTGTGGCTCGGCATTGAATCTGGGGGCTGCCCGACACCTGCTTGGTCAGTGCTCCCGAACAGCTGGCCTGGGGCATGTCCGGGGTCCTGGTGCCCAAGGCCTGCCCTCGTGTCGGGCCTGGATGGGCGGATGTCCCGGGCCTGCACGGCGCTGTTGCAGGCGGACCCTGCCTGAGTAGCCGCGACAGCAGGGGTGGCTGTCAGGGAGGCTGCTCTGTGCCAGACTGCCGCCGGCAAGCTCCCTGAACTCCCCTCCAGAGCGGGCCTATGCTGGGCACTCCGGCCAGTGACGTCCCCCTTCTGGCTCTCCGCCCTTCCGTTCAACAGGACTACCTCTGCTGGCGACAGCGAGGGGCTGGCAACCCGGCCCCTGGCGAAGATGCCGCCATTGCCATGTGACGGGCGGGTTTGCTGGTTTGGGGGTTTTCCATGTGAGGGCTCTGAGTTGGCAAATGTAGCCTTTTGTCCTTTCTGGTGTCTGACTTGGGAGCCATGGCTCAGAGGGCTTCTGTGGCCATGTCCTCTGCACAAGGTGGACGTTGTGGCAGAGCCTCCCACCTCCCTTGGCTGCACAACGGGCGGGCCTGGTGCTCACGGCCTGGCGCCAGTTCAGCTGCTGCCCGGGCACTGCGGTGCTGGCATCTCAGTCAAGAGCACGCCTCACAGGCCTCACAGGCTGCCCGCCCCATGCCGGGCCGCGCGGCCCAGCCGCACGGCTTCCTCGCTTTTTAAATAGGAAACAACTCTTTTTCCGCATTGGCGTCATGGGTTGCTGTTGTCGGAAGGTCGGGTTGATCAGAACGAATGAAAACGCGGCCCGGCAGGGCTCCCCGCGCCGACTCCTGTGCGTCGCACTTGGGAACGAGACGGTCGATGCTCGAGACACAGCCTCGGCCCGTCTCGCCCGCGCAGGTGGAAGAGCAGGTCAGCACCACCGAGAGGGTGTTCCAGGACCGGCAGTACCAGATCGACGCCGCCATCGTGCGCATCATGAAGATGAGGAAGACCCTGGGCCACGCCCTGCTGGTGTCGGAGCTCTACAACCAGCTCAAGTTCCCTGTCAAGGTGCCGCCCCCGCGTGTGCTCTGACCCGGCTCCCCCGCTGCCTCCCGGTCCCTGAGCACCGGTGCGCTGCCTGCCACAAGGCCCCCGGCCCGGTGTCCCGTGGGCCCGCCGGGGATGCTCTGCTCGGGGACCCTCGGGGGTGGGGAGGCGGCTTGTCCAGCCACCCGCGCCCTGTGTCTGGCCACGGGGCTTCCCCGCTGAGTTGGGCGAGTTCAGCCCCCGGTGTCCTTTGACAGCGCTGGGTGGCTGTAGGCCGCGCTTGGTGACGTGGGGTCTGGTTCTCTCTCAGCCCGGAGACCTGAAAAAGAGAATCGAGTCGCTCATCGACAGAGACTACATGGAGCGAGACAAGGACAGCCCGAACCAGTACCACTACGTGGCCTGAGCCGGCCCCGCCCGCCGCCGGGGCTCTGCGGGCGCTGGGCAGGCAGGGAGGGCGGCAGAGTCTCTCCCGACAGCCCTTCCTCCTGCCGGGGTGCCGGCCTGGGCTCGGTCCGGGTCAGTGAGACTCTAAGGTGGGCCGAGAGACACTGGTCGGGTCGGCTCCCCTGGGGCTTGCGCCCCTGAAGCGGGAGCAGGATGTCCGCCTGCCCTCGTGTGCAGGGTCACCGCCGCGCCCACAGCGGCCCCGGGGACGCGGCCTCAGTTTCCTTTCTTTTCAAAGAGCTCACGCCCTGGCGGCCACGATCTCTTATGGGCGCTCTGGGCGGGCTGCAGGTGTGCCAAGTGGGGCCTGCTGTGGGCACGGGCCCAGTGCTTCCCGCCCTGCCGCGCCCCCGCTGACCTGCTGGGGAGGTGGGGAGGTGCCGGGTCCGAGCCCCTCCCCGCCCGGCGGAAGGGCTTGGTGGGCGCGGGCCGCGCGGCGTGCCTGCGGGTGCTGACGTCGTGCGCGACTACAACAAAGATACTTTTGTGATAACATTTGAAAGTACTTTATATTTTACATGATAGCATGTTTCATTTTGATTAAAAGCTACCAAAGGAATTTTGATCATGGTATAAGTGTTTAAAGCAATATTTTCTGGAATATACCAAGTTTATATAATTTGATTTTATGCTAAATTATTAAAAGATTTTCCCTTTTTGAAACATGCGTGTTTAGAATATGCTATCTGGGTTTGCACACGAAAGGCCTCGCTCCTTGCGTGTCATCGTTTCTATATTTGTGAATTTTCATTTGTGAGTTCGTAAGGTGGTCTTGAAGGGCCAGTAGCTTTCTACTTCTTACAAGTTCATTGTCTGTAGAGATTGTTAATATTGTAATTTAACGTAGACTGACTGAATAAAATTAGTTTAATCAACCTGACAATCACATTGTGAGAACTTGGTGGTGTCGGGCTCAGCCCCCTCAGCTCTTCAGCCACTTGGGCCCCTCCTTGCACGGGGAGGCCCTGGGCCCATGCGCGCCCCTCCGGCCCGGCCGCAGGGCGCTCGGACCTCGTCTGTCCTCCCGTCTGTCGATGTCCCTTTGCATTTGGTCACCTCAAAGGCCGAAGTGGAGATGGCCCAGAGGCGGGCGGCAGGAGGCCAGGCCCGGGCAGTGTGGCCAGGTCACCGGCTGCACCCCATGCTGACAAGAAGGTCTTCCAGTGGTGACCCCAAAACGGCGAAGCACCGATTAAGACGACGACGTCCGCAGAAGCACGTCTCAGTGGGCACGCACCCGTGGGCTGGCGGGCGCCTCTGGGTTCCCTGTGGGGCTGGCCTGGGCTGCTTGGGGTGTGTCCTGGGTAGGTGGGGGGTCTGCAGTGTCTTGGGGTGGCCTCACACAGGACTGCTGATTTCCAGAGTGGAAACAGGCCAGTGGGAGGTGGGATCGGGCAGCTCGGAAGCCCTGAGGCCTGACCCCTCGGGGCTCTGGGGGATGCAGGGGCTGAGCTGACCAGCCCAGGAGCCCTGGCCTCAGGCTGGCCCCTCGAGTGAGGCTGCAGGATGGTCGCTCTGTGAGAACAGTGACGTCAGCTCAAGCTCAGACTGGGCTAAACCCCAAGCAGGCAAACGTGTCTCAGGAAGAAGCCATAATTAAAAGAAAACTTGGGAGCCTCCCCGGGGGCGCAGCGGTTGAGTGTTGGGTTGTGAAGCTGCCCGCAGCCTCTGCAGCGCCGGTTCGATCCCCGGCTGCTCCCCGGCCACCGGCGGAGGGTCCCGCATGGCGCGCAGACCTCTCCTGCCGCCCGCTGCTCCCCTCAGCAGTCGGTCCTTCTGCCTGCTCTGCTCCCCGCTCTGGCTCTGGTGAATTCTCTCGCCCTCCCGCGCTTCTGGCTGTACCCAGTGCTTGTATAAATAAATACATAAATAAATAAATCTTTTTTTAAAAAAAAACTTGGGCTTTTTGTTTTCAGAGTAAAACATAATTGTGTATTAAAACCTTTTTTTTTTTTTTGAAAAAATTATGAGTGACATTCTCTACCATCAACTCGGGGAGACAAGGATGAACATCGGCTGAAGCACACGTCCCTCCTGTCCCGGGCCGGTAGGTGCCCAAGAGCCGAGGCCAGGCTGCCTGTGGGGCGGCCCCAGTCCTTGGGGTTGCTGGGCGCCCGCTGGTCGTCTTTGGAGGGTGAGGGGTGGATTGTGCGTGGGGGCAGGGGAGGAATCCCAAGTGTGCCTGGGGGGGAGAGGTGGGGCTGCCAGGGCTGGCAGACAGGGTATCTGGGGCGGGGCCTCCGGTGCCATGCTCAGCCCAGAAGAGAGTCCCCTGCAGCTTGGTGTGCCAGGAGCTGCGGTGCAGGACACCCCCACATCGCCTGCCACGCAAGTGAGGACATCTCCAGGCTCCCGGCCTGGTCGCAGCACCCGTGTTTGCGTCACGCTGGTAAACGCAATAAACTGTGTTGAGGCTACAAGCAGGAACCAGCACAGGCCCTAGTGTTCAGGCCACCCCACACTGCAGAGACCAGCCCCTCATCTCTCTGCCAGGCCCTGCAGGGTCGTGGCTTCTGTCGTCGCCAGCGGTGAGCAGGTCCCCCAAAGCCTGAGCAAACACTCCCCTAAGAAGAAAGTCCCCCAGAGAGGGAGGGTGGCCCATGGGGGCTGTACAGCTGGGTAGAGGCGCCAGAGCCGGGTTGGGTCCGGTGTGCCCTGGCGCTTCCATGTTCACGCGTGTTTGTTAGGTGTGCACTGTGTTTGTGAGTGTGGACACGTGTGCTTGTTGGTGAGGCTGTGTGTGCCCTTGCTGAGACGGGAGGTCACTGGGACGTGGGGACACATGAGGCGGCTGTGAGCAGTGGCTGTAAGGGGGGGCCCCCCTCTGTGTCCCCGGAGGTCTCCACAGCCTCCCGGAAGGGCCGCGTGGCAGGGGCAGGGCTGGCCGAGCTGGAATTGCTGGGGATGCAAAACGCTGACTCCCAAGCGCTGAGCCCCGGGGAGAGGGGACCGTGGTCCCTCCTACATGCTACGAGAGTCTCCCCGCCACACGGTGTCCGCATTTCTCCTGGGCTCTCCGTCCTAGCCTGCACCCCCAGGAGCACCCCCTGTAAGGCCTCTGGCTTCAGCCCTGTTACAAAGCAACCACGGCAGGCAGCGGGGAGGGCAGAGGCTGGAGGGCAGAGCGGGACGTCGAGCCCGCCCTTCAGCCTGGGCTTGCCTCTCTCCCGGGCACTCTCCTGCCCAGCTTGCCTGGGTTGAACACGGCCATGGAGGCCACTTGCTGCTTTTGGCTCAGGGCGGCCCTTCTGTTGGGAGCCCTGACGGACTCAGCCGCGGATATGCCCCCCAGTGCCCCGCGGTGGCAGGCCCGGGAGCCTCCGCCCCTCCGGCAAGTTCGCACTTGGCCCTCGTCACCGGTGGGCGCCCCCACATTCTGCTCTGGGGCAGCACGCTCCCACGGGGCTGGCAGATCGTGCTGCCCGCCTGGAGGCCAGGCCCCATGGAGGCCGAGTGGGGGCCGGCATCCTCACCCAGCCGCCAGAGAGAGCTCCTGGGACGCGCTCCTCCTCCTGGGCCTAAAAGCTGGCAACTGATGTCAGGCCTGTTGCTTTACTGCCATTCTTCACACGCTTCTCTTGTAGCTATTCTCAGGGCTGTAGCCCAGGCTTTCCGCCAGCAAAGCCCCCCCCCCCGCCGCCCAAAATCCATGAATGGACATGGGCTGGAGTCATGACTCTTGGTAAAGGGACACTCGGCCCGTGGGCTTCCTCAGCAGCCTGTTTTTGTCTCGGGGGCCCGGGGGCCCGGTCACTGGCGGGGCAGGCCAGCCTGGCCCTCTGCGCAGCGGCCACGCCCTTGGGTACAGGAGCGGGCCTCGGGGCTCGCCCCAGCCACGAGGACCAGCCTGGAGACTCAGGGTGCCAGCAGTGGCAGCTCCGCGTGTCAGGGAGTGAGAAGAATAAGGCTAACGGGGTCGTTTTGATGGTTCTTGGGTCATGGCGCTGGCGCAGAGGCCGACTTGGGCTGTGCGGCGTGTTCCTGAGTGACAGGACTCCCACTGGCAGTGGCCTGGCCCGGGCTTCCCCACTGCTCTCTCTCCCGACACCCAGGATTTATCGCCCAGATGCGTCAGTGCTCGTGACCAGTCACGTCTTTCTTGTGAAGAGAGACAAAGGCTACTGGGTGTGGGTGATGGGGGAGCACGACCCACGGTGAGGGCCTGCTGGGCCAGGGAGTACCCGGGACTTGAATCGTTTATGGCCGTAGTGAAATGGGGGGACAGGGCTACAAAAGGGCAGCAGGGCAGAGGCCGGGTGGGAGGACAGAGCAGCCTCCCCCTGCCCGGGCTGAGACCAGAGCTGCCACAGGCCAAACCCAGGGCTGCAGGTCCGTATGGACCCATAAGCGGGGGCCTGCAGCCAGAGCCACACAGAGGACAGGGCCTGGCCCGAGGACGGTCAGTCTGCGGGGCTCGCCTGTGGGAGACGTCAGGTGCGGGGACAGCTCACTGGCCAGTGCGGGGCCGCCTCACCAGGCAGCGTCAGTGATGGCCGCCACCATCACCAGGAATCTGGGTAGCCCCAGCCGGCGCGATGGTCACCGCCGGCCCCGGAGCAGGTCAGAGATCCCCAGGGTCACGGCGCCTGGGAGCTGCCAGGGACACCAGCAGCAACAGCTCTTTGGGGTGCCGGGCAGGGCTCTGGCACTTCACTGGATGGAGGCAGGACGAGGGCCCTGCAGAGTCCCTTGGCGCCTCCCCTCCTCAAGGCGGCTGCTGGACCCGTTTTTCCTCTTTCTTTGGAGGCTGGAACCACCTTCCTCTCTCCAGGGGCTGGTACCCTGCAGGCCCCACCACGGCTGGCGGCGGCTTATAGCCTCTTTCCGGGTGCCCCGCCCGCAAGTCTGATTGGGCCATTTACACCAGCCAGCCCACAGCTCCCACCTGCTTGGCCTGTTCTCGGATCCCGGCCGTCCACTGTTACATAAAAGGGCTGTGGGCGCTGCCCACACCCGACTTGGCAGCGCCGGCTGGAGCGACACAAGGGGTTTGGGGTGCTCGGGCTGCGTTGTTCTTTTCAAAGACGGGGCTTACCAAGATGCGAGCAATCATTTCAATTTTTTCACAGCCTCTCCAGACGCTGACAACGTGCGACCACTTTTAATAAAAGGGAAAATATTTCTCACCCCAAATGACGGTGAGCAGCGCGGGAGCCAGAGGCATCGCGCGGAAAAAGAGGGGATGTTTTTAATCACATGCGGAGGACACGGGCGGGCAGCGCGGGGCACCAGCTCGCGGCGGGGGGCCCGGAGGGGGCCTCGAGACCCCAGTGGGCAGGCGCGAGCCAGCGCCGCCCACCGCTGGCGGCACGAGGGTCCCCGGGGCCGGCGCGGCCCCCCTGCCCGACGGGCCGGAGCCCCGGGCGCGCAGCGGACCGGCCGCGCCGGGAACGGGCCGCGGGGCCGCGCGGCGCCCCCAGACCTCACAAAGCACCCCGGGCGCCCGCCCCGCGGCCCCAGAGACGGGCCCGGCCCCGCGGTCGTCCCGGCGACGAGGCGCCCCGCCCGCCCCGCGCCCTCGGGCCCCGACCCCAGCCGCGCCGTCCGCGCCGCCCGAGCGGGCCCTGACTCGGCCGCTCGCCTCCCGAGCCCTCGGCAGCCCCGCGCGCCCTCCGGCGGCCCTTCTCCGGGGGAAGGCGCCCGGCCCCGCGTGCGCCCCGCGCCCCCCCTCGCGGGCCCGCGCCCGCTCCCCGCCCGAGGCCCGAGGCCGCCGGGCGCCGGGACCGGCCGGTCACGTGCCGGCTGTCACGTGGCCGCCGCGCCCACGTGACCGCGCCGAGCCCCCCCCCCGCGAGCGCTCGCGCGAGACCGGCGCGCTCACGTGACGACGCGGGCGCGGCGCCGCCTCACGTGACGGGCGCGCCGCGGGGTCTCCTTCCTGCGCGGCGCCGTCGGCCGGGTCCCGACGCCGACGCCGCTCCCGCCAACCGCCGCGGCCCGCGCTCCCGCCCCGCCTCGGCGGCCTCGCGCCCATGGCGGCCCCCGGCGGCGCCCGGCGGCCGCTGCTGCTGCTGCTGCTCGGTGAGGGCCGGGCCGGGGCGGGCGGGGCCGGGGCCGGCGGGGAGGGCCGGGCCCGGCGGGGCGGCGGGCGAGGCCCGCGGGGCCGGCGGGCGCGTGACCGGGCGGCCTGACCTTCGCGCCGGCCCTCGGCCCTGGGCGGCGGGACTCGGGCGGGGCGGCGCCGGGCGGGCCGGAGGGGGGCCCCGCGGCCGCCCGCGCGCTGCGTGGTCTCCGGGCCGGGCCGGGTCGCCGCCGCCCCGGGCGCCCCTGCCGGGCCTCGCGTCCCGGGGGAAGCGCCCCTGCGGGGAGCCCGCGCCGCCGCGTCCTGCCTGCGCCCCGGGGCGGGCGGCGCCGCGGTGGCGCTTCGCAGGCGGGGCTCGGGCCTGTTGGAGACGCTCAGCACCCAAGTCCCCCGAAGAAACCCTCTGAGCCGCCTGACTTCCGGGGGACCCCTGGCCCGGGGGTGACTGCGGGGGGGCAGCGTGCGCCCGGCCAAGGCCCGGGACGGGGCAGGTGGAGTCCGGGCCTGGCCGGCTGCCGACGCCTCCCTGGCAACCGCCCGGGGCCGCAGGAGTCTGGTGGGGCTTGGGCCGTCGGTGGCCGTGGTCGCCCCTGTGACTGTTTTGGGGACCCGCCAGGCCCGTGACCTCTTTCCAGAGGGCCCAGGTCACAGCCCAGCGTCCCCCAGCCGCACCTGCTGCTGCTCAGGCCCCTCCCGGTGTGCCCACAGGCAGGCCCCGGCTCCCAGCTGCGGCCTGCCCAGCGCGGGCCTGTGCCCTCTGGAAAGGCCACCCGGACTCCGGGCTGGCGCCTGGTCTGTCTCCCGCCCTGGCGTCTTGGTGGCGGCCGAGTGGTGAAGCTGGAACTTGGACCTGCACCCACTGAGCCGGGAGGCGTGAGGCCACTGCTTATTCAGGACTGGTGCGGGGGTGCTGCCTCGGGGGTACAGGCTAGGCAACGTGCCCACCTAGTGCCTGCCTTCGCCTCGGTGTCTGGGGTGTTGTGCTAGTGTCAGGGCTGGGGGCAGGCTGGGGGGGGGGGGACCAGAGCTGACACCCTTACTCCCCGGCTCCTCACTCAAGCTCTGGCTTCACTTGTTGGGGAGGGGCTGGGTGGAGCCAAGATCTCTTCTCGGAGTTCAGGTTTTAGAGAGTGGGATGGGCTCAGGAATGGCCTGAAGGAGGGTTTGGGCACAGGAGGCCCAAGGCTAGCTGTGGAGAGGTGGCCTTCAGCTTGTGGGGGTGGGGGAGAAGGTTTGGGGGGCTTTTTACAAACTGCCCGTGCCCAGGGGAAGAGGCCTGTCCACGCGAGGCCGTGCGTGCCCTCCAGCTGCCTTGGGGCTCCTGCTGGTGAGCTCCTCACCCTGAGGGGTGCTCATGTTAGTCATTAAGTCCCAAGCACTGCACAGATGTGGCACCAGGTGCCGCTCAGCCTATGCTCTGTTTGTGAGAGTGGCAAGGTCCGTCTCCTGAAAGGCTTCTGGGGGCATCTGCTGATGTGTTAGATCTGGGGGTTCCATTCTGAAGTGTCTCCTTGGCCCTGTGCTGAGTCAGCAGAGCATCCATCATTTAGGGAACTTGGCGGGGGGGGGGGTGGCAGCCACGGCTGCTCAGAAACCTTTGGGCCCCGCCATGATGCCTGCTCACCTGCCCCCCCATACAAGTATCAGGAGGCCCCTCTGTTTTGCCTGCATCCCAAACAGGTCGTGGACTCTGGACTCGTGGACTCTTTTCTACCCGGGCCTGTTTGCCGTGGTGTCCTGGCGTCCTTCTGAGTGCCCGGCGGGGTCCTTGTAGGCTTAGACGTTGGCCCTGCCTTTCCAGAGGCTTCCAGGATGTGTGTGGGGCTCTGGCTGCCAGGCTAGGGCAGCTGTGGGCACCCGAGACATCCTGTGGTCACCATGGGCTGTGAGTCAAAGGGTGGCAGGCAGGGCCCTAGTGCGCCCCCCCCCCAGCGGCTGGGCGGTTACTGCAGAGACCCCCGGCAGAGGGGCGGGCCTGCAGGTCCCACTGAGCCCCGGGGCCAGAGCCCCAGCACAACACCTGTGCATATCTGTTGCACACGGGTGTGAGCCGCAGCCTCCCCCCGGCGATCTCTTGTGGGCCATGGGCATGTGGGTGCAAGAGGCAGGCAGCGTGGCCTGAGTGACCCAGAAAGGCTGGAGGCTGGGCCCTTCCTGCTACGAGCAGCACTGCTGCTGGCTTTTGAGGCCCCTCAACAGGAGCGTGGGTCTCGAGGCGGGGTTCCCGCCATGTCGCAGCTGGGGCAAAGGCCAGGTCTGTGGTGAGGGCCCCAGGGAGGGGCCCGGCGCCCCTAGCAGCCCTGGGAAGGTTGCGTGCGATCAGGGAGGAGGAAGTGTCCAGAACGGGGCCCATACGGCGTTACCCCGGCGGTGCTGATGCTCTGTTCTCTGGACCCGCAGGCCTCGTGCACAGTGCCTGGGCGTTTGTGGTGACAGATGGCAACAGCTCGGCGTGCATCAGGGCCACCTTCTCTGCTGACGTCCAGGTCCGCTACGATACCAGCAGTGGCCCCAAGGTAGGCGCACAGGACCCGCATGTGCATGCGTGTGAGGTGTCAGCTCGGGGGCGGGGGGGGGTGCTGGCCCCTCCCGGCTCCCTGTGGTCGCCAATCCTGGGCAGCTGGGCCTGGCCAGGCCACCCCCTCATCCCATCTGCGGTGCTCGCACCGTCCCTGCTGGCGAGACACTCTGCGCAGCCTGGGGGTGAGCCCCCCCGCCATGGGAAGCTGACCTCAGGAGCCATGACGCTGGACGTTGCGGGTAGGGCTGAGGCTGAGGGATGCCCGTGTTGACCAGCTGGGGCTGCCTCTGCTCCGCAGCATCTCTGCACTGGTCACCCGTGGGTACCACCTCGCCCTGTAGTCCTGGCCGCCAGCCTCCCTCGGGGCTGGGCTCGGCGTCCACGGCCACGTCTCGGGCCACAGCACCTGCGAGCACCGCGAGCCCTAGTCACTCATGGCGACTCACGGCGGCGGCGTGGCTTACGGGAGGAGGCCCGCAGCTCCCAGTGGCTTTCTGTCCCTTCGTCCCTGGGCACACGGTCCCCAAGAGCCCATGTCTGCTGCCTGGGGATGCGGCAGGTGTGCCCTGCTAAGCCTGGCTGGCCCGTTCTCTCTGGTGGACGCCGGGCTGCTCTCCAGTTGGCTTTACTTACGACGACGCGCGTGGTTCCACCGTCAGCACCTCTGTTTAAGAGGAGAAAGAGGGCTGTGCAAACCCAAGATCCTAAAGCTCTCAGTGGCCGTTTATTTCAAACACGTGAACGAGGCATCCTTTCACCAGGATAGCTCCGGTTCTCGTTCCGCCACGGTCTTGACGAGTCCTCAGTGGTGTGGCCACGGCCATCCTTGTGTTTTGACCTGAGTCGCTGTCGGGGTGTGCTGACCCCTGCTGAGGCTGCGTGCGGCTGTGCGTGAAGAGTGACCCCTCACTCCACCGGGGTCTCGGCTTTCTCTGAGACTCTGCTGGCCTTTCCCCACGGGTTCTGAACCCTCGAGATGGTGCCATCTTGGGTTCTGCTGCTGTGGCTTTGTTCCAGAACACGACCTTCAGCCTGCTGCCGGATGCGGAGGTGCTGAACACCAGCTCCTGCGGCCGAGAGAACTCCTCCTCGGGCCCCAGCCTCGCCCTGGCCTTGGGAAACGGGTGCACCCTGACTCTCCGCTTTGCCAAAGACTCAACGAGCTACCGCGTGGAGCAGCTGCTCTTCACGTACAACTTGTCGGACGCGCGCAGCTTCCCCAATGCCAGCACCCAGGGTAAGAGCCAGAGCAGCCGTGCAGGAGGATGGGATGGGTGGTAGTTGTGTGATCTTCTGGCTAAACACTGCAGGGCCCGAACCCGGCTTTTGCCTACGCAGGAGCCCAGACCGTGACGTCTAACCCCGACATCCGGGCCGATCTGGACACCAGGTACAGGTGCCTCAGCCACCGCCGCCTCGAACTGGGCAACTCCACTGTCCTCACGCTCAGCAACACCACCCTCCAAGCCTACCTGTCCAGCGGCAACTTCAGCGCAGGAGGTGAGGCGCGGGGCGGGGCGGCTCAGTTGCCCACTGTCTCTGGAGGAAGCCGTCTCTGCAGGTGGGGGTGCACAGACCTGCCCCGCACAGCCAGGGCGTGGTCCTCACACTCCCAGCCTGGGTGCTCAGGGTGTGGTTCGGCTGCTGGCTCCGCCCTGGGCGCAGCTCTGAGGGGAGAGGCTGGCGCAGCTGCTGGACCCAGTGCCTTGCTCTCGGTTTCCTTTTGCCTGACTGTTCACGTGGGCGTCTCTGGACGTGCTCAGGGTCCACCGGCCAGCTCCAAGCGCGGGGCTCGCCACCATGTCTGCTGTTCCTGGGTGGCCCTTGGTGGAAACCGCTGGTTTCTCATCTGGAGGCAGATGTCATGACCGGCCGCTGGAGCTGAGGACGCTCCTCAGCCCCCTGGACCGGAGAGGCAGACCATTGGGGGTGGGGCGGGGCCGGCAAGTCTGGGGGGGGCTCTGGGGTGCTTGCTTGAGCCAGTTGCTGCTGCCTTGCGGCCGGCTCTCCTTCCTCACGTCACCAGCGCGTCCTGGCCGAGCTTCCTCGTCCGCAGCAAGACTGAACGCTGCTTCAGGGAGAGCGGCCCCGCGTCTGCCGGGTGCCCAAGCGCCTCTGCTTGTCCCACACAGCACCCGTCTCGCGGCGGCGCCCCCCTCCCCTGGCCCTCAGGGCGGCTTCACGCCCGCTGCCGCTGGGTGCCCTGCCCCGGCTGGCCTCTCTGCTCCCAGGAGTGGGCTGCCCTGTGGGGGCCGCAGGAATGGGGGGCTGGGCTGCACGCGCTGTCCATCACCAGCTCTGGGAGGCAAGCCAGGTCGCTCTCCCCAGCGGGTCTCCACTTGCAGGCCCGTGTCTCCCCCTTGTCGGGGTTCCCTCTGCACACGCTGCCTCGGGGCGCTGGTACGGCATGGCCAGTGCCTGCCGGCCGCCCGGGACCTCTGGGTCCTCGGGGCCCCACTTTCTCTTGTTTTAAGATGCGGGGAGGCCTGCTATCTGTAAAAGGTCAGGAAGAAGCTGCTTTTAAGTGATGTGGGTCTTACGCCCTCCTTCCTGCCCAGCAGGCAGTGCTGTCTGTCTTTGGGGCCCAGTGTCGCGCTGGTCTGCCCACGCCCGGCTGTGGGGCAGGCAGCTGCTGCCCGTCGCGGCATGAGACCACGAGGCACCGGCCAGCCCAGCTGCAGAGCGCCTCAGGCTCTGTGCCCTCACCCCCCCGGGCACTGGCCTTCCGGACCGCTCGCCCTCGCCTGCTCCGGCATCTGCTGTGGCCCCGGGCCAGAGGGCTAGTGGGGCTTGTGCCACGTGGGGCCACGTCCAGGCTCTGCCGGCAGCGCAGCCCCGGCCTCTGCATCCTGAGAGCCGTGTCCAGTGCCGCGGGCTTCCAGGCGGCGTGACGGGCATGCCCCGTGTGCAGTGCTGTGGCGTGCCAGGCCGGTCCATGTGGGGCAGAGGGCCGTCCTGGGGCGCGGGGCCAACCCGGCATGGAGCCAGGCCCTGGTGGGAGGTGCTGGCGTGGCCCAGACCCACGGACCGTCTTCCCCCACCATCCGGGCAGGGCTGTGCCGCTGGCGCCTACCAGAAAGCGGGTGTCGTCACGCGTGGTGCCCTGTGGGCGAGGGCCCTGCCTCTTCCCCAAGGGTGAGGCAGGGTTGGCCGGAGCCCGGGAGGCCTCCGTCAGTGTTGCATGGTCTCGGCCCCACGGCCTGCGGGCTTGCAGCGCTGGGCGCGCGCGGCACAGGCAGGACTTCCCGCACACAGGGCGGAGGGAGGGAGCGAGCGAGCCTGTTTGGGATGGGGGTTTCTAAATTGGTTGCAAATGTGGGGTGCAGACCATGGTCAGTCCGCTGTGGGTAGCTGGGAGGTGCTGCCAAGTGTCTGCTGTAAACAACCTGCGCGGAGCACAGCCCGGGGCTGGGATCCCATTCCAGGCTCCTCCTCTTTCCCTCCCCCGCCACCCCCATCGCCGCCCCGGCGGGCCTTCCCCGGGCTGGTTCTGTTGTGGGGTCGCACGAGCCAGGTGAGGACCCCGCCTGCTGGCCCACCGTGCTCTTCGGCTGGTCCCGGGGCTGCCGCGTCTGTTGCCATGTGCTGCTCCTCGGTCTGGGGGCACGAGGCCGCTCTGTGACCGCCTGGCGCGAGGCCAGCTTGTCCGCAGTCGGCCGGTCGAGGAGGAGCGTGGCGGGAGCCGGCCCCGGGCTGAGCTCCTGCGGTGCTGGGCGGGGGACCAGTCAGCTGGGGGCTGCGGGCCCTCAGGCGGCGGCCCTCACCCCTTGCCAGAAGCTGACTCTCCCCGTCCCTGCAGAGACGCGGTGTAAGCAGGATGGCCCGGGCCCGACCCCCGCCCCGCCCCACCCCACGCCGGCCCCCTCGGTGGGCAGGTACAACGTGAGCGGCGTCAACGGGACCTGCCTGCTGGCGAACATGGGGCTGCAGCTGAACGTCACCTACCAGCAGAAAGACAACGCGGTAGGCGCTGGCTGCGCCCCGTCCGCAGCGAGGCCGGGTGGGGTGTGGGCCCGGCCCTCAGGTGCCCAGGCTGTCCCGAGACCTCCGGGTATGTTGGGGGGGAAGGCGGCTCCCGGGGGCAGTGGCTTTGAAGCCTGGGAGCCTGCGGGGCTGGGCCACTCGGGTTGGAGTACCGTGGTCTCTGGGCGCCTGTTGGGGTGCCGCGGGCTTCTGGGTGGGAGCGGGGCGCGGCTGCAGCCAACGTGGGTGCTCCCTTTTAGACAGTAACGCGTGTCTTCAGCATCGACCCCAACAAGACCACCGTGAGCGGGAGCTGCGCCGCCCAGCTGGCCACGCTGGAGCTGCTCGGGGAGGGCCACAGGCTGCTCATCCTGCAGTTTGCCATGGTGAGGCCCGGCCTGCCCCGCCCTGCTCCCCCAGAGCCCCCTGCGGTGCACGCTGCCCCTGGTCAGGTGCGCAGGCTGCGGCTCTGCGGCCCATTTCAGCAGAAGGCCTGCCTGCGAGGAGGTCTGGGGAGTGAAGGAGGGTCGGGGTGCTGGCCAGACGCGGCCCTGCCCGCGTGGGGCTGCAGGCCAAGTGCAGAGCTAGCCAGGCGAGGCCGGTGGCCCTCGGTGGCCGCGGGTGTGTGACGCTGCTCGTCTTCACTTCCTCCTTCCAAGAACACAAGTTCTAGCCGCTTCTTCCTGCGAGGGGTCCAGGTGAACATGACGCTTCCGGAGGCCAGAGGTGAGATTCCCGCTTGCCCCGGCCCCCCGCCCCTCGCCCCGGCCCCCAGCCGGAGTGCTCACCCAGCGCCTTTGCAGAGCCCACCTTCACTGCTGCCAACGGCTCCCTGCGGGCCCTGGAGGCGGCCGTGGGCCACTCCTACCGGTGCAGCGCCGAGCAGCAGGTGCGTATCACCCCGGCCTGCTCCCTCAACGTGGTCAAGGCCCGGCTGCAGGCCTTCCAGATCCAGGACAACACGTTCGGGGCTGGTGAGTGCTGGCGGAGTGGCCCTGGGGGTGGAATGGGGTCTTCCTGCCCAGGCTGCCCCTCTCCGGGCCAGCCGCGGCTGACTGGCACCCGCCCGCAGCGGAGGACTGCCCGCTGGACGAGAACAGCATGCTCATCCCCATCGCCGTGGGCGGCGCCCTGGCCGGGCTGGTCCTCGTGGTCCTCATCGCCTACCTCATCGGCAGGAAGCGCAGCCACGCAGGCTACCAGACCATCTAGGCACCCGCCGCCGGCCGACGTGAGGGCACCGGCAGCACTCGGGCAGGCGGGAGGTGGGTGGGCCCGGGTCAAGCCCTTGCTAACTGGTCACGCATTAACATTCACCAAAGTGGGGGGGGGGTTCCTCGGCTGCCAGCGGGGTTGCTCAGACGTGGTGTGGGTCTCTTCGCTTTTCACTCAGATGCTAGCCTTACGGGGCCGGGCGCCCGCGGGGCGCGGACGGGGCGTCGGCGGGCCCTGCAGTAGGGGGGCGTGGGGGCACCGCGGCGGCATGGCCCTGCTTCCCAGGCCTGGCACTTTTTTAAATAGGAAAATGGGTGTTATTTTTGTTCGCAATTTGTAAAGCGGCTTGGAGTCCTCTGTTCGGGTCCAGGGTGCTCTGGTTCCTGCACCTGCGAGGCCATCGGTCTGATTCTGGTTTATCTGCCCGCAGCTCGGCTGAGCCCGGGGCCGCCTGGCGTGGGTGTCGCTGTGACAGTGCTAATAAAGCGTCTTTCTTTGTTGGCGTTTGTGGGTTTGTGCTGCTGTTGCGACGGCTGGGGCGGGCACTGTGGGCTGCCCCCCGGGCCTGCAACTGTACAGGGAGTGAGCAGGGGTGGCCCCAGGGTGGCCTGCGGGCTCCCCCGCACACCAGCACCTGCGGGCGGCCTCCTGAGCGCTGAGCTGTGGCTCTGGAGGAGGCCCCGCTAGACTCAGCTTGGACTTGGTGGGGAAGGCCGAAGGGGCCCAGGTCCAGCTCCTGCCCGTCAGGGCAGCGGCCTGAGCCCCGGGCAGGGCTGCGTGGGCCCATCCTCCCGGCTCAGCTGGACAGGCAGGCACGAGACACGTGGGGCAGGTGCCACGGGTCCAGCCCTAGGGGGGCCGTTGTGGTTCTCGACGGCATCTGCCCAGGCAGGGGCGGGGACGGCGCTGGGCCAGGGCTTCGTGAGTGTCTCAGGGTCTAGTGTCCGAATCGAGCAGCCACAAGGCAGCCTGGGGGGGTGAATGCAGCTGATGGGCCGTGCTCCCGCCGGGGTGTCTGCCACCCAGGGCCTCACGGGAGCTCAGCTCCTTTGGTTGGTGTCACTGCCCCGTCCACGGTAGGTCACAGCGGGTACCCGGGGCTGCTGCTGAGTGTTGGGGGTGCCCGCCGGGAGGCCCAGGCCCATGGGCCCTGTTGCTGGGATGCACTGGCACGTCATCACCTGAGGGGGTGGGTGAGGTGCGGCCCGCACTGCCTCCCTGGGGTCTTGCAGCTGCTCAGGCACAATCGCCGCCCAGATGCGGGAGGAGCTGCTGGGAGACCAGGCACGGGTGCTGGGCCCCACCCAGGCCAGGTGGCGAGGGCGGGCGATGGATGCGAGTTGCCGGCATCAGTGCAATGCACAGGGCCCGGGCCCGGGGCCGCCGCCGGCATCACCAGCAGTTGACACGCTGAGGACAGGCGCTCAGGTGCCGACGGCTTTATTGGGTGTAAACGTGTATCATTTCACCTGCCCTTAGTGTCTCAGGTAAAAATAAACTTTTAGAAATTTACAACTCTAGCTCACTGTCAAAAAGGCAATGGCGTCCTCAATTGGTCTTTAAAAACCCCAAGCGCAGAGACGGCGAGCATTGACCGCGCTGGGAGGGCCACGCGCTCCGGCCAGGGCCGCTCTGCAGAGGCAGGGGTCACCGCCCGGCCAGCAGCCGGGCCCTGCAGCTTTCGCGCAGACGCGTGATGGTGCTCATGGGCAGGCTTCCAGGCTCCGAGAAGATCTTCTGCAACAGAGAGGGTTGCTCTGCTGGCCAACGCTGGGCCTCCCCTAATCGCTGTGCTGAGGGCCGGGATGCCCGCCACGGCTGACCGCTGGCCACAGGCCCCAGGAGCCCTGCCAGGCCTCCGCACCCAGCCAGCCCCAGTGCGGGCGTGTCAGTGGGGCCCTGAGAAAGCCCTGCAACCCCACACCCAGTGCAGCTGAGGGTCACTCCCGACACAGGCAGCCCAGGGACAGACTGGCCCAGGCAGAGCCCTGGCCCGTGGCCGCCTCCTGCTGGTGAGGGACTGCGCTTTGCCCACAGAGGCGGGACTCGCAGCAGGACTGGGGCCAGCTGCGCCCATCGCTTGGATTCCCCAGGACGTCTTGCTGTCACAAGTCCGTCCCAAGCCCCTGAAGACAGGGAGGGCCAGGCCTGCCGCCACCACCGCCCTCCTGTGGGGCCGCCGGTTGGGGGCAGGGCTCCGGGCCCAGCTGCCCCAGCCTCCTCGCCCGCCTGCATGCTCTGGACAGTCTCGGCAACCACAAGGCCGCTCCAACGCCGACAGCTTCTAGGCTCCTGGCAGTGTTGGCTCGGCCAGGGGCGTGGGAAGACCAAGCTGGTGGCCCTCCTGCCCTGCATCCATGGTGGCCTCAGATGATGCAAGACCCCAGCCCAGCATGTCACCCCAGCATGCCCTGCCCCTGTCTCCCCACCTCTGTGTCCCCAGGCAGGCCTGTCCTACAGCTCACACGGGCTGAGGTTGCTGGGGGCCAGCAGGAAAGCCCTGGCCACAGGAGCTGCCACCCCGACAGGATGGACCGCAGGTCGGGGAGAAGGGACAACAGAGGACATGAGGGCCTGCAGAGGTCCTGGCCGCAGCAGCTCAGGAAGGAGCTGTCCGCTACCTCCACACTCCCACCTGGTGAAGCCGAGCCCCCCAGATCCCAGGAAGTGCTGGCCCCGCTGACCATGGGGCCAGGGCGGTGGCCTTGGGGCTTTGGCTGTAAACCGCCCTGTTCCAGGGAGGAGGGACGCGCTGAGGTGCTCTCACCCGCATGAAGGTGTGGCACTCCATGGCGAAGGCCCCCCTGGTGATCTGCTTGAACTTCTCGCAGATGTCCGGCACACTGGTGGCCTCCAGGATGGACGCTTGGTGCTGTTTGATGAGGGTCAGCGCCACCCGGAAGATGATCTTGGAGCCTTCGCTAAACAGACAGTCCCAGACGCGGAGCACGGTCTGGGGGAGAGGTGTGTCCTGAGGCCCCGGCCCCGCCCCAGCGCCTGCCCTGCCTCCCGCCCGCCCAGCGCACTCACCTCCACGGGCAGGGTGTCCACAAACAGGCAGATGAACCAGCGCGATACCACCAGGGCCCACAGGACCCCGTGGCCATCCAGCAGGTCCGCCACCGCCGGCAGCTTGTTCCTCACCAGCTGGCCCAGGACCTCCTGGTCCGTCCTGAGGCCCAGCATGGCCGGGCCGTAGTAGTCTGCAAGGGGGGGCTGGTGGGCGCCAGCACATGCTGCCCCGCCCCCGCCCTACGCTATGCACCTAGACCCAGGGCAGTGCCGGGTGTCCACAGGGACGGGTGGACGGACAGACGGCCCAGCCCACCCCACTTACCCCTGAGTCTGGAGTCGGCGCTCACAGGCAGGGGAGGGGCACCCCCACGCAGACCAGCCCGCGAGAACGGTGGGGGAGGGAAGGCCCTCGCCACACGACTGCCCAGCCAGGCCGACGCAGAGCCATCGAGGCAGAGGGGCGGGCGGGCAGGGGAGCAATTGGGGCGGACGGTCGCTGGGCGTCCCAGGGAGCCCCCGGGGTGGGGGGCTGCAGGGAGGGTCTGCAATCCTTCAACAAGGGTTGCTGGCGAGAGCGTGACCTCGCTGCCTTGGGGTTTAGTCACCTGAAAGAATTACGAGGCCACACCTCCCTGGCAGCCCGGGTGACGCAGCCTGAGGCTGTCGCAGCCTCTGCAGCAGGAGTTCATTCCCCGGCCAGGGAGCTCCCCACAGGGCGCGGCAGACCTCTCCTGCCTCCCCGCTGCTCCCCTCAGCAGTGGATTTCGTCAGTCTGCCTGTTCTGCTCCCCGCTCTGTCTCTGGTGGGTCCTCTCACCCCCCACCTCTGGCCTGTACCCCGGTTCTTGTGTGCATAAATAAATAAATCTTTAAAAAAATTAAAGAATTATGAGGCCACGAAGGTGAAAAACCGACAAACCAAAGCGGGCAGGCAGCAGCCTGACCCGGCCACCCCACGCAGCGTCCCCAGCGGGCGGTGTGTAAACGCGTCTCGAAGAGGCCTGGGGCGGGCCCACGTGGCCTCTGGGGACGGCAGGCCGGCGCCTCCGCTGGCAGCCGCGGCCTGAGGGAACACTCGGGAATCTGGCCTGGGGCACAGCCTGACTGGCCGGACAGCGGCCTGGGCCTGGGCGCCCCGTGCTCCTCGCGCTCAGCAGAGCGGGCCACACACGCCTCTCCCCGCAGCACTTCCTCTCCTCTGCCCCAGGCCCCCCGCCATGGCGCTCACCCCAGGTGGGTGCCCAGCTGCCTGCACTGCCAGCGGGCCAGGAGCCACCGCCTGGGGGTGCCACCGGGTGGCGGCCTTGGCCAGGCTTCTGCTTTCCCCACCTCGTCCCACGATGCCACAATGCAGAGGAGCAGAAGCAGGTCCACGCCTCAGGGGCAGGGCCCCAGGCGGGCCCTGGACGTTGGCCAGGCCGGCCCTACGCCCGGGGGTGCTGCCCCGCCTTCCTGTGGAGCCTCAGCCCGGCTGGGCCGGGAGGCGCACAGAGGCCCCGCCCCGCCCCCGCATCAGGTGCCCAGAGCCGCGGTCCCAGAGGGGTGAGCCGCCGGCCGGGCTTGCCAGGGGGAAGTGGATCCGGGCTGGGAGCGCAACCTCCAGAAACAGCGTCCGGCCGGCCAAGGAGCACGCGCGGGCGCCGCCCACCCCGGACTGTGGGAACAGGTGGCGCGGCCACCCAGGCCTCCTGGCGCCCACACGCTCCTGGTGTGCCCAGCCCACGCCCCCGAGGCCTGCGAGTGTCCCAGCCTGGCTGGCCGCCGCGCCGTCCTCTGCCCTGGGCGTTGTGTCCTGAGCGTCCCATGGCGGACGCAGGTCAGCGCGTGCTCCCGGCAACGCGCCGGGGCGAGCAGGGCAGAGGGCAGAGGGCGGCCGGCGGTGCTGCGGGCGGTGACGCCACGGGGCGCGCGCCACCCTGGGCAGGAAAGCCGGTCACTGCGGACCGGGCGCAGACAGCTAGGCGGCGCGGAGGCGGCGGGGCTGGACACCCTCGTCACGGCGCAACATGAAGCTTCAGAGCTCCCAGGCTGGGACCCGGTCGGCCTGCTGGGTGGGGCCCGGGGCACTGGGTGGGGGTCCTGGGTGGGGTCTCGGGGTCTCCTGCACAGGTTTGGGGAAAGCCCAGGGTGGCGGGGCCGCGGGCGGTGGTGTGCGAGGCAGTTGTGGGGCGGGAGGGACGCTGCGTGGACACGGCGTTCGCCTGGTGCCTGGCCTGTGGGCTCGGTTCTTGGCTGGGAGCTGGGGCAGAACTGCAGGGGCGCCCCGAACTGGCCTGAGCCTGCTGGCGCCCCCAGAACGGCCCTGCCTGGGGTTTCCGCTGGGACCTGAGCTGAGTCTGTGCCGCCACAGGCCGGCGCTCGGGGCTCATAAGACCCCGTGACGGGGTGGCCAGCCTGGGGACCTGCCGGCACACAGCCCCCAAGCCCACGGCCCCACCGCGGGCGGAGCCACGAGCACCCTCTGCCCCCGAGTACTTCTCCCCTTTAAGCCCGTTGCAGAAAGAGTTCTAGACGCAACCGCCAAACGCCTCCGTTGGGCCTGAGCCAAACCCAGGCCCGCGAGCTGCCAGCCACAGGGCACAGGCCACGGCGGCGCCACGTACCCGGCAGGATCCTCCCCACAAGGGCATCCAGGAGCCAGAAGGCCTCCTCCTCGTCCGTGGTGATGAGCAGCAGGTACCCAGCGATGAAGTTCATGCCCTGGGCCGGGACAGATGCATGAGCCCTCACACGCTGACCAGGGCGCCCGGCAGCTCCGCTTCCTCTGCTGCACCCTGCAGGGCAAAGGCGTCGCTCCGGGGCTCGGGAAACGGCGTCTGTCAGCCAGCGAGAGCCCCGGCACAGGGACACGGCCCGAGGCCCCACCGCCTGGCCCCTGCTCGCTCCCAGCCACACCCCAGCTTGTGGCGCCGCACCCGGCCGGACACGCGACGCCCCTGGGTGTCCCCTGGGCTTCGCCGCGTACAGCTCTGGCAGCACCTCGATTTGTAGACACACGTGATCTCAGCGCTGCCTGGGAAGCCCGGGAAGCCCGGGAAGCAGCAACCTGAGGCGCCCACAGCTTCGGCTCCCAGGCCCAGGCCCATCCTATAGGGTCAGGAGGCTGCCCCCGAGCAGGCGCCGCTCGGCACACGGTGGAGGCCCCGGAGCACCTGGGCCGTCCCCTCCTGCTTCTTCAAGGGCACGAGCCTGCTGGGGTCCAGGAGCCCGGCCCCTGCGCGGTTTGGGGGCAGCTGCTGGGGCCACCACCGCACTCAGCTCGTCAACCTGCTGGTGCCGGGTTCCGGCCTTCCCGACTGTCCTGCAGCCCCTGGCTCCAGGGTCAGATGCAAGCACCACAGGCCGCTCGCTCTGACCCCCAGGGCAGCCCCACGGCTCTGAACGCTCCCCTGCTCCGTGAGCTCAGGCCGACACACGGGCCGGGCCTGGTGGGACAGCAGCTCCCCCGCTCTCCCTGCGCCCACAGTCTATCCCAGGGACCCATACGCACCCCGAGGACAGCTGCCCCGCCCCACGCAGCCACCTGGTGGCCAGAGACCCAGTGTCCTCACCGCGGGACTCGGCCTCAGAAGGGGGCGCACATGGGCCGCAGCACAGGTGCCGCGCCTGTCTGTCCAGCCCTGCCCCCCAAGCCCAGGCCGGGGCTGGGTGCGCTCACCTGGCAGTACCCCACGCCGCGGTTGTGCCGTCCGTAGGCCGCGAGCACATTGAACAGGGGGTGCTGCAGGCAGGGGTCCGCGCTCTTGCGGAAGCGCACGTTGTCCGGGAAGGTCCTGTTCATGTCTGCAGTCCCGACAGGAGGCCTCAGCCGGTCAGAGTCTGGCGACCGTGCCGGCCCGGGCCCGCGCGGCCCAGCAGCAGCCTCCACGGTCAAGGCTGCCACAGGGTGTGGGCAGAGGCGGCCCGGCTGTCCTGGCCCCTCCGGGGCTGACTTGCCCACACAGCAGCCGAGCCCTGCCTGGGCAGCCCAACCCCTGCCCGGCAGCCTTTTCCTGTGACACCGCGGGGGTGCTGGGCGGGGTGCTGTGCTGCGTGGGTGGGCCGAGCGTGCGCACCCCCCCGGGGAGACGGTGCCGCCCCAACCGACCCGGCCAGCACGGAGCCCCCGGAGCTGCCCGCGCACACTTGCTCACGCTGGGCTTTGCCTTTCAGTATCAAAAACGCGCTTGAAAAACAAAACGCCCTCAAGTCACAGCCCACAGCGCGTTCGGGGCCGGCACAAGCCGGGGCGTCCCCAGCAAGGACGCGGCTCCTCGAGGCCGGGACCAGGCGCCCTTGTCACTCAGCTCACGCCCCCGGGGGCCTCCGCCGTGCTCTCCCCGCAGCCCGCGCCCGCCTCACCTGTCCGGATGGCCTCCTCCAGGCTGCCGTCCCGCTCGCCCTGCAGCAGCCGCTGGTAGTAGCCCGGGTGGCGGTCCATCTGTGCCTGTGCGCCACTCACGCCCAGCCAGACGCGTGCCCGGTGCTCCAGCGGGACGCCCTTGCGGATGTAGCGCTTCACTGGAGGGGACACCCCACTGGTGAGGGCCAGAGGGGGGCTAGAGGGGAGCCAGGGCCCGGGCCGGGGTTTCAGCCACTCTGCGGCAGCCTCGCAGGGACGGTCCACACACACCCGTGACCTCAAGGTCGCGCAGGCGGCACGCAGCCAGCTGGGTGCCCCGGGCGAGGTGGCCTGACGTCACACACGACAGGCCAGGGATGGACAGGCCAGGGATGGACAGGGAGCTGGGAGGCCAGTGGGGCAGGTCGCCAAGGGCGGGGGCTGCCTCAGGGACGGGGCGCAGGGCAGGCTCAAGCGCCCCTCTCTGGGGAGAGGCTGAGGACAGTCAGCCGGGTGGGCCCAGCCAGTGCGGCGCTGCATCTTCCAGAGAGACCAAGGCCCTCTTGCTGCCCACAGGCGTCCCAGACAGACCCGCCGAGCCTCAGAGCCAGAGGAGAGATGGAGGCAGACGGCCGTGGGGCCTGCGCTGGCTCGGGGCGCCCTGGGGAGCCTTCCGCTGGCTTTAGGGCGCCCAGGCCCTCGGATGGGCGAGGGCGCAGGCGGGGGGCACCTCCCTGCGCCTGTCCAGGGCTCCGGTTGGGCTGCCTCGGGCACCCCCACTCCGGCTCTTCGTGGGGCGGTGCAGGAACACCGGAGAGGCCGGGAGAGGCCGGTGTTTGCTCCGCTGACCAACATCCAGGCGACGGCCCTGGGCGGCCCCTCCTAACAGGGAGTCTGTGCTTCCCGCGGGAGAAACAAAACCCTAAAATCCCAAGAGCTGCCGGGCCGGGGGGAGGGGCGGGGAGGGACCCCAGGAGCCCCGTTCTGGAGGCGCGCGAGGCTGAGGCCGGTGGGTCCAGCCCCAGGCAGGGAGGCCGGGGAGGAGCGCGGAGGCAGGGGTGGGGCGGGAGGGCGCGGCCCGGCGCGGGGAGCGTGGGGTGAGGACTCCGCTCCCCCGGCCCCACGTAGGGGGGGCTCGGAGCAGCCCCCCGCCCCGCGGCCGACCGACCGCGGCGGGCGGGGCTCCGGGGTCCGGGCCCAGGGGCGCGGCCTCACCTGCGCCAGGGCGCGCGCGCGTCCCGCCCCCCGGCTTCCGCTCACCTCTGCCCCGCGCCCCGCGCCCACCTGTCACGCTCCTCCGGACGCGGCCGCCGCCCCGCAGGAGCCTGGCCCACTTGACCGCCCGCCTGGCGAGGACCGCCAGGTACTCGGAGAAGAACGCCTCGTAGGCCGCGTCGTCGAAGTCCTCGGGCCGCGCGAACCCGTAGGGGTCCACCCTGGAGACCCGCGAGGCCGTGGGGCCGGCTGCGCGCGCCAGAGCCCCCCCCGCGCCCCCGGACCCCGCCCGCCCGAGCCCCCCCCGCGCCCCCGGACCCCGCCCGCCAGAGCCCCCCCCGCGCCCCCGGACCCCGCCCGCCAGAGCCCCGCGCGCCCCCGAACCCCGCGCGCCCGCCCCGCCCGGCCCCGCGCCCCGCCGGCCATCGCGGGGGGCAGACCCCGCCGGGAGCGCAGCCGGCCCGCGCCCCCCGCGCCCACCTGGGCCCGCGCCCCCCGCGCCCACCTGGGCCCGCGCCCCCCGCGCCCACCTGGGCCCGCGCCCCCGCGCCGCCTGCGCGCGCTCCGCGGGCTCCATGCCGCGGGGATCCGCGCCCCACCGGCCGCGCGTCCTTCTGCCGGGCCCGGGCGCGGGGCGGGGCTGGGCGGGCGGGGCTGGGAGGAGGCGGGGGGCCGGGGCGCGGGGGGGGGGGCGCGGGGGGCCGGGGGCGCGGGGGGGCCCGGAGCGCGGGGGGGGCGCCGGGGGCTGCACCTGCTCCGGCGCGCGGAGCTGAAAACCCGGGAGGGCCGCGGGGGGCGGGGGCGGGCCGGGGCGCGGGGGGCCGGGCGGTCACGCGCTGGAGCCTCCCTGGGAGCAAAGGGCGCGGGGTGGGGGGGGGGCCCCGGCGGGTCCAGGTCGGCCCGTGCGCCCCGCCGCCCGCAGGGAGGCGCCTGTCGCGGGAGCCGGGGCGCCCTGACCCGGGAACCCGCCCGGCCCCGGGCCTCCGCGGGGCTCCGCGCCCCGGGGTCTCCCCAGCGCCTCCCCGGCGCGGGCCCTGCCGAGGCGCCTCTTCCCGGCGGGCCTGGCCTGGGCCTCGCAGCCGCCCGCGCACAGCCAGGCCGGGGCGCCGGGCCGGTCTGTTGGGGGGCGGGGCGCCCCTGCGGGCCTGCCCCAACCGGCCGCGGGGGGCCGCGGGGGGCCGGGCCGCTCAGCTCCCGCTCGGGAGTCGCGTGAGGGCGGCCGGCCCCGGGCGGGGCTCCAGCCGCGCTTCTCGAGCCCCGCGCGCCCCACGGCGCAGGCCCCGCAGGCCCCTCTCCCGCCCGGGGCGCCCCCCCGGGATTCCCTGCCCCCCGGGGCGCCCCGCACGTGGGCAGCGGCCCCAGGCCCCCTCCGCCTGCGGAGGCTTCTCCCTCACCCTGGGGGGCGGGGGGCTGCCGCCCGGGGTCACCCAGCCGACCTCTCTCTGAGGTCAGACCCCGATTCCTACTTGGAGAGCAGCCCCTGCACCCCAAGCCGCCTGGGGCCAGCCTGGGAGCTGCACCCCCGCCCCTGCCTGCCAGCCCCCCACAGCCGGCGGCGCCCGGGCGGGCACGCGTGGCCGAGGCCCCCGCCCGCGGGCAGCAGGACGGCCCAGGCCCGCGGGGGGGCAGCTGCAGGGAGGCGAAGCCCGGGGCCCCGATGACGGGGGCGCGGCCCACACCGCGTCCTCCGCACCCCAGGTCGGCCCGGCTCCCCGCTCTGGAGCGAGACGGGCCGGGGCGCCTCCCCCGCAGGCCAGCGCGGCTCGGGGCCGGCGGGGGCGGGGGCGGGGGCGGGGGGGGCCGGCGCGCGCCCCGGGCTCGGGGACGGGCGAGGCCTGGCCGGGCTGTGTGTGCGCCCGCGGGCGCGTGCGGGCGTGTGCGTGTGCCGCACACATGCGTGTGCCCGTGTGCACAGACGTGCCCGCGCGCCTGGGTCTGGCGTGCGCCCCCGCCTGGGGTCGCCTCCCGGAGGCGCGTGGCAGCGCGCGGGCCGCGGAGCCCACGAGCGGGCGGGCGCCGGGCGCGGGGCCTCGGGGCGCGCGGGGGGCGCGGCGGGGGCGCCCGGCTCGCGGGCAGCAGCGCCCCGGTCTCCGCACGGGCGGGGCGGGGCGGGGCGGGGCGAGACCCCGAGGGCCCGGGAACAGGCCCGAGGGCCCGGCGCGCCGCGGGCTCGGAGGCCCCGCCTGGGGGCGCAGGCCGGGGGGCGTCACCGCGCCCCACCCCCGCTGCGGGCCCCGCGCCCGCCCGCCGCGACCCCCCCCCGGGCCCGGCCTCGCCCGGTGCGCCCGCGCCGGCCCCGCGGCCGAGCCGCAGGCGGGGGCGGTGTGTTCGCGCCCGCAGGCCCGGAGGCCCCGGCCCCTGCCGGGCGGGGGCGCAGGCGGAGGCCAGGCCGTTGCCCTCGGGGCCAGCCCGGGCGGGCCAGGCGGGGTGCCCGGGGGCGGCGGCCGGCCCCGGGGGAGGAGCTGGCCGGGCCGGCCGGGGTGCGCGCCGTCCTCCGGGCCCCGCCCCAGGCCCCGCCCCCAGACCAGGCCCCGCCCCGCCCCTCGGCCCCGCCCCGCCCCCTCGGCCTCGCCCCGCCCGTCTTGGCCCGCCTCGCCCCCTCGGCCTCGTCCCGCCCCTCTTGGTCCGCCCCGCCCCCTCGGCCTCGCCCCGCCCCCTCGGCCCCGCCCCGCCTGGAGCCGCGGCGCCCTCTGGCGCCCTCTGGCGGCCGCTCCCGGGAGGTGTCCTCCGAGGCGCTGGCGGGGGGCGGGGGTCCCCTGGGCTGCCGCGGCCGGGAGCCCGCGCTGCACCCCCGACCAGGTGACCCGGGACTTGCGGCCAGAGCAGGCGCCCACGTTGGCGCGAGGCCGAGCACTTTCTGGCCCCGAAAGGACGGGATCTAAATTTGAATGACCTTAGAAAACAGTGAGGCGCTCAAGATAAGAAAAGGGGGTGCCCGTGGCCGGCAGCCGCCCGCCGAGCCCTGGTTCCGGCTCCCCGTCACGTGTGGCGCCCTTTGGGGCCCGCTGTTTGTGCTGGGTCCGGCAGGGCGCCCCCACCCACCGAGCGCCCCCCCGCAGCGCCCCCCGCCCCCCACCCCGCAGCGCGGCGGGCCTGGGGTCCTCTGTCTCCCGAGCCTCGCGGCGCCCTTGTCCTTCCCCTTTTATTTATTTGTCTGTCTGTCTGTCTATTTATTTTAAGAGGTTTATTTGTTTTTGCATAGAAGCACGGGGCGCAGGCGGGGGGGGGGGACCCCGAGACAGAGCGGGCGCGGAGCAGCGGATCCGCCGAGACGCGCCGCGGAGGGAGCGCGGGACTCGGGTCTGGGCGCCCCGCGGGCAGCTCCTGGCGGGGTCGCGGCTGCGGAGCCTCCCCGTGGGGGCTGCACCCCGCGCCAGCCGGGAGGCCCCAGCTTCGTTTCAGCGGCGTGTTGCTAAGCGCGGGCCCCCCGCGGGCCACTGGGGCCCACGCAGCGGTCACCCGCGCTGCTGCGCGCGTGCGGGCCCGGCGGCCTGGAGGCCGGTCAGCTCCCGCGCCGCCCGCGCTGTCCCGCCGCCCCGACGGCTCCGCCGCGAGCGCGCGCAGGTCCCGGGGCGCCCGCCTGGCCGCCCGCAGGCAGCCCAGCCCCGCCCGCGCGGAGCGCCCCGACAGGCGCCCGGGGCGTCCCCCAGGATCCCGCCGGCGGCCGGGCGGGGACCCGCGCGAGGGGCGCCGCGCAGAGGCCGGCGCGGGGGCGAGCTGCCGCCGAGGACCCCCCTGGCCAGCTCCGGGGGGCCCCGCCCGGCCCCGCGTCTGCAGCAGCCGTCAGCCGCCCCCCATCCAGCGGGGGCCGCGCCCCTTCCCCCGCCCTCCGGGGGCCTCCGCGCCCCCCGGGCTCTGCAGCGCCCACCGCCGAGTCCTCCCCAGGGGCGGCCGGGCGGCCCCCACCAGCCTCCCGGGCCCTGGGCGCCCCCTTGGGAGCTGCCCTGGGGTCCCCGCCCCCCGCGTTGCTCAAGGCCATAGAGGGGACGCGGTCGCGGGGCCCTTTACCCCCAGAATCCCGGGGGGACGCGCCCGCCCGCCGAGGGGCAGCGCCGGCGCGGGGGGCCTGCTCGCCGGCCTCCCCATCTCCTGGAGGGCGCCGGGGCGCTGTCCTGCTCCGGCCGGCGGGTCACTGTGCCCGGGGCTCTCGTCTGCTGGGGGCCGGCGGTGCCCCGGGCCCACGGCCCACCTCGCCGCCCGCCGGCGGGGACACGGGCACCGGGTCTGCTGCCGCGGCCGCCCAGCCCTGCCTCGGGGGCTGCGCCTGCCAGGTCGGGGCGGCCCCAGAGGCACCCACCGCGCGGGGCGCCCCGCGCCAAGGCCGCCCCGAGACGCCGCCGCCGCGGGCAGCGAGGCCGGCCCGGGCGTCACTGCGGGGGCCGGCCCGGGGCGCCGGGCTCTCGGGGCCCGAAGGACAGGTCGAAGGCCCGCTGGTCGCCGAAGCTCTGGGCCCGGTACTTGCCGCCCGGCGCCGGCCCCCCGGCCGCGAGGCGGCCCCCGCGCCCCTCCTGGTCTGGGGCCGGGGCCGCGGGGTCACCGGGCGCGCGCGCCGCAGGGTCGGGCCCTGGCCTGGGGGCGGCCGGGCCCCGGGACCGGCTTTCTCTGGCCTGGCCCGGGGCTCCGGGCCCCCCCTGGGCGTTCCGGGGCTCCCCGCTGCTCCCGGCCGCGGAGCTGCCCGTGGTCCGCGCGGGGCGCCCGGGGCTGCCGAGGGCGGGAGGCGCCGGCTTCTCGGCGCTGGGCCAGCGGGGGGCCCGTCCCTGCGCCCCGGCGGCGGCCCCGCTTCCCCGGCTGCCCAGGTGCAGCGGTCCCTGGGGCCTCTCGGGGACCCCAGTTTCCTCTGGGACACAGGGTGCGGGCAGCAGGCACCCCGGGGGGGCGCGACGCGTCTGGGATGCCCCACCCTCCCCCCGGCCCTGCGCTGCCGGGGGCCGCCCCGGGGGGCCGCGGGGCGCGGGCTGGGGGCCACTGATGGGGAGCTGCCCTGGGGGCGGGCGCCGCCTCTTGTCCTGGGCCTGCCGGCCAGAGGCAGGACTCGGCGCCGGGCCCGGCGGGGGAGGCGGGGCCCCCCCACTGCGCTCCCCGGGGCCGCGGCGTGCCCCGGTGCTGGGGTCTGGCCAGCGACCCTCGGCCCGGCTGCTGCTCTGGGAGCCGGAGCCCGGGACTCGGCCGGCGGCCGTGGGGGGCCAGTGGCCTCCTCTGGGGCAGCTGCCAGCGTCTCTGGGGCGGGAGTCGGCTGCCACCCCGAGTGCTGGCCGAGCTTCGAGGGCCCGGGAGGAGCCCCAGAGCCCGGGCGGTGGGGTGTCGGGGCCGGGGGCTGTCCTGCCAGGCGGGGGCTAGCGGGCGGCGTGCGTCCGTCGGCCCTGTCCGGGGCACCTCTCTCGGGGGGCCTGCCGTTTTGGGGATCTGGGATGCAGCCTGGAGGCGGTGGGTTGTGGCTCTGGGTGCCCCCCAACTCCAGCTCCCTCTTGTGGACCGGGGTGCAGCCTGGTGGCGGCGGGCTGCGGCTCTGGGTGCCCCCCGACTCCAGCTCCTTCTCGGGGGCCCTGCCATTTTGGAGGCCCGGTGTGCAACCTGGTG